GGTAGACAAGTAAACACTGATAATGACTGTCTGTAATTTAACAGACATCAGGTTTCTACACACCCTACAGGCTAGATAAATATGACTGAATAATTATTCCAAAACAAGGGCAACAAATTCTTCTAAAGCATGATAGACGGGTATACCCTGATAATGACTGTCTGTAATTTAACAGACATCGGGTTTCTACACACCATACAGGCTAGTTAAATATGACTGAATAATATTTCCCAAACCAGAGCAACAAATTCTTCTAAAGAATGATAGACGGGTATACCCTGATATTAGTGATAAAGACTGTCTACCTGATATCAACAGACAGCCTAGATAATATGAAAGTAGAATTGTTTGATAGGCATACCTAAGAAGTTGACGGATGACACAGGAAACAGTTTATGGATAACAACTTCTTAATATAATATTACAGCCACATTTCGGTATAGATTCTTACTACCATGGTCAAGCAAGTCTGCTGTATGAAAGTTGTTCGTCAATATGTTTGCCACAAGACATTGACGGACGACAAAGTAAACATAATTTGTGGATAACAACTTCTTCATATAATCTTACAGACACATTTCGGTATAGATCCTTATTACCGTTGCCAAGGTAGACTGCTGTATGAAAGTTGTATGTCAATATGTTCGTCCACACTGACATGCCTATAGTGAGTCGCTGGGACGCCTGGGGTAGTTCCACATTGATTATTTACGCTAATGGTGGCGGGGATCACCTTGAGGGGTCTGATTGACATGTTTATAGTCAGGCTACAGGGAACACTGCTACAAGATCTCCCTCAGGGCTGATAACAGTGCAATATATAGTAGCACTGCATTGATAATTTCAGCAATTACAGATTTCTTTAATGATAATGTCGCTATGCTTTGTGCCTGTTTCTGGAAGTAATTGTGTGTATATTGGCATGGCTACAATGGCTGATCTCAGAGTTAACGGGTAAAGCTGGTACTGACATTCTTGGGTTTATCATGGTAACTGGCATGATTTGACCACGTTCTAAATGAAATTGTCCCGATGGTTACCGGATTGAGGATACATGGGTACTAGAGCTTGGATGCTACACCAACTGTGTGTACTGATACATATCCTGATACATTGTTCACGATCCGATATGTATCACGATACTTGTAAGTGCTCTTATCTGTAGTGTGTAAGCCATCTTTTTCATAGACAGGATAGTCAAATTCCTGGCACGCTGACATCTTACAGCTGGCAGTGTCAAGTCTGACACATCATATGAAAATATTTACTTTTTCACTACTAATCAGCGGTAAAAATTGGCACTAGTCCTGTAGTCCTTGCCAAACTGCCCAATAGTTTTGCCATTTTAAGGGTTTTCCATGTTATTATTATAAGGACTAGTGGACGAAAACTGTTAGTTTCTACCGCTGCTAATAAGTGTTTGGTGTAACAGCCATTAAAGTAAACATTTAGAGTATGAATCAATATATTGTACTTAGTATGCGACTAAGATTGATACTTGTATCGGGAAGTAAAATATTGCAATCTACTGATGCATCGGTGTATCGTCCCTCCATTAATGGGTACCAAAACGCAAGTATTTACACATGTAAGCATCTCAAGCAGTAATCGCTGGAATGGAGAGGTTCTAGATGAATAAAGTTACTCTGAATTTCTAAATTTGCAATAGAAATCTGAAATTGGATAATTATTTCAAATGAAACACACACAAAGAATTATGAATAAATTTACATACATTCATGATATAATTATAAAGTTTATCCTTAACTTACACCATGTACATCAGTGTTCAAGATAAACATTGCATGATGCCTTATGTCATTGGCTTTGATCATGTTAATAAAATTGTTCAATGCTGAACTTTTTAAATGATATGGTATGTGTAAAAAAAGCTTTGGTTATGACTACAAGAGGCCATTGCTGTACCTAGCATTTCAGATTTGGGAAGCTAGGTAAATTATAGATATATTTTGCATATGAATAAATTTTAGAAACATTTTTGTTTATTTTTGCTTAACGCCACTCAGTAATATTCCAGCTAAATGACGGCTGTCTGTAAATAATCGAGTCTGGGCCAGCCAATTCAGTGATTGACATCAAATCATCGATCTATGCAATAGGGATACGTTGATGTGCAACAACCAACAAAAAAAGTTACCAAGTCAGCGAGCCTGACCACCAGATCCTGTTATTCACCTTTTACAAGCAGGGGTTGCTGAGACCTATTCTAACCGTAATTTATCATTGAAAAAAGGATAGGGGTCCAATCATTCATTTAGGACAGACACAATTCACAGCTAACTTTCGGACTACCTGACGATACTGATAATGAGTTGCCGGAGGTATGATCAACACCTGCTGCAAACAGAGCTGGCCAGATAAAACACCTGGAAATTATAGCAAGTGAGTGAGTATGGTTTTACGCCCCTTTTAGCAATATCCCGGCGGGGAACACCAGAAATGGGCCTCACACATTGTACCATTGTTGGGAAACGAACCCGGATTTTCGGCGTGATGAGCATATGCTTTAACCACTAGGCTACCCGATCCCCCTGGAAATCGTATGTCAGATAACACTTGAGTGTTGTAAATCACAGAAAAATCACTTAAGGAAAAATTAGTGCAAAGATTTCCGCCTGTATCCCTCCCCCTCCAAAAGTTATATTTTATGTCGAATGCCGTATTGCTAAAGAGACGTGTGATCTTAAAGGGGCACTGATCTAACGCAATTCCCCGGACTGGTTGTTGCCTTTGTTATTGTTTTTTCCCCCGTGAGTACCCGGATGATACGCAACGCAACTGAGCGTGACCAGAAACTGGGCTACCGTCTGCAAGGACAGCTAAATAAACTTGGAGGCTGGAGGCAATATTTGTTTTACGATTTTTGCATAAACACTGATTGGTTAACTGTGATTTATACAGATTTCGACAAAGGGCGCATGTTAATTAATTTCTTCAGCCTAAACAAGCAGACAAAAAGAACAGCGGAGCTCATCAGATGTCGTCATTTGGAAATACCCCAGATGGTTATAGTTTTATACTAAAAAAAGTATCCATGCAGTGAAAGCATTTTCGGATTTCGGCTTGCGTCGATAATATGATTACTACTCCCTTGTTGACATCCACGTTTTCTCGTATAACCCTTCACTTGTGTATTTGTCGTCATTCACTTGGTGCTCAGTTAATGAATTTATTACAGGTACAATTAGTGGTAGCACCAGTTAGATTACCTGACAAAGGTTCCCATTTGGCATTTATTGTGTCTGGGGTAATTATTCAATCTAAATCCAGGTTTGAAGTGAGGTGAAATGTGTGTTATGTAATATACACGTGGCAGCCCAGCAAGAGATGAATGATCAGTTGATTTATTTTTTTGTAAATCAACGGAACGTTCCTAGTCATCAAAGGATTAACAGAAAATACGTTGATTGATTAATCACTGTTATCTTGCACAGTGGATATGTCAAGAGTGAGTGTTTACATGTCTAGGTTTACTAAAACAAAGGGAATACACTCATACCATGGCGTGAAGTGCCGATGTAAAAACAACATACTTTGTTCAGAGGGTTAACTTATAATACGTTGATTGATTGATCATTGTTATCTATCGCCCAATGGATTTTTTAGGAACCGTGAACGTTATGAAAATAGTTGTCACGTGGGCTTTCTCAGCCGACCATTGAGACTTGACACCTATGTAAAACACCTGAAACAATCCAAGTTATCAGTTGAGAAACGAACACGGGTTATAATATCCCGAAACGACATATATCTTTTAAAATATTTGATTGTTACTGAGACACGTGACATCGAATAAGTTTCTTTGTACATCTGCAGACGAGTGGGATATTGTTCCTTTGCGTGGATATTCACGGATACATTCCTCGAACAAGGAAGCTGCCTAAAATTTATACACATAAATTTGGTAGGTTGTAATTATGATATTTGCATTTTGTTTTCCTTCATTTGAACCGATTCGTTCTTGTTTCCCCTCGTCTTGGTTGGGAAATTCTTCACTGCGCGATAGACGTTGTTTTCACAGGTCTTTGTAAGCGTGTATATATTACCGTCAATTTGTAAAATGTGATTCTCTCAGGCAATTTATAAAATGTGTAAATATTTCAGTCATTTTGACTAAAAAATCTCTCCAGATTGATTAAGACGATCAAAAGGGCCTACAAACATCACAACAGATTATTATGTAGGATTAGAAGCCAAACAACATAGAAATGTACTTTTCTCAACGTAACATTTTCAATCTCTTGGTGATGACATTAAACATCAAAATGTTTGGAATTTGTTATCATAATAATACAGATGGAAATGTTTTTCAGTCACTAAAAATAACTGAATATTTGTTACACATTTGACAGTAAAAAAAAATACACACTATAAAAAAAGCAATGCTCAGGTGAAATATGTACTTTGTGTTGCAAGTCAAAATAGTGTAAACGAAAATCGCAAAATTACCAAGCAAGTGACTTATCAAAACTTCGTCACCATTACCGATGCTACCCACAAAGATACCTACATTTCCTTATTATTTCGAAAACTGTATTTCATTTTGTTCATCAATGTGACCATACGCCCTTATTACTACCCATAAAAGCGACTAATGCGCTTACGAATGGCGCAGCAGAGGTCGCGAACTAGTCTAGATTTCTGCTATACATCCGGGTACTCACTGGGAAAAAACAATAACAAAGGCAACAACCAGTCCCGGGGAATTGCGTTAGATCAGTGCCCCTTTAAAGCCTCAGTATATCTCGCCAAATATGCTTATCATGTACCGAGGATTGTAGCTCAATACTTTAATAATAATTATAGATATACTTTCAGGGGTCGTGTAGGACGGATCGAGAGGCTCTACTTATTTAAGTTTTGTCCGCACAGGCAGCCACGAGCGCACTGCCGAGTGTGGTCAGTGCTGACATGACGGTCTACAGATTACTTTCACAGAATTACACTGCTTGTGCAAAAAGGTCGGTGACAATACTTGCCTGGAGGCTGACTATCCCCGTCTTTCCTCATTGAAGCCGCCAGCCTCTTGGTTAACTGTACCCGTGGTTAGTCTATGGATGCCCGCCCCTGTAGTTCTTGATCGCTGATCACTGGACTTTGTTTACAACCCGGTCAGCCATGACAGATTCTAAGCCTCGTTCTGGAATCAGGGCACTCGAAGAAGTTCGTCTCGGGCGACTCTGTCATTTTAACACAGACCATCGTATGGGCTCAGATTCTAATGGATATCCATCAAAATTTACATGTGCGTGTTAGTTATTAAGATACCAGACAACTGTGTTTTGCTTGATATTCTCTGGATTCCAATTCGCTAAGCCTTTGCATTTCGAAATCCCGCCCTGGCTGAATATTCAGAAGTATGGATTATCTCCCTTCACTCATCTTAAAAACGCGATAAAAGGTGTATTAATATACAATTATTGTTCTTTCAAACGAAATAAAATCTGATCCACCTTTCACCAACTGGACTGAACTTTTTATAAGACTTTAATTACACGTACTTTTAAATGTGCCAGGGACTTTTGTTCCACGTGTGTGTGCCTGCGTTTATTATCAGTAGGGTCAGAGACCATCTATTCTACCATGAATTTGGAATTTACTCGATTCTGATTGGTCAATCAGAGGCTATTAAATCACAATAAACCCCCTCTGATTGAAAGAGCTGGTTTGACGGCCGCATCACCGCGGAAGCTAAAGTTGATAGAATAGTACTATTTTCAGTCATTGTCGGTAGGCACATTTAAATAATTATATCTACAATTACAGGTTACAAAATGCACAGATGCGGTTACTACAATATTCAAAGGATGTGTGGCAATACATTTCGTGCAGAAAAATACGACAGAAATCAACAAAGGGAATGTATTTACGTTTTGGAGACAACAGAGAGCTTGGAATTTTGGCGCTTTTCTATATACGACTGTGACGTCATATCTTTTGCGTCACAATGAGCGATATGACGTCATAATGGTGACGCGCGATGTAGAGCGAAAGCCTTGCAAAGCTTGCTTTGTTTTCTTTAGGGATGCCCACCTCATGTTAGCTTACCAAGTTGCCGTGATTATATACTTTCAATGCCTGTCATATGTTCGAGCGAAGTATTACGGTGTAAACAAACTGCTTGCGTATATACAGCACCATATTTTGTTCGGTGATTCCGCAATTCAGATCGATAACCCACTCAAAACACTGAACTCAACCCATGCCGCTTCACTCAGTATATTTGCTAACACCAAAGAGTTCGCGTTTTATTTAGTCATGGTAGAATGGAGATAAACATACTGTGTTTGCGCGTTCGGTTCCAAATTCAATTTAGCGGGGTTAAATCTACAGGTAACCTAGCTCTACATTGAAAACACAGTATGTTTATCTCCTAATTATATATAGCGTGCATGGGCGGATACAGCTTTTTTGAAAAGGGGGTGAGGGGGGGGGGGGGGGGGGGGTGCACAATTAAGATCTATTTATTGTCTTTGGTGGTAATTTATTCACCCCTCCTCTGTATCCGCCCATGTCGTGTATACTTCAAATTAAAAAAAATTTTTTTATAATAATTCACGCGCAAAACTGCATTGTTGACGTATAATAGACACTTTGTTGGCGTAATACAGACATAGTTGACGTTATATTTGTGATGTCACGCAAGATGACGTCGCAATCATCGTTGTTGACGTCATGTGGACTGTTTGCTTCTACGACACAGTTTTTCTCAAGAGAACAGTGACTCACAGCTTGTAAACTGAAGAGCTGTTTATTTAATTCGTGTGTTAGGCATGCTGATGTCATTAAACTGTCGCTTTATAAACATCATCAAATCAAATGTGAATTGAAACTTGATTGACCCGCCAGAATCGAGTATTTTCCGAATTCACGGTATAATCATGATTTAGTATGCGCAGTTACAGCGTTGTTGGCGTAATGCAAACACTCTTGGTGTCGGAATGTGTAATAACGTTATAATAGCTAATCTGTTAATCCTCAGCAGGGTTTTTGCTCCACATATATACGCGAAGAACACGTATGATATGTGTTTGTGTGTCGTACTGATTTTACGACACTTGCCACAATTCGTGTATAAAATTCAACATAACACTTCTGACATTTCATCTCGCGCACTCCCTTAATTACAACTGTATGTATAAAAATACTTTGATGACAATATAGACAATGATGACACAACATAACAAGTGCTGAATGGCATGAGTTTATTTGGGACTTTGAATCTTGAGACATTGCTGTCAATACATTTGGCACTTTGTTCATGAATATGTGAGTATTTTGATTTGACAAAGGAATGTGAAATACATATTAATTAAACCTACACACATTGCTAAAACAAATACTTCTAATAAAAGTAGGAAATACTGGATATTGTGTGTCACAGACGTCTTCTGTGTTGGGTGATTGTCACTTACAATGATATATATGGTGCCTACAGTTCTAATACCGTGTTGACCCGTGAAGATTCCGGGATAGAATAGGTCTTCGGCAACCCATGCTTGCCGTAAAAGGTGACTATGCTTGTCGTAAAAGGCGACTAACGGGATCGGGTGGTCAGGCTCACTGACTTGGTTGAAGCTTGTCATCGATCCCAAATGCGTGGATCGATGCTCATGATATTAATCACTGGATTGTCTGGTCCAGACTCGATTATTTACAGACCGCCGTCATATAGACGGAATATTGCTGAGTGCGGCGTAAACAACAAACCAACCAACCAAATCTAATACCGTGGCTCCTCCATCATTCAGTGTATTATTCCTCTATTCTTCTATGATAAACACCCTGGATCCTATTCGCCACCATAGCTTCGTTCCGGAAGTGACGTCACCACCCCACTCGCTAATATCTTTAACTCACAGGAATTCGTTATTGGTAAGTAAATGAAAATATATACCCCTAAATATAAGTAGAGTAAAGTAGTACTTGTATACAGGGGGGATATATTTTATTTACTGACCAATAACTAGTTCCTGTGCTTTAACTCGATTTTCTTTGTCTTCAACCAAGACCTGGTGGCGAATGAGTTCAGGGTATTTATTTTAAAATAATTGAGATATAATACACAGAATAATCGAGGATGAGCATATATTTGCCTTGTGTGATTGAATGTCCGTGAATTGTGACCTGTGTGATTGGAGAGATACATAAAAAAATCTAAAACAATATCAACAGAAGAGTCATCAGTGAGTGAATGCTGTTTTTTGCCGCATAACCAATTTTGCACCTAGTCGAGGCAAATACTTGTAAACAGGTGATCATTTATCAACTTCGAATGACTTTCTTAAAAGTGACCGCAAAGTAATTATATCAGAATAAAATATCGGAAAGCCAATTTTTTCCATCATCATTTGAGATAGCAGTTGAGCATCAAGTCTTTTGAATCATCATATTTGATGAAGGTAACACACTTAATCGCTAAAATCTGTCAGGCGGACGGTAACTGACGGTGACAATGTTAATGATGTATAACATGTTATAGATACAGCGTGGCTATGTGAGAGTGGTTGTGTGCCGCCATCAACGATATTGCAGCCACCTCACGGCGACACAGTTCACCCAATGTAGTCACGTGGTCGTTGACGTGAAGCGCGAACACATTACCCCACCGACCTCTACGTGTCGTAAAGTGAATATAAGTAATATACAAATTAATGCAATATGATACATAATTAAGCACTACTATTCTGCACTCGTAAAATAACAATCTATTATTTTAAAATATAATGAAGATATAACTTCATCTGTTTCTTTTTCAAAATAACAATTGAAACATTTATACAGTAAACATTAATAAATGTAAAATACATATATATATATATAACTACCCATACGCTTCACGCATTTTCTTTAAAGACCCGGTAGACGTTTGAATACATAGGTCCCTGATTTCCTTTTCGTAACAAACTAGGTCTTCTCTTACTTTGACGTATAAGACCTTTCACTAATATCCCATCTTCGTGTTAATGTTGAAATTAAAAACTGCATCTGTTCCCGTGCGTGACGAGTGACATACACTGCATCACTAAAACCTGTAAGTAAATATGTAATATACCGCTATAACATGCAGATACCGTTACACGTTGAATACATGCATATATCTAGGTTTGTATGGCGGTGAAGGCACAGTTGGGTACGATTATGCATGATTTGTAATAAATATAATCCTGAGGGTAAACAATAACATTCGTCGAAGTAACATGTGGAACAAACGGTACAATGTAACTGAACATTACTTGGATCAAATGACCAAAGGTCTGACCAGCTTGCTTAATTATCTATACATGAACTAATATAGCAAATACTCCTTACCATAATTTGTTATACGGTTAATATAAATATATATTGACTGTTAGAAAAAGATTTGTTCTTGGTTCAGTCGCGCACGTGGAGATTCCGGGATAGAATTGATCACCATACTTAATTTTGTTGAAGGCAGCGACTAGTGGATCGGGTGGTCAGGCACGATAATTTGTTTTAGCGGGTTTAGTACGGAAACCTTTTAGGGCCATTTCTTTTTTGTTGTTCTTGAAATGATTTTGAAATTGCAAAATAGTAAGTTGAAATTTCAAGATACATACGTTGAAATTAAAAAGAAAAGAAAAAGAAAAAACAAATGGCCTCAAAAGTCTACCTTACTAAAAGGCTTCCGTAGTTTATGCTGCTGTGATGTTACTGGAAGTTGCGTGAAAACAAACACACCTGTTACAGGAAACGACAAAGTATGTGGTGCGTACGTAAAATATCATATTAAGTCGTATCGGAATCAATAAGTATAGGAAAGGCCAGTATCAAGCAAAACATAGTTATGTTATCCACTGAGGGGAAGCACGGCAATGTTTCGATTAAAAACATGGCTCATGAAACTTGAGAAGGTACTTTAGAGCCCAGGACCACAGCAGCTGCTGTATGGCTGGGAAACAGCTGTTTTGACGTAAAAGCTGAATGCGCTCACCAGTCATATAGCTTAAGTGTGTATTCGTCGTCAAATGAAAAGATGGTAATACGAGGGAAAATGTTGTCCTTAGATACACTTCCCAACTTAATTGAGGAGTTTGACGATGTCATACTATTTTGTATACTATAAATTTGGAATAATAGGAATCCCTATCAAATGTTAATGATTATTCATATTGCTCAAATTTGGGATACAAAAATAATTTTACTCTTTATTATATATATATATATATATATATATATATATATATATATATATATATATATATATATATATGTTGACGAGAAACTAAACAGGGCTTTGTAACCTTTGTCCTATGAGCTACAAATATCTTTGTTGACCAACTTTTATAGCAACGTGCAAAATCATCGTGCTTATTCTTTTAGCGTGGACTAGTGAGCGAGTTTAGTTTAGCGCCGCTTTGAACACGCATAACATATGAGTGAGTGAGTCTAACGCCACTCTGAACAGTATTTGAGTTCTATCATGGCGTGTCAGATTAATGTGAGAGGAAAGACCGAATGATGCAGGGCGTAGACGTGTACCACTCTGTACGGGTATGGTACTGACAAACCAAGGATACACATTGGGCCATCTGGGATTCGAACCCACGCACTGCCGAATATGGAACCAATAAGCAATGCACATGGATATCGGCGACGGACACCACTGGGCCACTTCGGATCCGCGTAAGATTTAAGTTCCACATTTCTCTGTCCATTTCCCCATGCTTATACATTTAGTTAGATGTACTTCGGGCGATAGGGAATTAAAGGAGGTCATTGAGCTATATCCAAAGGCTGGCAGACTCAAAATGACACATGGCCTAGATATAATACAATTTTCGGACACGTTACCAGTGTTAAACCTCTACAACACCTTGTTTGAACCAAAGACGTATATACGTCTTAGATTGAACGTTTCTTCCAAAACAAGGACTTACGGGCAGACTAGCCCCGCGACGCTATAACTCACGCAAGTCTCGTTTTGGCATTAAACAGCGCTTTTAATAAGCTCTCAATGGATACCTTTAAGGGCAGAGAAAGTCGGAGTCTGGATGTATAATGAGGGAGGAAGTATGGTTTTACGCCGCATTTTGCAATATTCCAGCAATATCACGGCGGGGGAAAACCAGAAATGGGCTTCACACATTGTACCAACGCGGGGAATCAAACGCGGATCTTTGGCGCGACGAGCGAACGCTTTAACCAGTAGGCCAACTACCCCCGTCCCCTCTGAATGTCTAAATGCAGGCATTCATCACTACTTCGCCTTCGCTTTATAAAATATATAATCAACATTATTCAACAATACGTTCACACTGAGACAGACCTCCCCTGAAGGATTCACACAGGAATTCATTGGAGAACAACCAGCGAGGTACATGGAAATGACGGATTATCTGCCGAAAGTGTAGCTTCGAGCCTTTAAATTTTTCTATATATCAGACTTTGTCATCTTAAGAAGGAAAATGAAGAATGTGTACGAAAAGTCAGCCCTACAGTGAAACTTCACTAAGTCAACCTACTGTTCGGATGACGTAATGTTATCAATTAATTGACTTTCAGTTTGTGTGAGTTCATTGGAGTATGAACCTTTATAGAGCGAGTGACAAAACTGTATGAACGCGACGTCAAATGTTATTTTCAACAATGATGCAATACGACTAATCACTAATCAGCAATGGGTGATATTCCCTTGATCAGATCCGTCATTCGACGTAGCTCGTTGGTTCTTCTATCAACATTAAACAATCAACATAGGTAATACTTCCTACATATCTTCAACATTAAGCACATAAACCAACCCAATTCACATACTGTACTTATAGAAAAGGGCGTGTCTGTTGTAGACTTCGATCACGTGTATGAATATCCAGTGCATCGTACTATCCCCATTAACATGACATTGATGATAACAGGTTTTCCCATCTTAGTCAGAAACGCCCTTGAAATAATATATCAAATGTGAAAATAGATATAGTAAGTGAAAAAATACTAATTACATGAAACTCTCATTAGATTAACGCATTAGGCACAATGCAAAACATCACACGTCGTATAACACAGTAGATTAATAGGATCTGTAATTATATACTAGTATATAATTTGATATACTCATGGAAAGAAGGAAGGGAACACGTTTAAAGGGAAGGACGTGTTTGGGCGAGAATTTTATACGCACGCAAAACACAACCAGTAGAAATACTAGATACGTTTTACTCTGATCTAACACATTGTGTGCCACTGGTTCAAGACATGCAACTGTTTTATATCCGAAACAAGCCCAACCATTGTGTAATAGGACAGACAGCACTGTTTTAGAGTGAGTTAAACCTTAGGCCAAACATGTTTGTCAGAACAAATTATACAAATTCCCTTACCAAGGTTAGAAATTAATTATTATTTTCACTACTCTGCAAGAACGACTCCTTCTTGAATTTTACTAGTCTCGGACTAGTGGAATTATGTTAATTTCAAGCCGTGCTTACTGTTATATCCATGCGTGTGGTTTCACAGAGATGACTGAGAGCTGGAACACACTCCAGTGGTCAGTGTGGTACCTGCATCCAATCCTGTTGTGTTTCACATGCGTAACTGGGAACTAGAACATCCCAGCGTTCAGTATGGCACTGTTATTCAGCTGGCACCATTTTGTTCCCTTCACCCTTGAATGAATGTTGCAAGTGATATCTTCACACGTCCAACGAACTCACAATCTTGTCCACATACGAAGAAAACTAAGCATCAGACACAGTACACACGCAGCATAACTGATTACACTATCACACATCAACATCATCGTCAGGTTCCCCGAAAACAAACGTGCCTGGCGTGACTTTGACATTTTGTGAACTATCACTCCTTTCTCGACCGTCACTACTGGAGCCGTCAGACAGCTCAGCCAGCAGGTCATCGTCCGTGAACTTTAACCCCTCCTCTTCCTCCTCACCAGAATCACTCACGTCATCACCCACCCCGCTGATGTTGTAAGATCTTGACCGCCCCTCATCGCTGTCTGACTCTTCCTCAATTCCAGGCATCGTGTTGATCGAGTTCCTGATGTTGCTGGCCGTCGCCCTGGGCTTGTCCTCGTCCTCGGACTCGCTTGAGGCGTCGCTGTGGGTGTCGTCGTCGTCATCCCCGATAGTAAACACAGGCGCCGGCACCTTCTTGGGCTGGTCGGATGAGGTAGGGGGATGTGAGATGCGCGTCTGGGGAAGAGGGCTCTCTGTTGATGAACTGGACAATTCTACTGATGTATCCAACAAGGAAGGATCCAGGGAGGACAAGGAGCTTGTATCCAGATTTATTCCACCTTCTTTCTTCGGCTCAAAACCAGACACAACACTTGACTGATCCTCGTCGTCCTCTGTTTGTTTGAAAGATACGACACCATCTGGTGAATCAGTATTGCTTTTTGTGGTTTGGTGAGCGATGTTTATATCCCTTTCCCCATTCGCCTCTTCATCTTCATCTTCATCATCTGATTTCTGAACGACGTTACCAAAATCATAACACCCGGAAACATCACTAGAAGCTGATGACTCGCTAACACTACCATCTTTTGAGTCATCTTCTGAATGATCTTCTTTGAAACTACTTGACGCTGGTCTAAAATCAACACTTCCGTCCTGTTTCTCCCCATCATGGAATGAGCCTGACACTAGTAGTACACTTTCGTCAGCATCAGCGTTTTCCCGGGAAGTCTGATGTAAACGAGCTGATGTGTGAGACGGTATGTCGGATTCAGCACTGGCTCTTTTAAAGTGTTCAAGATGAGTATGAGGAACATCTTCCTTTGTTCTATCTGCTCCGTCAAATTCCCGAGAAGATGTTGACTCTGGAGGAGTTGGATCTGTCAATGATGTCGTCTTCACATGGACCTCTACCCCTGCGGTGTCGTCACCATCTAATGAATCTGCGCCTTCCTCAGGCATTCTGTCAGGCGTCACTATGCTACTTCTTTCAGGTAGGCCAGAGACTTGACCAGGAGCCGTAACAGAATAACGTGAGTCGCTTGGTCCAACTGAACCTACACCATCCATCACGAAAGATTCCTTCTCAGAATCATTCTTTGGGACAGAGGTCACTGAATCTAGTTCATCCTTCACAAAAGAATCCTTCTCGGAATCAGGAACACTTGGATATTGCTGTGCAACCTTGGCGTCAGATGTCACTAAATCTGTTTCCTCCTTTCCAGAAGAGTCTGCACCCGATTCATCTTTACCCCTAGAGACCCCCTCTTCAGTGTCAGAACCTTGCTTCCTTGCACTTTCAACTTGATGCAACCCCCCGTCGCTAGATCGCCTCTCTGTCACAACTACATCTTCATAGACTCCATTTGGGGTATTTACTTCTTCATCGGGTTCATGTTTGTTTTCTTGGATAGTTACGACCGAAGAATCGGGAGGAATACTCACATTTTCATAGTCATGTATAACCTCCCTTCCCGCCATAGTGTGAACACCGTCACCACCCGTACCTCTTACATTCTCGTATCCAACCTGATTTTCCTCATTGTCGCTTAATCTGTTTGGTATTTCGCCTTCATGGTCAGGTATGTTATCTGGTACTTGAGACACGCGTCCTTCCTCTTCCTCGTCAGATATTGACCGACCCCAACCACTTTTAGACATATTCAATAAAGCCGTCAGCTTCTCTGCCTCCAAGGTCACCTCGCCTGGCGTTTTAGCAGACAGCGACCGCCCTCTTGCGGACATGCTAGCGTCATAGGAAAGTCTTCTAGATCTCGGCTCCTCGTTCGTGAATGCTCGTCTTTCTCTAGATCGTTCAATCAAAGCAGACAGCGACATTTTTCGAAACGGAAAATGGTTATTTAACTGAGAACCGATCGTACTCGAGTCATCGGATTGAGACGTGTTGGACTCAATCTTTACATCATGTTCTTGTTCCTGTCCTTGTTCCTGTTCAACGGTTGCAACAACATCCTGAGCTCTTCTGGACGTCTGACTTTTATCGCTGTGGGACGCAGAATCTGACTCGCTGGAAGAATCGTCCCCCTTCCTGCTGTCCGCATCCCCATCGAACGTATCCATATGACTAAAGAGATAGCTCTTCCGCTTCATCAGCTCCCTATCTTCAGCGTCCTGATCAACTGGCTGCTGCTCCAAGTCATCGAGCTCGCTAGACGTCAACCCTTCATGGTCCTTTCTGAAAGCCACATTAACATAGTGAGGGCCGCTTTCTCTATCTATGACCAAACTCACGCTAGACGTAGCCCGAGAAGCAGTCTTGAAGAAGTCGTCAGCGTCATCTCGGACAAGCGTGAGAGTCGACGCGCCCTTCGTGGCATATTCGGGGTTGTAGAACTTGCCGAACTCTCGGCCTATAATCATCCTCACGGGGTACTTCTTCCTGTACCAGAGATACAAGCCCAGCAGGACACTCAGACAGATGAACACGGGCACACCCACCCCTGCGGCTATCTTCACCGTCCCACTGCCGTCGTCAACGTACGTCGTCACCGTCTTTGTGGTCGTCACCTGCGGTGTTGTGATCTGTAACAGCAAACAATGCTTTCGTGAGTGGCTGGAGCTGAACAATGGTTGGAGTGTAAAAAATATATTTTGTTTCTGGTTTTCTGATTTTAGTGAATGGATACGACGGCGAGGCGTGATTAAAAGGGCAAACATGACAAAGTAACCTAAGTGGACAATAATTATTTATTATTTCAGACTGTTGAAAAAAGGCCGCAAATATTATATTGCTGCAAGATGTTTCAATAAAGAAATTCTGGTTTCGCAGCTGTAGCTGAACGCATATCAGGTCTTCGAGTTGAAAAGAGGTCACGTGGTATTTATTAGAATCGGTTATACTTTATAGATTTGTAACCTACTAAAATAAAATTTAATTACTTCATAAGAAACAAGACTATTATTAAACTGGCCTAACCGAGTTAGCACCAGGCCATACAATATATGAAGGACTTCGACTATGCACCACGGAGTGCCAAATGAATGTACTTTAAAATCTGATTAATGGACATACAAGTCTTCTATTGTGGCCATGAGCTGGCATGCAGTAACACGCCCAAGACTCCAGCTATCAGGTGACGTGCGTCAGTGACATGAAGTGGAAGGTCAGCTTTCATCTCCCAGCCAGTACAGCTCTGCATGGCTGTCGGCTGTGGCGACATGATCTTCACAATCAGTACATCTACACATGTAGGGGTTGGTCTGAATTAAATGGGCGTCTACGAAGTACGAATACAATGATGATGACTAGTTTTCTTACGCCGCACTGTAAATAGTCTATATTGGGCCAGACAAACCAGTGATTCATATCACGAGCAACGTCCACGCACGAGCAACGTCCACGCAATGAACCAAGGCACCAATCCGGGCCACCCATTGCATATTGTCGCATATTACGACAAGCATAGTTGGAACCTTCCACTGTGACGTATTTAGTATTGTGAGGTTGCAGGTTCGATTCACGTCATGGAATTTTCATGTTTAAAACAAGTTTCTGACTTTTAACCAATCATCAACCACAATAGTGTTCACATCAAGAGACAAGTTTATAAAACGTTTAATTTCACGGAATGCCCGCTTACCCGGGCATTCTGAGGGAATAACTCCTTTACGGGTTAACCCGAGAAAAGTCGAACCTATATTTGTAACAGAGTGACATCGTTAGAGGTTTATAAGGTCAGTTAACTCCCTTTCCTTGGGAAGATATTATACACTGGCTAATCGGCGTTAGTCCGGACTAATACAAGTAGCCACACACACGCGCATGAACGTCGCTATTATCGTCCTTGGTCTGTGATCACCATACCCGTCCTCGGTCGTTGGCTTAACCATTTGGTGCTTGTCTTTCATTTTCCGCTGTCATATAATGGAATTACGTGGAAAGCGGCGTAAAACACAACTCACTCACTCAATACAAACCATTTTACAGATGTATATGCAGATTTTAAAGCTCAACCAATCAAACCATCTAAACTCCTTTCACGCATCTATCAAACCAACACTGTGGGGAGTTGCGTCATTCAGGCGATCTCTGTGAGTCCAGTCGGAATGACTAGCAGTCTGAATACGCTGCTTACCACCATACCGACAGCGCAGGTTGGTAGGTCCTGATTAAACAAAACGGGATATCACATCAGTTGTGTCTCTCATCGATTCCCTAACTATTTAAACCCACTCCAGTCATCTAAACATGTCGGTCTGTCAACAAGGATACAATAGCATTATAGTCAGGCACAAGAATGCCCAACATCGTACAAACGCTCATATCCATTAACAAACATTATGTTTGAAAAACAATAGGGTGCCATGTTTGCGGATTTGTTGTTAAGACGCTCTCTATTTTCAATAAACATTGAACATCAAAGGTAAAATCAATGAAGTACAATTGCCGGGTTATGGTAGATCGTCCTTGGGCTGGGTTAAGTCACGTGGTTTCAATACTGCACACGACGTAATTGAGGCCACAAGGATGTGGATTCTTCTATTGTGTGTTAATTTACTACACGGGTCGCGTGCATACCAATAACACTCCAGCAGAACATGAGACCGTTTCACAAATTGTCAAGATAAACAATATGTTTACACAGGAACAAGGAAAGTTTGTACAATTACTAGTATTTGGTTGGAATTTGTAGGAAGCTTATGGCCTCTTTCCGCCTTGGTTAATGAGAAGGAATATATCACAATCACTTTAACAATCTCGGCTGACTGTTTTCTTAAAGGGGGACTACGGCCGGTCAGATTGGCAGTCTTAGCAAGTTTGATTTAGGTAAAATCACATTCTGTTCGCCTGCCATGTTAACAACACGCTGCTGTAACCAATGCGAGGGGTGCCATCGGTGGGGCAGAATACGCTCACTTTCTTCTCGAACACCTGGTGTCATCACTATTTCATAGTGATTCAGCAACACATGATTTTAGTCGAAATTATACAGCGGGGTCTTCTTATAGTAAAGATTCCTCATGTTCTAATAATATATAAAAAATGCAGCAAAGGGGGTTTGGGTGATCCCGGCACTGTCAGACTTGTTAGGCTCATCATCGGCTCAGGGCCCTTGCCCCCTCTACACGCAGCCCAGACAGCGAATGGGACTTCTCCGAGGAAGCGCTGCCTTGTCAAACCCAACACTGCAACCTTCTGCATTACCCAGATTGTCAGAAGGGCTGTATTCCTGGCAGCAAACCCGGGTTCTCTCCCAATGTCAGTTAACAGATTGGGAGGTACCAAACCGAAGGCCCCGAGAACAATGGGGAGTCGGACAACTTGGTACTTGGGATGCAAGCGTGACATTTGCAAAGCGAGGTCGGCATATTTGCCAAGTTTTTCCTGAATCTTGTCAATCATATTAGTGTCAAAAGGGACAGGAAATTAAATAATATAAATGATTTCATTGCATTTATCAAAATGGACAAGATCAGGTTTGTTGCCCTGGAAACGTCTGAGGCTGTATACGGGCCTATTCCATAGGTTTTGTATTTATCATTTTCCATGACGCCCTCTACATATTCTGGGACGTACCATGGATGGACCTCTGTCAAAACCACAAGCATTGCGAAGACGGTAATAAAATGATTGAGCCACTCCACGGTGTCGCTTAAGATATTATGTTTATGCCAAGGATTTGCTTCCACTGACACTGTGTTGGATAGTCTCATTTCATTCATTACATAGTTAATAATAATTATTTTTATTACACAAGATAATATTTCAGTTTCACATATGGCACTTACGTCCCCTCGTAACGCAAAGCGATCTTGGTGGCTACGATTGTCGTAAGTCTCTATGTTAACGTATGGGAATTACGATCGTCTTAGGGCTTTGTGGAACAGGGCCGGGGGCTAGATTAATAATTGCTCCAGATCATAGTCTCCTCTTTTCAAACATTGATGGAGAGCTACGTTCTAGAGTTTAACGCCCAGTCTATGTCTGTCTGTAATTAGTGACATGTGTGAGTGTGTAGGTTGGGTTTAGCGCCTCTTTGAACAGTTTTTCCGGCTGTATCATGGCGTGTCAACTTAATGTAGGAGAAGTGCCTGAAGTGATGCAGGTCTTAGATGTTATTAGCTTTGATGAAACCCACGAACATTGTATGGTGCTGACAAACCTAGAAACATATTCAGGGCGGATCAAGAATTCGAACTCAAAATCACCCATTCGGGCATCACCTAAGGAACGCAATTCTACACAGTGAATTCATTTGCCTCGTCTTAGAGGGCAGGGCCAGTGACCATTGCCACGTGTGGTACTGAGACACTGGGAAGGTGGGGTAGCCTAGGGGTTAAAGCGTTCGCTAGCCACGCCTGAGACCCGAGTTCGATTCCCTACATGGGTCCAATGAATGAAGCCCATTTCTGGTGAACCCCCGCGTGATGTTGGTGGAATATTGCTAAAAGAGCCGTAAAACCACATTCACTCACCCACCCATTTCTGGTGAACCCCCGCGTGATGTTGGTGGAATATTGCTAAAAGAGCCGTAAAACCACATTCACTCACCCACCCATTTCTGGTGACCCCCCGAGTGATATTGGTGGAATATTGCTAAAAGAGCCGTAAAACCACATTCACTCACCCACCCATTTCTGGTGAACCCCCGCGTGATGTTGGTGGAATATTGCTAAAAGAGCCGTAAAACCACATTCACTCACCCACCCATTTCTGGTGACCCCCCGAGTGATATTGGTGGAATATTGCTAAAAGAGCCGTAAAACCACATTCACTCACCCACCCATTTCTGGTGAACCCCCGCGTGATGTTGGTGGAATATTGCTAAAAGAGCCGTAAAACCACATTCACTCACCCACCCATTTCTGGTGACCCCCCGAGTGATATTGGTGGAATATTGCTAAAAGAGCCGTAAAACCACATTCACTCACCCACCCATTTCTGGTGAACCCCCGCGTGATGTTGGTGGAATATTGCTAAAAGAGCCGTAAAACCACATTCACTCACCCACCCATTTCTGGTGACCCCCCGAGTGATATTGGTGGAATATTGCTAAAAGAGCCGTAAAACCACATTCACTCACCCACCCATTTCTGGTGACCCCCCGAGTGATATTGGTGGAATATTGCTAAAAGAGCCGTAAAACCACATTCACTCACCCACCCATTTCTGGTGACCCCCCGAGTGATATTGGTGGAATATTGCTAAAAGAGCCGTAAAACCACATTCACTCACCCACCCATTTCTGGTAACCCCCCGAGTGATATTGGTGGAATATTGCTAAAAGAGCCGTAAAACCACATTCACTCACCCACCCATTTCTGGTGACCCCCCTAGTGATATTGGTGGAATATTGCTAAAAGAGCCGTAAAACCACATTCACTCACCCACCCATTTCTGGTGACCCCCCGAGTGATATTGGTGGAATATTGCTAAAAGAGCCGTAAAACCACATTCACTCACCCACCCATTTCTGGTGACCCCCCGAGTGATATTGGTGGAATATTGCTAAAAGAGCCGTAAAACCACATTCACTCACCCACCCATTTCTCGTCAACCCCCGCGTGATATTGGTGGAATATTGCTAAAAAGAGGCGTAAAACCACACTCACTCACCCACTCGATACCGAGGCATTGTCCCTGTGTATTTAGGGTTATTAACTGGAGGTTGACGTCCATAATAAAAGAAAATGAGTTAGCAAAGAAAATGGGTCTTGAAATACCCTAATCAAACTGGCTGGGGCTGTCATTTGAGTCGAGATTAGTCCCCCTTTAACAGCGAGATCACCGCGTGTGTACGGAAGCAGCATAACGGTAGTGCTGACATGTGAAGTGGTAATATAGAGTCGCTAGGCTGGACCAAAACCGTGTACTCTACTGTAGAGGAAGCTAATTACTTGTGTTTGGTTATAACACAATACATCTCCGTGCTAGTTTCTCATAATGGACACTGTCAAGGCAACGGTCTCCACTCGTCCATATACGATGTATACGTACAAACATTCCATGTGTTATTGTTAGAATTGATATTCCGGCACAATCGGACTCGACTATACCCAATAAGAGAACTATTAGTATATTAAATACATAGGCAAAAGTAGCCGTGATCTATTTTATTGATAGCTGAAAGTTGGTATTAAATATGTTGGTATGGAATATATGGGTTCACGGGTTGATTGTGCGTCTAACAGTGTAAACAATGGAGGCTTTTTGACATTATTATGATATTAGGGAAAAAAAGAAAGTCACTCCCTCTTCTTTCCCTTCCAACTCCTGATACCTCTAATAGAATTTTTTTAGATCAGATATGTGACCATATATCCGTAAAGGAAACAAAAATTGCCGTGCATAATTTGAATTTTGAAAAAAAAAATCTTTTGAAAGTCTATGCATAGTCTCGCTCGTTAATCAAATTAAACAAATAAAAGGAGTGTTTAGTTTAATGAGAACTTAATTAATTACTTCTGTCTCTTTATGTGTGGTATGCTATAATCTGGCAAACTGAAAATATGAATAGGATTAATATATAATTCAGTGTTTTTTTCCACTTCACTAAAAATGTAAAACTAAACGAAAATATGACAAAACATATTTCAAATAAAGTTCATTGATCGATGTGGAAATTGTAAAAAGCTGAACACGACTCAACGTGTTATTAAGGAAAGGTTGGCTTCCAACCTCGCGTGTTATAACGAGGTATTGGCAGATTGTTCCGTGTGGCCGTACAGGTGTTGTTTATAAGAATCAACATCCACCGATTTCCAGTTGGCCAAATACAACCCTTTGCCTGTTGGCGCCACGTCAAACTTCCCAAGGTACAAAAACTCCGGTAATTGGGTTGCCAACAATGCAAGGTTCAGATGCTCAACGTCAGACATAATACATGGCTTCGTGCTTGCTGTCCTCAAGAACAATGACTGGTCTATACTAAAATATTACGCTGAGAAAACGCTAAAAGGTAAAAAAAGGGTCATTATAAATACTAGTACTACCCCATTTGACATAATTTAACATTTTTTGAGACCCTAATACACCATAATAACCTTTTGAACTTGTACGACCTTTCTTGAATGTATCTCTAATATGATAATAGTTTTATATACGATTTACCTACGATACCCAGTGTAGAAATACGACGCTATTTGCTTACTTGAACTGTGAAACCCCCGAAAAAACTAACTCAGACAGCCATCCCCATCCTTCAGCCACCATCCCACCCTAAATACCTTTTAAAGAAATTCAGAATTGTACATAAACCTACAAGAATATGTATATTGTATACTATTGTGTTAATACGTCGTCCTCAGAACGACACTACACAGTGCGTGTTGTGTGTCGTTATCAGTGAGTGTTAATGCTATTAATGTACATGACAGTTCCAGTGATTGATTGACAGACATCAGCTGTCAGAGCCGGAACGTATTTACAAGAGAGGGGATGTAGAAACCTATATTATACCCTAGGGGAATAAACATGTCGTATTTCATATAAATCGCATTTCTGGGTGACAAAATGTTTGTCTTGAGGAGGGTTTCATATTTATTGCGTCATAGTAATGTGTGCATATAAACAATGCCACTTACGATGTCAACAAATCTTGTCATGCCTATACATGTGTATGAATATTAATATTTAGTTATGTCATACGGCATTGATTCGTAAATCTAAAACCGATATCCTAATGCAATGAGTGAGTGAGTGAGTATGGTTTAACGCCGCTTTTAGCAATATTCCAGCAATATCACGGCGGGAGACACCAGAAATGGGCTTCACACATTGTACCCATATCGGGAATCGAACCCGGGTCTTCGGCGTGACGAGCGAACGCTTTAACCACTAGGCTACCCGACCGCCCCCCTAATGCAATGAAATAACACTTTCTGTCAGAAATACTTAAAATCTAAAATCTAAAACTGTGATTTTCAGACCATTCGTAAAACAATCACCTTGTCAGGTCAATCGATGTGATAAACATTTTGAAGAAAATACAAAGATCATATCTGTGCTCATTCACCATGGGCGGAACTGACGACAGATATGAATCACATGTTCCAGTGACCTCACATACAGTCTGTGACAAATATGAATATTACCTTGCACAGTTTATCTTCACCGACCTGCCATATGTCAACAACAACAATGACGTCGCGTATGCGTGTATTACCAATCAGGTGTTACAATCATGGTGTTCACATTGTTAATATAAAGAGACTATCTACCTGTTTACAAATATACATGTACATATATAAAATGTCCATACTGGCTTGGCGTGTATGCTGTAAATAGCAAAAAATACTCAACATTCAATACACAAGTGTGTGTGTGTGTGTGTGTGTGTGTGTGTGTGTGTGCGTGTGTGTGTGTGCGTGTGAGAGAGAGAGAGAGAGAAAGAGAGAGCATTCGAAGCAGGTCACTAATTCCCCTGCAATAACAGTTACTGATGATTACCGTTGAACGATCTCTCACAGAGAGAGAGAGAGAGATTATAGAATTACGTGAACAGAAAATACAACTAAATAATGTATATTTTTATTGTTTTACTTACCGGAGGGAGAATGGGGGTCCTGGAACCCCCACGGTCCTCCTGTCCCAGCATCATGAGAGATCCCATCTGATACTGTATGTAGAAGCCTTGGTGAGCGCTGGAGTTGCTAGCAGGACCATGGTACACTATTTCAACTGCGTTTGTGAGGCTGGTGACATTTTGAGATGCCCCTCCACCCACTAACCCTAAAATCAGCCTTCTCTCGCCCCCTGTGTCTGTGATTTCTAGCGAGCTCCCAAGGGGCAGGTCGAAGTATAGAAACGAAAGGTGAATGATGCGACCGACGTCAGCAACGACCTGCCAACTACAGCTCTCGCCGGCGTTGATAACACTTGTCGCGTAACCCGGGTTGACTATAACTCCACTCCACTGTGTGAGAACCACTCTGTTAGAACAATCAGGAATTTCACATTGCAGAGTCGTTCTGTTCCATGCTGGGGTTTCACCGTTATCAAGAATGCATTTAACCGTATCCCCTCCTTTAACAATATATGGAGAATCACAGAAAAATGTTAAGGTTGAATTGATTTTTAAATCGGAATATCGCGTGTTCCCGTTTGGTATCGTTGGTAGTTTGCATGTGTCCAAACACAAAGGGGCGGGGTCGGACCACGTGGGTTGGCCCGACTCGCCCAACACACATACAGTCACACGAGCCCCGTCAAGCCTTAAGCCAGGGGTACAGCTATAGGAGATGACCGACCCCACAGTACTATTGCCAACAAGGGATGCATTTAAAGGAGTAACGGGATTATCGCGAGATGGGCAGCTGTCTCCCAGAATAACAGCACTGTACAGGATGTCGAAGCCAAGAAAGTTCTGTCCCGGTCTTCTAATTCCGATGTTTGGAGCAGATGAAAACCTCAGCCAGAGCTCGCGTTGTTGTGATTGGTAAACATCATCGCGCTCCGAGTAAACATTTGGCGTCGCGTTCGGAAAAGAGGGGTTTTCTTCATATATTAGAAGTTCCTCTTCAAACAACGCGGCTGAGTTGGTTTCTTGTGTTGAGTAGTGTTTAATGGCTATAGTCACACCGCTGACGTTAACATAATTAGCAACACTAATGTGCCACTGGCATGTTACCCCGCCAGGGTAGGGGTGGGGGTAGTTGGGGGAGCGGATCACCCCACGGGTGGTCGTGAGGGTGTAATTACAAGATGGAGTGACGTCAGATGTATGAACATGTACCGCGGACTGAATCAGCGCAGTCAACACGAACACGTGACCTGCTGAGGTCATGGTGATGTCATGTATAATCAGCTGATTTGTCAGGGAAGTAGTTTCACAGGTGAAGCAGGTGATTGATTACAGGTAGCGTTGAGCTGACACCCCCGGCCGTCCAGATAGCCACCGTACGAGGGTGGTCAGTAGCTTTGAACTGGACTTCAGAGGTCATTGTCACATCCACCCTTGCACGTGTACCTGGAACGAAATAAGTGAACGATTTGTAGAGACTGATCTGTCTATTCGTCCTGTATCATGACTGTGAAATATATGTAGTTATGAAAACAAAAACAATCTAGATGTAACTAAAAGCAAGTCTAGCCAGCTCTATGAAATCAGCATCAGGAAGATTATCTTAATTTTAGAAGAGAGAAATCTATTGTGTTGATTTCATAGACGATATGTTTGTTTGATCTACCTACCTACCTACCTACCTACCAACCTGTCATTCTATCTATCTATCTATCTATCTATCTATCTATCCATCTATCCATCCATCCATTTCAAACTGTTATATAACACATGTGATAATGTATGTGAGCCAAAGCTATCGACAATCGCCCGATTTCATTCGCCTTTGAAACTCTTTAAGTTTGTTTTCTGCTAAATATTAATTTTTAAAATCCCATTTTCAGAATAATCTGGGGATTAGTTTCACAACCTAAACGTGCATACAAGTATTTGCACCATACATACAGTGATTTGCTGGAAACACGTGGAATGAGGATATTGTCATTTAACCAACATTATATATACATAGGACGTGCTGACATAACTGATAAAATTTGATATTATGATGTCATTTTGTTAAATGACAGTTAGTCAATATTGCAGAAAACGAAATGATCTGAAACCCTCATAAATACTACTACTTAACTGATATCAACCAGGGCCCACTTGCACAAAGCGATCTTAGCGCTAAGATGATCGTAACTCCCATACTTTAACATAGGCTTACAATAGTCTTAGCGCTAAGATCGCTTTGTGCAAGTGGGCCCAGGACTTAGATCATATACACTTTATATAGTATCGAATAAAATACCTTCAACCAGGAAATAAAATTACAAATTGATAAGGAATGAAAAGCCAGGCTATTTAAACACATACAGACATTAAACACGAAACGTGAACTACCTGGCAATCAAAGGCTGCATGGACACGGCAGCTATGAAGGTAGAAAGTTGTATACATATTGCCATGTTACATCACTGCATGGTATATTTTCTCCTGCATGGGCGTAAGCACGTCACCAAGCACGTAGTGATATTCATATACTGCTCAACTCTTAATTGGGATGTTTTAATTGGCCATGTCGGCCCTGTTTATGACTGGTTGCTTGGGGTGATGTCACGGATATGTTGATTTGCCGTGGAGTAAATTTCAGCTTCAAATTATGTTTATAATGCATTTCTATCGGTTAGGGTCCTCTGTTTCGTAACAGAATGAAATAATTCAGTCGCTCTGTTATGAAATGAGTAGTATATCTTGCGTGGAAGGATTTGCCTCGACTGCTGTGCGAGTATTGATTGACACATTCTTCTTCGAGGGGTATAATGTACACGGGTTGCCGTACGTCCGCTCAGATCGTTCAACGGTAATCATCGGTAACTGTTATTGCAAGGGAATTAGTGACCTGCTTCGAATGGCGAAGCGTAAGCTAATGAAAACAATATATCTCAAGATTTATATGTAATGATGATTTTATATAGTGGAATCTAGGACTCTCTCTCTCTCTCTCTCTCTCTCTCTCTCTCTCTCTCTCTCTCTCTCTCTCTTTCTTTCCCTTTCTTCTTGTTCCCCGGCCCTTTCTCCTCCCCTCTTTCTCTTTCTTTCCCTTTTCCCTCTCCTCTCTTTCTCTTTCTCCTTCCTTCCCTTTCTCACCCTTTCTCTTTCGTTCCCTTTCTTCCTCTCCGCTCTTTCTCTCACCTTTCCCCTATCTCCTCCCCTCTCTTTCTCTTTCTTTCCCTTTCTCCCTCTCCTCTCTTTCTCTCTCCTTTGTTCCCCTTTCTCCTCCCCTCTCCTTCCTCTTTCTTTCTTTCCCTTTCCCCACCCCCTCTCAATCACAGTGTAAACATAACGGTTGGAATGTGCACGTTAGACTGCAACATTTTCAACAATGGTCACTGCGATATAATGCCACAGGAACGTGATAATGCTTCAATGTTATCGGTGGTTTAGTACACAAACGAGCGTGTGTTGGAGTATGGGTGAAGATAAACAGCAGCTAAAAGACTGCAGCAGTAAGTCACGACACTGCGTGGGACAATATACTGATTATGCGTGTATCGGTAATACCTGTGATATATATTGATCGCATACGTTGCAGCAGGGAATGTAGGTGCCGAATGCGTAATCAATAAGCGTTTTACTCCCAAGCCTTAATCAAATGTCATTGGTATTTTTGTTCTGGGAGTCCATATATCGCTGACGTCGACAGAAGACAAAAGCAACGAGCGATATAACAGATGATTATATGTGAACTATTCCCGATAGGCGGGCGTTGTTGACATGTGTCTCAGTGTCAACTCCTACAGAAACAAAGGTTACTCATAGTTCATGAGTACTGCTTTCAAAAACATGTACACAAATATGAACATGAATTCTATATTCTGTGCATATTAAAAAAACGTGGCTTGATTTTATATGAATGCGTTTAACTAAGTAAATACTCGGTCATGATATATAATGTGTTGTTAAATATTTATTTGCACCTTCGCGACCAGGGGTAAAAATAGATATCGACCAGCAATTGATTTACTTACAAGGTATATGCCTACCCGCCATTTTAAATCACAAGAATTTACACATTTTATCAAGCAAAGCCTATGGACATAATCCGATTTAAGTTTGACCATCGTGAACATGTACTAAATAAAAGGGGGCGTTTCCTGGGCACTTGACTCTTTCATCATTACCGTTTTGATATTTGAAATGATTGATTTTACAGAGAAAATGACACTTGCTTCTGTCACGGATGCTCTAATCAGTAAGGATGAAAATATCAACGTCAAATCCCGTACTCACTTTTGATGTGCTCCGGTTGTCCAGGTGAGGAGTATCGCTTCAAGTCACTCAGTGGAGGGGGTGTTTCCCCAGTGGTCACGTGGGCGGAAGAGATTCCCGATGACGTCACATCCAGCGCCATTTTTGAACAGGTAAACAATGTCATATTCACTCCGCCAAGTGTTTACGATCGATTTGATTGTTTAAGACAACTTCAAAACAATCGGCTGGTGTGTTTTGTTACCACTGTTGTCTTACTATCTTTTTGAATTTCAAAACCTTTTGTGATCGATCGTTATAATGGTGTAAATGACAAGGATACCAGTCAAAACGGCCCGGCGCACTATCTCATGCTCCGAGCAGTAGACAGCTGTTAGACACGGTTCTCGTCTCCAAAGTTGCCTTGGCAGCAGGGATATGACTGTCACACTGTTCATGTTAAAAGTGTCATGAGCACCGAATCATTGACTAACAGTCAAACGTTAATGTTAATTCAAGCCAACACAAATTAATACATAGTGACCTTAGCAGTTAGCGCTACTGCGCTAGCCTGCATATGACGAATGTAACTTCCAAACTCTAGGCCTAACCAATATCATAACATTGCGATAGTCGGGGTCAACTGCAGTATTTGGATCCCCAGTAGTGCTAAGATCGCTCTGTAGGACTAGATACAGTTTATACGTCATCTATCGCCATGGTATCGATTAAGATGTGTACGCCATGTGATCATCAGTATCATTTTGAAAAAAACAAACAACCTGATGGGCTGATAATAAAAATAATGTGAAAACGGTACATATTGACATGTAATGACGCGAATAAATATGATTGTGTACTGGGTACAGTATCACTACAGTGAATGTTTTCAGGTAGTGTTGTTCCAATGAGTGTGTCCGCAGTGGGAATCCATAGACGGATGGAGTGGGGGGTGGTGTGTGTGTGTGTGTGTGTCAGGGGGTCCGGAATGATCCCAGCAACCTATGCTGGTTGTAAGAGATCACAGTGGATGGGATGGTAGCCGCGCTGACTGGGTCGATAGCATGACATTGTATCCGGATGGTGTGGATTGTTGCTCATAATATCAATCACTGTATTGTCTGGCCCAGACTCGATTACCGTATTTGACGTAATAAGCGCCCACGTCAACATTTGCTAAGATATTGGCTAGTGAACAATCCCAATTAGCACCCTTTCCGATTGATCAATGTACACAAGACTTATTTATACGCGTAAAATACACACTCGTGTGTTATATGCACCCTTAATTATGGGCATTTAATTCTGGAAAAATATAGCCTTGATTGTTCACTAGCCAATATATTCGCAAATATTGCCGTGGGCGCTTATTAGAGCGGGGCGCTTATTACGTTGAATACGGTAAGTCAGAACCATTTCCAAAAACTAAGTTTCAGCATTGTAATTAGTTTGCATTTTTTCAGTTTCAAGAGTAAGAATGGAGTCCACCAATGTGTTTGGTCAGCTCCGGAGCCTTGCTAGGCGTCTTGACCACGGTGTGGTTGACATACAGAAGAAAGTGGCTGACCCAGGAAAACATTCGGACAGTGACAGCAGCTACGCACATGCATACAGACATCTACAGGAGGTGAAGAAGGAAGTCCAGGCCCTGAAGGTGAGTTCAAGAATCAATCCCTCCAAGTATTAAAGATCTTTTTTCCTCGAATGGGTAGAAATGTCTCTTTTTACAGTTTGCCATTATCCATTTTTGGGGCAACAACTGAGAAATGAGTGCAAGGTTCACATAGGCAAGGAAAGACAGTCTGGCCTTTTCAAGGCCTTAAGATTTGATAAAAACCTTGAAATGGCCTAAAAGGGCAAGGAAAGTGAAAAAAATGATTGCGATATTTTTGCAGATATCAATTGTCCTTTATATAAAAAATAATAAAAAAATCCTAACATTGGTAGAAAGTATTTAAAATGTCCAAGTTAACGTGTTGAAATCACATGCTCTGTAATCGGCTTCCAAAACAAACCTATATGGGGACGTGGCTTAAAGCTTCCAGCACAGGGGTGCTTGAAAAAGTGAGTGAGTGAGTGACTATGGTTTTACTCCGCTTTTAGCAATTTTCCAGCAATATCACAGCGGGGGACACCAGAAATGGGCTTCACACATTGTACCCATGTTGGGAATCGAACCCGGGTCTTGGGCGTGACGAGCAACCACTTTAACCACTAAGGTACCCGACTGCACCTGCTTGACAAAGGTTTTCACTGGCTGATGTGTTATTCTTAGCAGCTATACATATACTGTTTGTGCTATTTCTGTTAATCGTACAAATAAAATAACAGTGTATACATTTTTTAATGTGTGACATAATTACGAACCCGTTTTAACCCATATAAAGCAGTGGAGAAATTTTTCGTGTGGAGGACGATTTCTGCCTGTAGTTTTTTATTGTCTGTTTTATGCTATTTAATTTTGGTCAAGCATTTGTGATTATGTATATCCTAATGTATTTAAATCTGCTGAGTTCCTATGTTGACTTTACTTGCCCTATAACATAGTTACTCTGCTGAATATTAAAATAATTTTTTCCCTAGCATCGCATGAGGACATCCTGCAGCAACAGATTAATCCTTAATTTGAGACCCGTGAAGATCCGGGGTAGAATAGATCTTCAGCAACCCATGCTTGCCATAAGGGGCGACAATGCTTGTCGTAAGAGGCGACTAACAGGATCGGGTGGTCAGGCTTGCTGACTTGGTTGATGCAGGTCATCGATCCCAATTGCGTGGATCGATGCTCATGATATTAATCACTGGATTGTCTGGTCTGCTCGATTATTTACAGACCGCCGTCATATAGCTGGAATATTGCTGAGTGCGGCGTTAAACAACAAACCAACCAACCAACCTTAATTTGACTGATAAATAACATTGAAACACTGCTGTGTGTACTTGAATTTTTTATTAATGTAACATATGTATTGACGATGAAATCAGGTTAGAATGTCCTACTACATCTATTTAGGACACAATTGGATTTTTCTTTTAGCTTTGAAAAGTGTGATCATTTCCATGAAAATGCTTTTAAAAGGCCATAAATCATGTGGATGTTAGTTTTTTATCCACCACAGAGTGGTGTCCCGGCTTTAATAAGCCTGATGTGTGTACCAGGACGAGGCCCGGGAGAAGATGGCGAGTCAGCAAATCAGTACATACAGGCTGCAGCAGGTGCTGGACCTCTTGCCCCGACTCATCGCATCACAGAGACGCACTCTCACCGGAACAGAGGACTACTTGGAACAGTACGGCTATGTGAAGCAAGGTGACTTCTTCTCTCCAGCTCTGTCAGACACATGACCCGTGAAGATCCGGGGTAGAATAGGTCTTCAGCAACCCATGCTTGCCGTAACAGGCATCTATGCTTGTTGTAAGAGTCAACTTATGGGATCGGGTGGTCAGGCTCGCTGACTTGGTTGATGCATGTCATTGTGTCCCAATTGCGTAGATCGATGCTCATGATGTATCCCCTACTTTTTGTGCATAGTATATATTAACGTGAATTGGTAAATCTTTAATTTTGTGAGTGAAATTTTGCTGACGTTTGCTGCAGACTTCGGATGAATATTGGCCTCTGTGGAGGTCTTGATAATCCCCTGTGGACTTATTAACTACCTCGCAAAATTCATACTTCACTAATGTCTATGGTGACAGTGTTGCATCAAAGTATATTTCATCGTATTTAACTTTTAAGAATATTTTAACTACCTCTGCATGCTGTCATACAAAAAGAGGTTAAGAGATAGTACTTGTTGTTACCCTGTCTGACCATCGTCATTAGGGTTCAAAACAAGGACTGGCTGACTTGGAGTCAGTATGCTGTGTCTGTTGGGTATCTATGTTAAACTGCAACATGGTGTCTCAGTGGACTAGTACTATAAAACCAACAGTAGTCCGGACTAGTACAAGCAACCACACACATAGAATCCCACACAATAAACAACATTTCACCCTCACCTCACCTCACCTCCCCTCACCTCCCCAGCCGCATCATACCAAAATACGTTAAAAGATGGTACTTGTTGTTACCCTGTCTGGCGCTCGGCATTAAGGGGCTAAAACAAGGACTGGTCGGTTCGGAGTCAGTATACTGTGTCTGAGTGGGGTATTCATGTTAAAACTGCGGCATGGTATCTCAGTGAGCTAGCACTATAAATCGGCATCAGTCCAGACTAGTACAAGCAGCCACACAAACACACACACGTACATGCACGTCCCTATAATAGTGCAATAATCTTGGACGCGACGTTAAACCCCATTTCACCTCACCTCACCTCACAACATAATAACAGACACGTAAGCTCCAGTTGAGCACATCGTCTCTTCAACTTATTCTTCTGGCTCATGATATTCTATGATTAGTAAAAGAGTTGTAAGTAATATTTTATGTCCTGCAGACACTTATCATGCCCTATAATGATTGTAATGATGAAAGCACTTGTGAACATTTTCAGCCAAGAAGACGACAGCACCAGAAGCAGTTGTGAAACCGGAAGTGACAAACGTTGTCCCTGACACCAGTCATGGAGAAGGTGAAGATGACAATGAGGAAGAACCTGACACCGTGAACGATGAGGCTATTGTGCATGAGACTACGTATCCTTTTTGTACTGTCTTGCAAATTGTTGCTTCTGTTAAATGACTTTGTCGATACTTCACAGGTTTGTATACACCTTTCTCCATCAACCGTGAATACCGTGAATACGGTTGATGTAGTCACTGTGATCTGATCAAGCCATGTCCAGTGAGTGTGCGGTACGCTACACACTGATTTAATATCAGGTGATGGTCGGGTTCACATTATCTTTAATTGAAAGCAAGCTTATTATCATGGTTATGATATGCTGCAAATTATTGTTAATTTCCCCAAAACAAAAAGTGAAAAACAACCTACCATCTCACCCTCGGCTGAAATAGGAAACAGTCACTGTAGTCACATGACCAGAAAAGGGCGCCATTTCTCAAAGCGATGTTAGTGCTAAGGTGATTGTAACTCCATTCTGTAACATTCTGTCCATTCTGCTTACAATAGTCTTAGCAGGTAAAGTGTTCGTAACTCCCATGCTGTAACATAGGCTTACAGTAGTCTTAGCAGGTAAAGTGTTCGTAACTCCCATGCTGTAACATAGGCTTACAGTAGTCTTAGCAGGCAAAGTGTTCGTAACTCCCATGATGTAATATAGGCTTACAATAGTCTTAGCGGGTAAAGTGCTGTAACTCCCATGATGTAACATAGGCTTTCACTAGTCGTACAGGTAATCATAACTCCCATGCTGTAACATAGGCTTTCAATAGTCTTAGCGCTGAGGTGACTGTAACTCCCATGCTGTAACATAGGCTTTCAATAGTCTTAGTGCTGAGGTGATTGTAACTCCCATACTGTAATATAGGCTTTCAATAGTCTTAGCGCTGAGGTGATTGTAACTCCCATGCTGTAACATTGGCTTTCAATAGTCTTAGCGCTGAGGTGATTGTAACTCCCATACTATAACATAGGCTTTCAATAGTCTTAGCGCTGAGGTGATTGTAACTCCCATACTGTAACATAGGCTTTCAATAGTCTTAGCGCTGAGGTGATTGTAACTCCCATGCTGTAACATTGGCTTTCAATAGTCTTAGCGCTGAGGTGACTGTAACTCCCATGCTGTAACATAGGCTTTCAATAGTCTTAGCGCTGAGGTGACTGTAACTCCCATGCTGTAACATAGGCTTTCAATAGTCTTAGCGCTGAGGTGACTGTAACTCCCATACTGTAACATAGGCTTTCACTAGTCGTACAGGTAATCATAACTCCCATGCTGTAACATAGGCTTTCAATAGTCTTAGCGCTGAGGTGACTGTAACTCCCATGCTGTAACATAGGCTTTAAATAGTCTTAGCGCTGAGGTGATTGTAACTCCCATGCTGTAACATAGGCTTTCAATAGTCTTAGCGCTGAGGTGATTGTAACTCCCATGCTGTAACATAGGCTTTCAATAGTCTTAGCGCTGAGGTGACTGTAACTCCCATGCTGTAACATAGGCTTTCAATAGTCGTACAGGTAATCATAACTCCCATGCTGTAACATAGGCTTTCAATAGTCTTAGCGCTGAGGTGATTGTAACTCCCATGCTGTAACATAGGCTTTCACTAGTCGTACAGGTAATCATAACTCCCATGCTGTAACATAGGCTTTCACTAGTCGTACAGGTAATCATAACTCCCATGCTGTAACATTGGCTTTCAATAGTCTTAGCGCTGAGGTGACTGTAACTCCCATGCTGTAACATAGGCTTTCAATAGTCTTAGCGCTGAGGTGATTGTAACTCCCATGCTGTAACATAGGCTTTCAATAGTCTTAGCGCTGAGGTGATTGTAACTCCCATGCTGTAACATAGGCTTTCAATAGTCTTAGCGCTGAGGTGACTGTAACTCCCATGCTGTAACATAGGCTTTCAATAGTCGTACATGTAATCATAACTCCCATGCTGTAACATAGGCTTTCAATAGTCTTAGCGCTGAGGTGATTGTAACTCCCATGCTGTAACATAGGCTTTCACTAGTCGTACAGGTAATCATAACTCCCATGCTGTAACATAGGCTTTCAATAGTCTTAGCGCTGAGGTGACTGTAACTCCCATGCTGTAACATAGGCTTTCAATAGTCTTAGCGCTGAGGTGATTGTAACTCCCATGCTGTAACATAGGCTTTCAATAGTCTTAGCGCTGAGGTGATTGTAACTCCCATGCTGTAACATAGGCTTTCAATAGTCTTAGCGCTGAGGTGACTGTAACTCCCATGCTGTAACATAGGCTTTCAATAGTCGTACAGGTAATCATAACTCCCATGCTGTAACATAGGCTTTCAATAGTCTTAGCGCTGAGGTGATTGTAACTCCCATGCTGTAACATAGGCTTTCACTAGTCGTACAGGTAATCATAACTCCCATGCTGTAACATAGACTTTCAATAGTCTTAGCGCTGAGGTGATTGTAACTCCCATGCTGTAACATAGGCTTTCACTAGTCGTACAGGTAATCATAACTCCCATGCTGTAACATAGACTTTCAATAGTCTTAGCGCTGAGGTGATTGTAACTCCCATGCTGTAACATAGGCTTTCACTAGTCGTACAGGTAATCATAACTCCCATGCTGTAACATAGGCTTTCAATAGTCTTAGCGCTGAGGTGACTGTAACTCCCATGCTGTAACATAGGCTTTCAATAGTCTTAGCGCTGAGGTGATTGTAACTCCCATACTGTAACATAGGCTTTCAATAGTCTTAGCGCTGAGGTGATTGTAACTCCCATGCTGTAACATAGGCTTTCAATAGTCTTAGTGCTGAGGTGATTGTAACTCCCATGCTGTAACATAGGCTTTCAATAGTCGTACAGGTAATCATAACTCCCATGCTGTAACATAGGCTTTCAATAGTCTTAGCGCTGAGGTGATTGTAACTCCCATGCTGTAACATAGGCTTTCACTAGTCGTACAGGTAATCATAACTCCCATGCTGTAACATAGGCTTTCAATAGTCTTAGCGCTGAGGTGACTGTAACTCCCATGCTGTAACATAGGCTTTCAATAGTCTTAGCGCTGAGGTGATTGTAACTCCCATGCTGTAACATAGGCTTTCAATAGTCTTAGCGCTGAGGTGATTGTAACTCCCATGCTGTAACATAGGCTTTCAATAGTCTTAGCGCTGAGGTGACTGTAACTCCCATGCTGTAACATAGGCTTTCAATAGTCGTACAGGTAATCATAACTCCCATGCTGTAACATAGGCTTTCAATAGTCTTAGCGCTGAGGTGATTGTAACTCCCATGCTGTAACATAGGCTTTCACTAGTCGTACAGGTAATCATAACTCCCATGCTGTAACATAGACTTTCAATAGTCTTAGCGCTGAGGTGATTGTAACTCCCATGCTGTAACATAGGCTTTCACTAGTCGTACAGGTAATCATAACTCCCATGCTGTAACATAGACTTTCAATAGTCTTAGCGCTGAGGTGATTGTAACTCCCATGCTGTAACATAGGCTTTCACTAGTCGTACAGGTAATCATAACTCCCATGCTGTAACATAGGCTTTCAATAGTCTTAGCGCTGAGGTGACTGTAACTCCCATGCTGTAACATAGGCTTTCAATAGTCTTAGCGCTGAGGTGATTGTAACTCCCATGCTGTAACATAGGCTTTCAATAGTCTTAGCGCTGAGGTGACTGTAACTCCCATGCTGTAACATAGGCTTTCAATAGTCTTAGCGCTGAGGTGATTGTAACTCCCATACTGTAACATAGGCTTTCAATAGTCTTAGCGCTGAGGTGATTGTAACTCCCATGCTGTAACATAGGCTTTCAATAGTCTTAGTGCTGAGGTGATTGTAACTCCCATGCTGTAACATAGGCTTTCAGTAGTCTTAGCGCTGAGGTGATTGTAACTCCCATGCTGTAACATTGGCTTTCAATAGTCTTAGCGCTGAGGTGACTGTAACTCCCATACTGTAATATAGGCTTACAGTCGTCTTAGTGCTAAGGTGATCGTAACTCCCATGCTGTAACATAGGCATACAATAGTACCTTAAGATCTCTTTGTGGAACAGGACCCAGGTCTGTAGTACTTCACATTCATCTGTGACTTGTCTGATTGCATGTAGTTGTGCCTTGATTACATGGTTCGTCCTGTGTTCTCCTGGTCCAGTGAATTACAGGTCACTGTGACATAGCTGGAATATTACCAACTGTGGCATCACTCACTCATGACCCTGCTTCTAGTTGCCCTTGACGACCAGCTTGTCATGCTCCAGTAATAGACCAATAGAGTTGTCTCCCTTGCATACACTCATGACAGGGTGCTCCAAATTGTCTGAATCAGCGTTAATCATATCAAGTGCAGGGCTCGATTTAGCTATGTAAAATCTAATATATATGTTTACAAATTCAAATTTAGTAATCCTTACCCGTCCACACAACATCTATCTTTCAACTCACTCACTATCTCTATGCTTTATTTCCCTTACCACATCGGGCAGTCGGGTAGCCTAGTGGTTAAAGCGTTGGCTCGTCACGCCGATGACCCGGGTTCGATTCCCAGTACAATGTGTGAAGCCCATTTCTGGTATATTGCTAAAAGCGACGTAAAACCAAACTCACTCTCTCACTCCCTTACCACATCACTTATTGCTGTTATGTGTAGTTCATGAGACATGACACAGTCATCCGATAGTTCATTTATTTAGACTAGTTTACAGAGCTCCAGATAAGCTGCGTATCTGCGTAAAATACGCATCAGAAATGCAGAAATACGCAGTGAAATAAAATTCAAGCGTATCAAATACGCAACGAACATTCCAGATACGCTACAAAAATAAAACTTGTGCGTATCATCAAAATATTGTGAAGTAACCCTGCGTATTCGATTAGCAAATCAGCAACTTATTTTGAAATTATATACGGACATTCCGTCAACCTTGCCAAACTCCACGATGACAGTTACATCATGATCATTTGCCATCACACTTTCTCGAACCCACACGACACCAGTTTGCAGGGACTAGATGAATAGTGTTTTTAAATATTTAACTTAAATACCCACATGTGTAAAAACTAGTGGGTAACAGAAATTTGAATACCCAGATAGAATTACTGATACCCAATGATTTTAAAATGCATGGGTAAAATACCCACCACACCAAAAGCTTATCTGGAGCTCTGAGTTTATACATATCTGCTTCAATTGGGATAGTTTTATCAGACCAGGGTGCAACTAGCTTTTCTTGTCAACATGCACCTGGTGCAAGTCAAATCAAGTTCCTTAATTCGAGCCCTGAAGTAGTTTGTCACTGGAGTTTGAAGTCAAAACAGAATCATAGTGTTTGTAGTGCTACTTATCTTAAGTCAGTTGTACTTAATGAAGTACAATGTCATAGCCAATCTTACTTATGGAAATGCAATCTTATAATCAGAATATAGTCGAGACATCCTCTCTCATACTTGTTGTAGTTGCTCTCCTTAACCAGACCCCGAACGCCTCCTACGCGGGTGAAGCCGAGTGAATGTAAGACACCACGCCTCGAGGACTTTGGACTGAGTGACCTCACACTCAATATTCTTCAGAAGGGGCGGAGCTACGCCCCGACACAGCAGCATGTCCCACAGACTAGGTGAGCCACTCCTCATTCCTTTAGGGGACATGGATGGCCATGTGATCTTTGACTGCAGTCCTCTGTCCAGAGTCATGTCCCTTACCCACACCAGGATCTGAAGGTCGTATGTTTCACTCAGGTTATGATCTGTGGCCTGTCTACAACAGTGTGAGATTCTCTAAAGTTTTAATTGCTTAAACTTGCTTCACTTGGGACTTTTATCCTGCATGTAGCTGACTAGTTGTGATATGACTGAAATGTGTTCAAAAGAGGCGTCAAGCCATGCAAGATTTACAGCTCAATTTTTAGACTTTTAGTGATGTGTGACATGCAGTTTTATTACTGGAATATTTTCAAAAGAGATGTTCATCCACACTTACTCTCTGCAATGCCTGCAGCTGAACCTCATATATGCCAGGCAGGTTACCGTATTCGACGTAATAAGCGCCCAGGGCGCTCTCAAAATTTGAAATAGGGGGCTCTTATTAAAATATTATTTTGGTGAAATAAAAAGTTGAAAGATTGTAAATTCCTTGGTTTATACTGACAGCCTGATATGTTTATATACGACATATTTTTTTTCCAGATTTTAATTGCCCATAATTAAGGGTGCATATAACACACGACTGCGTATTATAGACGAATAAATAAGTCTTGTGTACATTGATCAATCGGGAGGGGTGCTAATTGGGATTGTTCACTAGCCAATCAATATATTAGCAAATATCCCCGTGGGCACTTATTAGAGTGGGGCGCTTATTACGTCAAATATGGTATATCTTGTATATCACATTGCAGAGGTGTTAAGCCACGCAAGATTTACAGTTCAAATTTTGGAGTTATTGTGATTATCTCTTCATGTTTCAGTTCACTTTATGCATCCAATCAGGGTCTTTCTGAAGACTCTCCAACACCAGCTCTCTTCAAACATAATGGCTTATTTGTGACTCCGAGCCTCATGGGCGGCCGATATATACCTCAGCAGACACCAGACTGTAATAGAATAGGTAGGATGGGCGTTCTTCATTGCGCAGTCGGTTCCTTCTTTCTCAAACAGGCATGTTTATAGTGTTCATACCGTATGAAGGTATACAAACATAAATATTCCGACAACCCAGCCAATGTTATCAGTTGCAGGATACCTGTGTTACCTTGTTCATTATACAAAGGGGGGCAGGGGTGTCCCAGTCGTCTTTTGCGCCGTGATTTGATGTGCGGAGTTGCGTCCCTTGGGCACACCAGAAACCTATGATTGTGGGTTCAAATCCCGGTTTGCCCCAATTTTGTTTTAGGTTTGTCAGCACCATACCTGTGCTCGTGGGTAAACGTCTGAGACCTGCATCACTTCGGGCTTTCCTCCCACATTAAGCTGACATGCCGCAATATAACTGGAATACTGTTAAAAGCGGCATTAAACCCAACTCACCCACCCATCCTCATTATACAAAGCAGTGGTATGCAATGAATTAATTATTCGATTTTCATCTAAAAGATTTGGATGTAGAAGTTTAAAGGATGGGAAAGCGGAGAGTTTATGAGACTGGGAAAAAACTAGGCAGTTGGCAGTCTCTTCCCTCCTCTGAATACCCTGCTGATTTTCTGCTGAATACCCTGCTGAATACCCTGCTGAATACCCTACAAAAATACCCTACGCTGAATACCTTGCTGAATACCCTACTGAATACCCTGCTGAATACCCTACTGAATACCCTACTGAATACTCTACCCTCCAAAACAGCAGGTATATTGTGGATATAAAGAAACTGTTACACACATACTGTATATTGTTGCAGGGTATGGCTTTCCCCAACCCATGTTCACAGAGGATAGCCCCACCCCCTTCATGACCCCCGCAGACAAGGGGGGATGGAGGCGGCCGGAGGTGCGACTGAACTCGGAGTACCAGGGAAGTCCCGTCCCCCCTGTGCTCAACACCCCCGGAGCCAAACAGATCCACAAGCAGCTGTACAGAGAGGGCGTCAAGAAGCCTGCCGCCACAGAGGTAGTCATCCTCCAGTAGCCAGTGTTTATATTTCCATTCTAATTTGCTAAATACCCTTGACACATTTGGAATAGATTCTTTTTGGAAGTGATGTCACTGCTTCATCGCTCCTATCTCTAACCTAGCACACAATTTCTTGCTCCTATGATTGAAATTTGATTTTGGACAGGTATTTTTAGCATCGTGCCATTCGAATTGGGTTCAAAACAAAGCTACGGTGGCGAATTAATCAAATAGAATGGGGATGTAATACATTGGATTATCGAGGGGGAGGAACAGGATGGGTTTTGGTTTGTCTGGTTTACCCATTCATAGTGAGTGAGTGAGTGAGTGAGTTTGGTTTTATGCCGCTTTTAGCAATATTCCAGCAATATCACGGCGAGGGACACCAGAAATGGGCTTCACACATTGTACCCATGTCGGGAATCGAACCCGGGTCTTCGGCGTGACGAGCGAGCGCTTTAACCACTAGGCTACCCGACCGCCCCTTACCCATTCATAAATATACACCCTGGGTTTAAGACTTAATGTTAAAAAGACCCACAAGACAAGATATTAAAGTTTAATTAGTGGAGTTTCCGGGTAGGTCCACATCAGCCTACGCTTGTTGTTAAAGGTGACTAAAGGATCAGGTGGTCAGGCTTGCTGACTTGGTTGTAATGGTATCTCAATTGCAATGATCGATGCTCATGATGTTAATCACTAGATTGTCTTGTCTAGACTCGATTATTTACAGCCTGAAGTCATGTAGCTGGAATATTGCTGAGTGTGGTGTTAAATAAACATTGTTAATGAAACAATTAAAACAGAACTTATTAACACCTTGAACATCTGTTGGATAGGAACATAACAAGGACGTTATTATTTACCACCAAGCCACTATGTCTGTCTTATACATCAATATTGTCACAACAGTAACTCTCAGTGGGGTAGGGTGTCATGTACACTTGGAAGCCTTTGACAACACAGACAGTGTGGAACGAGCTCAGATTCACCATGCACTGACTGACTATTATACAGTGTTGAATACCTTCAGTCAGGGAAACCATACTTACTTTCACTTCAGTTAATCTATTTGTTTTGTTTGTTGTTTAACGCCGCGCTCAGCAATATTCCAGTTATATGACAACAGTGTAAGTAATCGAGTCTGGACCAGACAATCCAGTGATTGACAACATGAGCTTTGATCCACGCAATTGGGATCGATGACATGCATCAACCATGTAAGCGTGCCTGACCACCCGATCCTGTTAGTCCCCTCTTACGACAAGCATAGTCGCCTTTAATGGCAACCATGGGTTGCTTTTTCTACCCAAGATCTTCACAGCCTTCAGTTCAGTTAAGGTGCATGGGATCAAAACCATGTCATCTCTCCAGTGTTAGCCTACAAAAAGTCACAAGGTTTTTTAGTTAAAATATGTGATTTCTAACTTGTTTGGACTGTGCCATTATGATTTTTAGTATTTTTTACTATGCCACTGGCGATTTAATTCAAGGAATTTTGAACCCTAAAAGACTTCAGTGCTATTATCCTTGATGTCCTGTATCAAGCTGTTGGCAGGAGAGTATTTCATGCTTTATTTGTCCTTCAGGACAAAGACAGCCCGATTCCTCCTCTTCTGATGACGCCAGGGATGAAGCAGATCACTAAAACCATCACCGCCCCCAAGGTCACCGCCCTCAACAGCAAGCCAGACAATGACAGCCCCATGGTGCCAGTGTTGATGACCCCGGGGGTCAAGCAGATCCAGAAGACTGGCGGGGTCAAGAAGGCTATGCCTGTCCCAGTGCCGGCCTCCTCCTGGGACAAGGAGCCAGAGATGCCGGAGTTCACGCTCAGTCTTCAGGTACAACCAGGGTCTGAACTCACACTTAGTCTTCAGGTACAACCAGGTTCTGAACTCTCACTAAGTCTTCAGGTACAACCAGGGTCTGAACTCTCACTTAGTCTTCAGGTACAACCAGGGTCTGAACTCACACTTAGCCTTCAGGTACATAGGTCTGAACTCACACTTAGTCTTCAGGTACAACCAGGGTCTGAACTCACACTTAGTCTTCAGGTACAACCAGGGTCTGAACTCACACTTAGTCTTCAGGTACATAGGTCTGAACTCTCACTTAGTCTTCAGGTACATAGGTCTGAACTCTCACTTAGTCTTCAGGTACAACCAGGGTCTGAACTCACACTTAGTCTTCAGGTACAACCAGTGTCTGAACTCACACTTAGTCTTCAGGTACAACCAGGGTCTGAACTCTCACTTCGTCTTCAGGTACAACCAGGGTCTGAACTCACACTTAGTCTTCAGGTACAACCAGGGTCTGAACTCACACTTAGCCTTCAGGTACAACCAGGGTCTGAACTCACACTTAGTCTTCAGGTACAACCAGGGTCTGAACTTACACTTAGTCTTCAGGTACAACCAGGGTCTGAACTCACACTTAGTCTTCAGGTACAACCAGGGTCTGAACTCACACTTAGTCTTCAGGTACAACCAGGGTCTGAACTCACACTTAGTCTTCAGGTACAACCAGGGTCTGAACTCTCACTCATTCATCAGGTACAACCAGGGTCTGAACTCACACTTAGTCTTCAGGTACAACCAGGGTCTGAACTCTCACTTAGTCTTCAGGTACAACCAGTTCTGAACTCACACTCATTCATCAGGTACAACCAGGGTCTGAACTCACACTTCGTCTTCAGGTACAACCAGTTCTGAACTCACACTTAGTCTTCAGGTACAACCAGGGACTGAACTTACGCTTAGTCTTCAGGTACATAGGTCTGAACTCACACTTAGTCTTCAGGTACATAGGTCTGAACTCACACTTTGTCTTCAGGTACAACCAGTTCTGAACTCATACTTAGTCTTCAGGTACAACCTGGGTCTTAATGCACACTTAGTCTTCAGGTACATAGGTCTGAACTCACACTTTGTCTTCAGGTACAACCAGTTCTGAACTCACTCTCATTCATCAGGTACAACCAGGGTCTGAACTCTCACTTAGTCTTCAGGTACAACCAGTTCTGAACTCACACTCATTCATCAGGTACAACCAGGTTCTGAACTCACACTTAGTCCTCAGGTACAACCTGTTCTGAACTCACACTTTGTCTTCAGGTACAACCAGGGTCTGAACTTTCACTTAGTCTTCAGGTACAACCAGGGACTAAACTTACGCTTAGTCTTCAGGAACATAGGTCTGAACTCTCACTTAGTCTTCAGGTACATAGGTCTGAACTCACACTTTGTCTTCAGGTACAACCAGGGTCTGAACTTACACTTAGTCTTCAGGTACAACCAGGGTCTTACCACACACTTAGTCTTCAGGTACAACCAGGGACTGAACTTACACTTAGTCTTCAAGTACATAGGTCTGAACTCACACTTTGTCTTCAGATACAACCAGTTCTGAACTCACACTTAGTCTTCAGGTACAACCAGGGTCTTAATGCACACTTAGTCTTCAGGTACATAGGTCTGAACTCACACTTTGTCTTCAGGTACAACCAGATCTGAACTCACTCTCATTCATCAGGTGGGGCGGTCGGGTAGCCTAGTGGTTAAAGCGTTCACTCGTCACGCCAAAGACCCGGGTTCGAATCCTGACATGGGTACAATGTGTGAAGCCCATTTCTGGTGTCCCCCGCCGTGATATTGCTGGAATATTGCCAAAAGCGGCGTAAAATCAAACTCACTCACTCACTTACTCACTCATTCATCAGGTACAACCAGGGTCTGAACTCTCACTTAGTCTTCAGGTACAACCAGTTCTTAACTCACTCTCATTCATCAGGTACAACCAGGGTCTGAACTCTCACTTAGTCTTCAGGTACAACCAGTTCTGAACTCACACTCATTCATCAGGTACAACCAGGGTCTGAACTCACACTTAGTCTTCAGGTACAACGAGGGTCTTAACGCACACTTAGTCTTCAGGTACAACCAGTTCTGAACTCACACTTAGTCTTCAGGTACAACCAGGGTCTTAAGGCACACTTAGTCTTCAGGTACAACCAGGGTCTTAACGCACACTTAGTCTTCAGGTACAACCAGTTCTGAACTCACACTTAGTCTTCAGGTACAACCAGGGTCTTAACGCACACATTGTCTTCAGGTACAACCAGTTCTGAACTCACACTTAGTCTTCAGGTACAACCAGGGTCTTAACGCACACTTAGTCTTCAGGTACAACCAGGGTCTTAACGCACACTTAGTCTTCAGGTACAACCTTGATGCAGTCTCACATTGAGTCTTTAGGCTCCATACAATAGAGCATATAATGTCATATAAGTTCAACATGGTTTTCTTATGAGGTATTTCAGAAAAAGATTACACAAAAATAGCAATCAATCTGATCAATGGCAATTTCTGAAGATGTTTTCTTTCACAACAGGACATAACCCAGCTGACACAGTCATTCCGTCTCAACAACTCTACAGTCTCCAACCCCCCAGAAGCCCCAGCACTTCTGGCCAAGCACATGAAGGACCGAGACACGCCTCCACTGCCGGAACTACTTTCCACACGACTGGCCAACCTCGGCACCCTGCCAGGGACATCATCCCTCTCCTCTGCTCCCCACACCAAGGCTGCGGATGACACCATGTCTGCAAGAATTCTAAAAGCAACACAGTGTGACACCCCTCCGCCTCCAACTCTGTTTGGCAAATATAACTTCACATCCAAATATAAACATCGAGAAAATGTTCCTCCCCAGTAAATCAGACATTTCTATTGGATGTTGACAATGGCGGTCAGGGCCAGGTTCTACTAAGTGACAATAGTGCTATAACTTCCATAACTCTAGCAGGATTCATCTAGATTTGTCAACCAAGTGCCTATTGCAAGGTAAAATTGGGATATTTTTTCAAGTGTTTATTATCTTTAATTCAGAGGTATTGAATTCAATTCAGTAATTAAGGTGAACTGGATATTGCTGTATTTTTTTCTTTATTGGCCTTACCTCTTTTCGTTTAAAAATGATTTATATCTTTTAAACCTGTAATTAACAATATTATTTTATTACCGGACCCGTCAAGATCCAGGGTAGAATAGGTCTTTAGCAATCCATGCTTTCGCAAGAGGCGACTATCGGGATTGGATGGTCAGACTTGCTGAATTGGTTGATGCATGTCATCATATCCCAAATACGTGGATCGATGCTCGTAATGTCAATCACTGGATTGTCTGGTCCAGACTCGATTATTTACAGACCGCCTTCATATAGCTGGAATATTGCTGAGTGCAATGTTAAACAACACTGACAATTTCCATAGACATGGGTCAGAATATCAACTGTAAACATGCCTTGATTATTCTCTGCCAATATTAAGAGTGGAAGTAGGAATGACCGTCATTAATGAACTTACTCTGTAAATAAATCTTACACTGTGAACAAAACAATGTGTATTTTGATATTAGTGTGTTTCTACCTTATCATCCAAAATTGGCTCCCACAGTAGATATGGCTTGGGTGATATCAAGCGATATCTACATTGTAGATATCGCTGGAATGAAATTGCATCACAATGCTTTGCAGACCATTGTGACATCATTGGTTACATCACTAATGGCTCTGCTACTGAAGCTGTTAGCAGTACTTTTTACACTTAAGACTGATTATAACTGTCTACAAACTGAAAAAGTTGGCAGATTGATGTTGGATGATAAATAAAATCTCACCCTTGTGTCTTTTGATATAAAATATATCAACACTCGTTGATAAAAGTGGAACCCGTGTTGACATATTTAATATGAAAAGACACTCAGGTGATATTCTCTATATAAATGAATAGAATGTTCAAATCTGATTGTTTAATCAGAGGTTTCAAATCACAATAACCATAGCAAATGATTTGATAGTTGCATCACCGTCCGCTTACAATGCCAAATGCTACTGAACTGTGTCATGTCTGTATTCACATAAATCATGATCCATGGGATTCTGGGTAAGAATATAGGTCCACTATGCTGATCGTAACAGTGACTAAATGGATCGGGTGGTCAGGCTCGCAGATTTGGTAGATGCATGTCATTGTATCCCCATTGTGTGAATCGATGCTCATATCAATCACTAGATTGTCTGGTCCAGACTCGATTAATCATGGACCAGCGTCATATTGCTGAGTGCGGCATTAAACAACAAACAAACAAACAAAACAATTATCTCATACTTTCATATGTTCTGAAAGGAGAATCTACTTAATTAAATCTACACAAACTGATTTTAATTTTTCATTTGCTTCAACACAAGTTTGGTTTAGCTTTGTTGTATAACATCACACTCAGCAAATTTCTTATGATTATATATTGAGACTCAAATTCTACATCTTATATAATTGCCACACAATCAATGAGTCAAATAAAAACTTTTTATTTCCTCTTTATTACAATATACAAGTTCAACTCAGTCGCCAGTGCTGCATAAATTTATTTATTACAATACTCAATGTTGAAAGCAGAGATAGTGAAACAACACCAATGATTTACAAAGAGCAGCACTGTATAAATGTATACATATGAGTATTGCACATTCCCAGAGAAACTTCAGTGATGAACTTGTGTGAACGATGAAGAAGGGTGAGTTTGATGTTAATGCTGCTTGACCAGTATTTCAGCAACATGACTGCCTGCCAACGAAATGGTCAAGGAAAGCCAACACTGACACAGGTCACCAAGGTTACCACTTTGCTGATTAAGGATCAAAATCGTAATGTTGGATTTGAGCTATTATCAGCTGTTCCTGGCATGACTAAGGGACACAACTCTGCATATTGCAGTGCCTTAGACCACTAATCTACCTGTGTCCCTCCCCACAATATTAATGGTTAACTGTATAGGTGATGCCCACTGGGATATTTCGGGGCTGAAGCAGAATATTGTTTCAGTCAGTACTTGAAAACATAGTTGTTTTCACTGGAATGTGGAACCAAACAGTTGTTTTGTGACCTACAAACAAATATTGTTCATAACTACCAGCATGTCCAGTGAACAAGTTCTCTTGTTGTGTAAAATCTGAATACAAAAACTACTTTTTCCCAGCATTTTTGCGAACAGATTATTTCATAATAAAATTCAACCCCCAATCCTGAACTGCAGATGGTGGGCCTCTTATCTCACTCAGAATACCCCAAGTAACAAGTATAAAAGATAACTTCCTATCCTTTGAATTGCTATTACAAAAACCAAGGCTATTGAGAAATAGGGCATGGTTGTAGCACAGTGGATTTAGCATCCATTTGGACTGGGTTTGATTCCCCAAGGTTACAGGTGTGGAGACAGTTTCTGGTGTCTCCGTACCTGATGTCAATGGAATATTGCTGACAGCAGCAGAACTCCCTACTCACACAACAGAGATAGATAACCACACACACATACACTGCATGCACATATACTACAGGTCCATGCCTACATGTCAAACTGTAGCACACTGTAGCCAAGCTGGAAGAAGCTCATATGTACATATCACAGACTGTGCTTTAATGAGAGGTTGTCCTGGTTAGATATGTACAGTAGGTTCATAACAACTTAACTCTGTCGTATATAAACATAAGTAAGACCATTTGCTGGAATGGCCATCCTTTTTTGTTTCAAGGATAAAGGCATTGATGAAAAAAATATCCGGAAAAAAACCCACCTAAATAAGGTTTTTACAAACATATCATTCGTTTATATACTGTCAATCAAACCAGTATCTAAAAAAATATGTTATATTTTTACTTAAGCCAAGAGGTGCAGTCGGGTAGCCTAGTGGTTAAAGTGGTTAAACCCCCCACCCTCGTGGAAAAAACATGGACCCCAATGACAAACAATAATACCATTGTATTATTATATACCTCCACACACGCACACACACACACACCTCCACACACACACACACACACACACACACACACATAAAGGTAGAAGTTCAATGAGGACCCCACACACCCCCACTCACGCACATGCTGAAAGTATAAATGAGAATGTGTGAACTAACCCCTCCTTAACAAAATACTCGTCACGATATGGCTGAAATATTGCCGATGTGACGTAAAGCATTAACTCACTCACTCACTTAACAAAATAAGGGATCTCCTCAAGTGAGGTACCCACATTTGATGGATCATGTACCCCTCCAGTCCTGTACTGTACATACGACCATTTATAAATCCAGGGTAGAATAGGTCTTCAGCAAACTATTCTTGCCGTGAATGGCGACTATGCTTGTCGTAAGAGGCGACTTACAGGCTCCCTGCCTTGATTGATACTTATCATATTTCAATTGCGTGGATTGATGCTCATTATATCAATCACTGGATTGACTCATTATTTACAGACCGCTGTCATATAGCTGGAATATTTCTGAATGCGGCCTAAACAAATCCTGTACATACAGATAGAGTGTAACACTACCAGGAACAAGACTCAACCCTCCTTCCCCTTATACCACAAGTCTCTGCAGGTGACCTGTCCAGTTGTTCAGGGTCATTCAGCACACAATATAAAGCTTTGCAGCCATAGCGAAAGTACCAAGGCAGTGTAGTCCCTGCCTGTCGAAATATGCAACATCAGGCGTTAAAACTTTACACAGACAGGTTGTTTCTCAGTTCAGTGAAATCGATGACAAAAAGGAAACCATCAGGCCACACCCAAAGACTGGAAGCCCTAAAGTTACATGTGACGTACACGCGTCATAATGGAATTCACATTTTGCACACGGCACTTGTGTCATTACAATCACGTCCTACTGAATCAGCTTATCTCACAAAACAAGTACTTCTGGTTAGAAACCTCCATGCTGCTAAAATAGCACAGAAATGTAAGCCTCGTTTTGGGATCAACATCTCTTAGAATGAGACTTGATGGCGTGTTTGCCCTTGTAGAGAAGAAGGCTCTGGCACTCAAACGGCTGTGGTGGACTTAAACACAGAATTCAGTCCGTCTTTCTGAATCTGAGATTCCATCTGTTTGATCTCATCCTCAAAGAACTCGGCAGAGTTGGAAGCGAGCAGCCCGAACAGATTGTCCAGCTTGGTGAGGTCGGGCCTATTCGTCTCCAGGCAGTACTGCAGTGGCTTGAAGCCTTCCTCCCTCAGCTCCTTCACCATGCGGCCCACGCTGTGCTGGCCCGGGAGGAAGGACACAAACACCAGCTTGGCAGGGTACACCTCAGCGTGGTACTTCTTGAAGAGCGGACAGAACCTGCAAGAGAGATCCAACCTTCTTTAACAGGCATATTTTCAAAAATATTTATTTTGATATTTAAAATAAACTTTAAAATTGACATTTCCGTTATTCCAGATCTCGCCCTTTTCCCATTTACCAATCAAGATATGCCTTGATTCTATTTCAAATTTCTCTCCCAGAAATGGCCCAGATCCTACCTCGTCCTTACCCGTTTTCCCTTCAAGATATGCCTTGTAGACGTTATTACAATTTTAAAGATTCTATTCCCTCCCAGGGATGTTGAGGGCAAGACTCACCTGTATCCCTCGCACTCGTCCATCTCTTCCTCATCTGTGACGACGATGAACGTCTTCACCACCTCCCTCTCCTTGTAGAAGGGGTAGAGACTGGCAGCCGGCGCCGTACCCCCCTCCGCCCGTATGGTGACCGCCAACTCCAGACACTGCAACATCATCACATTACAGGTAAACATTGACAGACGGAAGCAAGTTCCTGTATACAGGGATTAGAAACGTGAGCAACGCTCCTATTCACACTACAATGATACAATGATTACGTTGTTTATACAACAGGTACGTTGTTTATACAAAATTTGAAACAACGGACTAGTTTCAAGATACTGCCTCTGGTCTTGCATGATGACAACTCACCAATCTCATTAAAATCAGATCTTAGTTCTCGTTGTCGCTAAACAAAGATCTGAAGACATCCCATTACGGGTCACATCACAACGACCTTTCATCCAACCAATCATCCATCCATCGCTTACCAGATCATGAAAAGTGACAGTCGAAATGGGCTTTCTAATCATGCAACCTCGAAAACATTAACATGAGGTATTCCGAACGACAGTTACAGAATTATCCTTTCTCTCTCGCTTCCGTGGGATAAACATTTGAACGGAGGAGGCGTTGCACAGAAGCACGGTCATACAATCTCAACCGTAGATAAGACATTCCGGAATGTTCGTTTGTTATGTTTTCAAAATTTTAATTGAGAACTGTGTCAACATATTTTTCAAGCGTAGTCTGAAATGGAAGTCGCCAGGTTGAAACGAGTGCCGTAAAGCTTGAGAAAGCTGCTTTCTAATTGGCTGATGTCGACTTCTTGTTAGTCATTTCAGAGGTCGGTCAAAGTTCGCGAAAGGTCGTTCTGACGTGACCCGTAATGGGATGTCCTCAGATCTTTGTTCAGCGGCAGCAAGAACTTACATCTGATTTTAATGAGATTGACAACTCACCAGTTTATATGAAGTTGAACATCTACGTGCAACTGCGATCGTAATTGGAAATCCAAAAGCAACTTTTTACGCCAAGTCCCCAAAATAAGTTCATCATCATCATTATGACCAGCCACGTCAAAGAGCCTGACAATCCCCTTACTTACAAACATAAGTAGAAAGTATCCGTACAAGCCCGTATTTATTATCAACAAGCCACAAATGTGTAAACCCACCTGCTGGACGGTTTTTGGCAGGTACGGAGCATCCCTGGTCCATTCGTTGAAGAAGACAAGCTTGGCGGACGTCACCGCCGTGAGGAGGCTGGCGATGATGGTGCTGGTCCGCACCGCGACATCCATTGAGCCGGAAGCGTCCCCCATCACAACCACCGGGGACTCCAGACACAATCTTTTGGCAGAAAGAAGTGTTACAGTATATCCCCGAAACTATGTCTTCCGTACGATTACCCTAGGAAACGAATGTATGTATAAATCAAAGTGACATAGTTATGATCCCATGGCCCTTAAATGGGTTAAAATTGACGATTTCACTAAGAACCATACCATCCGGATGATCGATATGATGTATATATTCATGTTGGAAATTGGTGGCCATTACGTATATTGTTTCTGTCTGATTTTTCTATTTTAAAAGGGGTGGGGTCAAAAATATCAAAATCAACTCTCAGATGATTTTATTGCCTACAATGTACAACTTTGGTCTTCAAAAGGAGGGGGGTGGGGATGGAGTAGCCTAATAGTTAAAACGTACTACATTTGGTTTTCAAAAGTAGGGGGGGGGGGGGGAAGAGAGAGAGACTGCACCCCCTACCCCACCCCCACTCCCCTCTGGATCCACCTATGCGTTCACCCAAAACGCACCAACCCGACAAACTCACTCTCTTATTACAACTACTAGACCTAGGCTTGAAATGGGCACTGGTCCGCAAAGAGAAGGTTCCTTTAATATGGAAGTATGACAACTTATGACAACTTCTTGGACTTACTTGATGTTCCTCAGCCTGTCCTCGGCCAGGGTCACCAGGTCCGGGTGGAAACTGGCCTTGGTGGGGTTCTCAATACGAGGCACGTCCCACCCGCTGTAGCTGGGGTCGAAGGGAATGTTTTCTCGGATCATTTTCAGTGTCAACAGTCTCTCCAACAGCTTCCCATTGGGCAGCGACACCTGGTGGCCCTTCTCAAGCCTCGTCTTCACCACAGAGTCCAGTTCCGGGCACTGGAGGTCCTCGTAGTACCTGGAAAACGACCATTGACATGACTGATGATAGTTATATTCCCCTGATAAGACATAAAGCCAGACATATCTAGGTAAAACAAGACATACAACAGAACGATGCATCCACTAAAACGTCTAAATCACGATCGTGTAAAGGAGAATGATGTTCAGTTTCTCATCACAAGTACCTAGGTATTGTATTGCAAGGAATCTTCTGGAGAGCAATGTTTGTCTTGCATAAAGTTTACCTCAGTAAAGTTGATGTAAATATAGCATACCATTTATCTGAGAGAAATGTCCAGTTTCTGCCCCTTTCTTCCTATGTAAGTTTAACATACCATTTCTGCCCAAATACGCCTATGTAAGTACAGCATACAGTTTACCTGAGAGAAATGTCCCCTTTGCAATGAAATATACCTTTTACTATTGTATGAAACAATATCCTATATCTTCCACATACCCTCATGTACCCCAACTCAAACAGCACTTGTAGCACCTATACCAGAGAACGGTGTCCAGTTTCTCCTCGTATTCCGCTACTCTCGCCATTGAGTCCGACGTCAGGTTTTTGACGTGGGCCTTGACCACGCTGTAGGGGATGTCGTACTCCTTGACGAGGTCGTTCACGTTGCTGTCCGTCAGGCTCTGACATCTCTCCACCATGGTGTTGTCTGGAGCAGGTCCGCCATAGCAGAAGGGCAGAAACCATGGTAACGCGGGGAAATCCTGCACAAGATTACAAACCCATCAATGTCGCATGATACATTTATATTTATTTTTTTATTGTCAAGTAGTGTTGTAGTACTACTTTTCTTGATTAAACTGTTATGATATCGTTGAGAAGGCAACAAAGTACCCTTTACTAAATATAATATTGTTACTTTTATAATTAGTAATCACTAGGGACCGATCATTTTACATTCCTCGAAGGCACGTCGTGCTTGTGAGACGAATAATGGTGTTTCAGTGACTGCTTCAAGGCATTCAGTTGTCTTCGGAAAGACATTTTGAAAAATATTTTGTGTAGAACCTGAGGCCAAAATATTTTTGTTCAGATTTTTTGGAAGAAATATTAAATCTTAAAAGAATTCCAGGCCCACCTCGTAGAATATCAAATGGTCGCTCCCGTATATTCTATTCTTCGACAGTGAAACTCCACGTGATTGGTAGTGTTGATACAACTAACTATGTACATCTCCCTCTTTGGCGTTAAAATGTATCTACGTATATGTACCTCTTTGGGATTAAAGTGGCATATATCTGCAAGTTTCTTCCAGCCTTGTTTGGGAAAGTACAGTGCGTAGAACTCCAGCTCCGGAGTAGTGAAGTTCCTCACCCACCTCGTGATGTGCTTGCAGGTGGCGCCACTGGCAGAACCTGTCTGTGGACACGTCATCAGGTATGTTACGTCATGTTAATACACCACAGCTTTGAATCGTGAATTATATTTCTTATAAATGTTTATGTGAGTTACTGTTGTTATACGCCGCAGTCAGCATAGGTCCAGATTATATACCGTGAAGTCTTGAACGTTTGTAAATATTGTACAGCAAAGAACGTCCGATTCTTTGATATCACTTTACATAAATCCACGTTTATAACGAACCCGCTTATAACGAACTGACGGATATGACGAATTTATTTTTTTGTTCCCGACCATTTGCTGTATACATGCCGTACATATACTTATAACGAACTACGGTTATAACGAACTAAAATTAGTGGCCTATTTGAGTTCGTTATAACCGTAGTTTACTGCAGTTAATCGGTCATGCCATGACAGATTAATTTTGGTCATATGAAAGAATCGGATGATCTTTAACTTCTTCTGGGTAGTATGGTATCGGATGGTGGTACATTTACCCACTGCATAGGAGATACATAACATGATCTTAAGTTTATGATTAAGTTTCAAAATAGCTTCAAACGATTTATAGATGCAAATATTTTCACTTACTTGGGGCTTCATAGCTTTGAGGTTCCCCAGGTCAGCCTTCAATTTCCCAAACTTCTTTTTGCTGACCTTTGTCCCTGACAGCTGCAACCTTGTCATTTTTTTCTCAAGGACTCGAATCTGTCTCCCCGAGTCCAGCAAGGTCAAGGCCTTCAGGACCTCCACCAGACCGAACTGTTCTCGGTTCTGGAGGAAGGCGTCCGAGAGCTTGTAGTCATTTCTGGCCCACGCGGCAGCCAATGCTCGAACCCTGGCGTCTGGAATAATCGAAGTGTAATGTGACTGAGTTTGTTTCTAAATTGCTTAGGTATTATTGACTGGGGACACTGGGTGTCCCTGTTCCCTATGGGAAGCGAACTCGGGTCGACGGGTCAGCGCGGAAGATACATTTTCGTCACGCTAATGAAATAGGGAGAAGTCATCTAATGCGCCGCTACTCGCTGTGCAGATTTGCCAGAGACCATTTGTCGCGGGTTCGACTCCCAGATTCACCCTGATTATGTTTTGTCAGAACCATGTCTGCTCGTTGGCATGGGCTCACCAGTGAGGTAAACATCTGAGACCTCCACCACTTTAGGCTTTCCTCCAAAGTTCACACACCTTAATAAACTTAAATAATGTTCAAAGATGCCTTAATCGATACCCCATCACTCCTCCCAGTAGAATATATAGTGCTTTTGGTAGTAGAAATGTATTTCATTCACAACTTATATATACACAACGCCATTCAAATAATAGAAATGATAGAAACAATAGTAATAAATCTACCTAATAACATCTATAAAATAATATTACTACTACCACGTAATTAATATTTATTAGGGGTGAGTGAGTGAGTTGGGTTTAACGCCGCTTTTAACAGTATTCCAGTTATATCGCGGCGTGTCAGCTTAATGTGGGAGGAAAGCCCGAAGTGATGCAGGTCTCAGACGTTTACCACTTCGGTGAAACCCACGAGCACGGGTATGGTGCTGACAAACCTAGAAACATCGGGGCAAACCGATATTCAAACCCACAATTATAGGTTTCTGGCCTGCCCAAGGGACGCAACTCTGCTCAGCGAATCGCGGGGCCTTAGACGACTGAGCCACCCCTGACCCCAATATTGATTAGGCGACTAACCAAAGACATTATAACGAATTGAAACAAATATAACAGAGCTACCAATTTTCCTGAGACATTTCAAACTTTTTATAGAAACCAAATATCTCTACAACAGCCAACTAAACACGTATAGTTAATTATTCGACGCAAGCTACATAGACTCTCTGTTCCCACCTAAACGATAAGTTGTTATCATCCATGCGGTTCAAATACATGTAAGGGAGTTGATACTAGTCATAGTCTACGCAGTCCCGCACAAGCACTAGATAATGTTTTCGATAACCTTGTGCTATTATATACCCAAGTTTATATAGTACATGTAACTATAAACCTGTGGATAGGAAAGTGTTTTCTTCAATCGCGGCTAGTATGCAATGTTTTAAAAATAAATCACAGTCAGTTTTATATGCAGTCTAAACGACTTTTCAGAGCTACTAGCTTGTTGCTCCTACAACAGGTGACTACTGATAATGCTTATAATTTCATTTTCATTTTCTCTCTCTCTCTCTCTCTCTCTCTCTCTCTCTCTCTCTCTCTCTCTCTCTCTCTCTCTCTATATATATATATATATCCATCCATCCATGCGTATATGTTTACACAAGGTAGGATTAATGTACAATCGGTGTCAAATTTCACACATATGCACATATATACGTATATATATAACGTGTAACAATTTGTTTTCGGAGATTATTCGGAAAACTTGCATGCATTCTTACACTTTTTTGACATTCTATATAGTGTTTGGCGTTAAAGCCATCATTTGAATACATAGACAATATTGATTGATCCGATGACATATATACAACACTGTATAAACAGCACGATACTCACTCTGAGATACGGCAACGCCACTGTTCGCCAATACCGCCATTGCAGCTGCATAGCGTTCTCTATTCTGCTCCTGTCCTTTCACGTGATCTGCCATACCCACCGTCCCCACAAAATAATCTTTAGGCTCCTTCTCTATATCCAGATCTTTGTGTTCCTCCACTTTGTTTTCGTCGATCTCTTCCTCCCTGTGTTGTCTCGCCATGCCCCCCTGTCTGGCGCCCCGCCCCCCTCGGGACCTCCCCCTATGTCCCCCGCCCCGTCTACCCCTCCCACGGCCTCGTCCACGACCGCTCATGGTTATGGCTCGGTTTTAAACGAGGTGTCTTGTATGTTGGTAAATCGTTGATTCAGCTACATTCTTGTATTCAGTACACTGACTGTTTGAACCGTCCGAACATTTATATGGAAGTACGAGTTTGTAACTTGCACAATCATGCGTCAGATTTTCTTTAGCCAATCAGCGTGCTCGGGCTTCCATGACCTGGGGTCAAGTGTGATGTAGTTCTAGCTACTACTGCGTTGACTGTACGTTCATCGTGAGAGTAGTAATTATGAAAAAAAGTGATCCGCTTACGGCATACCAGTCACTGTTGTATTTCTCTTATATTTCATCATGTATGTTAGTGTGATTCTATTTTCACAAATTAGACAAAATAATACGTGTATACTACATGCATTACACCACATTCTGAAACATGAAACAACATTTTAGTTGAAGGGATATTACACATTTAGATTATTTAAAAAACCAGCCACACTAAAATCAAGATTATGACACCTTCACATTCGTATTTAAACAAGAAATAACAGCAAAAGTAGTCCAAGTACTTTTTTTCAAAATCTCAAATACAAAATGACACTTTCTTTTATGGACAACACTTTCTTTATTCTTTGTAGTGGTGTTTCAGGGCTATACTGCCTTTTCATTGGATGATTCCGTGTACTTTAGGTTCGATTTCATTTGATTAAAAATGATTTTGTTCTCATTACAAAAACACGATAAAACGAGATACAGTGGAACCTCTCCTATCCGGACCCTCAGTAAAGCCATACAGCCCATTACATCATAAGCATTACATATTTATAATATTATATCATCAATATTTAATATCAATAAATACATTTGATCACAGATCTGCTGTTGACTTGAGTATTTTTGTAAACTTTTAGTATGTATACTTAATAAATATGTCAGTGGAAGTAGCTTGTTAAGTAAATTAAAAAAAAATGATATTCAGTTCAGTACGAGTTGTAGTTTCTTAGGGTGTTGTTGAGCCGAGAGCTCTTGCTCTATTATATACGCATCGATCTGTACCGAAATATCACATTGAAAGAATAAACAAGAAGTTGATATCGATAAGTCAACCTGTCTTTATTGATACTAACACATCTTCTAAATGCCATTCAATGTAGATCGTGATGTAGTCAGTATAGGACGCGTGAGGTTAACCGCGATTACTATTGTATATTCTATCACCCACAAGCACAAAAGTTTGGATTTTACTAAAGAATTACTTGTAGGAAACATTGCTGCCCTAGTTCGTTACACAATGGTAGCCAATGTTTTTAAAACAATTTATTATGAAACCGATGCTATTATTCAATCATCACGAATTTCCAGTTTATTTACATATTATTTTTTATGAATCAATTATAGATCATTGAGCCCGTGTTCAGTGTTTATCTGTAACTAATTTGTAACAAGAATAAAATAAAGAATTTCAAATATTATCTGAAATATTTATTCTCGAAGCAATGATGTTCTAGATGGTTCTCTTCATCTCTTTTGACACGTCAGGATATAGACTTCGAACCGATGCAAGCTACGCAAATTCTATGAATGAACCCACACGTGCGTATTCCTACGCTTCGGAACGAGCACGTTTGAAACGTAATCTATGCATTAGAATATATGACAGCTTATAATTGTGCTATTATTGCTAAGGATATATGCATACGTAAACTTACATTTGATTAATATGTCTGCAAGGGATATAAATCATACCTATATCAGCGAACTATATTTCTGTGCGGAGTTTCGGGTGTTGCTAGGTACGCGAGTTGTTGACATGTTGTTGTGCAAGTTGCTCGACATATAATTACGGACACGCGGTACAGACCACAGTTCGCAGACATCAAGAACGTGGGCATCATTTACATGACCGATTAAGACACCTCGTATTATTTTCAACACTTGTCATATCTGATAATGCCGAGAGGACGAGGCCGCGGTCGTGGGGGTGCCAGAGGGGGGCGTGGTCGTGGAAGAGGCAGGGGAAGATCTGGAGGCCGTGGAAGATCCGCATCGGCGTCAAACACAGGTAACGATGAGCAAGGCAGTGCCCCAGAACAGTTGGACATCGAGACTAGGCCTAAGGACTTCTTCACTGGCACCGCCTCGGTCGCCCAGCACATACAGGGCCAGACAGACAACCTGGACAGGTACGCGGCCACCATGGCAGTCCTCCGGAAGAGTGGGGTGGCTGTGGCTCAAAGTGAGTACGAATTGCTGACGTCAATAGTTTTGATGAATCGGCAACTATCTGTGTGCATACTTTTTTGTGAAAGATCAGAGTTTTATTCTTGATATTTTACTATAAAATGAAGTTAAGAAGTATACATAGATCTACATAGTTTCGATCCGGGGTAGAATAGGTCCTCAGCAATCCATGCTTGCCGTAAAAGGTGACTATATGCTTGTCGTAAAAGGTGACTAACGGGATTGGGTGGTCATCCTGACTTGGTTGATGCATGTCATCGTATCCCAATTATGTGGATCGATGCTCGTCAATCACTTGATTGTCTGGTCCATACTAGTTTAGGAAATCAATATTATTTTGTAAGGATATCAATAGTAGGTAGGAGATAAACATACTGTGTTTTCAATGTAGACCCAGCTAACACACGACGTTGTCACAACGTTGTGGAAAGGTTGTGGATTGGTAACGTCGTGATATTACGTTGTCACAACGTTGTCACAACGTTATCACAAGGTAGAATTGTTTGCTAGGGAGCTAGGTTACCTGGAGATTTAACCGTGCTAAATTGAATTTGGAACCCCGGAGTGAGGTTTCAAATGTTAAGTTTAGTGCAGTTTGAATTCAACAGATCACATAAAATATAGAAGTAATATTTTAAGGAACTAATTAATGGCTAGGGCATTTCTAGTAAATGGGAACAGAGAGCTGTGTCCTTTACATTAAATATATATTCAGTAGAAAAAAACCCACAATTTCAACCATAGATAATGACCCTAATTTGTCAAATATGAATTTGAAGGCACCTCCCTCTGTGAATATATAGAATGGCAACTTATACAAGAAATTCTGTAGAACGAATAAAGTAAACTGTATTGTAAATTTGCAGATGCTTGTGTGCGAGCTTTGACTGCTGCATGGGCCCGGCATGACTACAAGCTTGCTGATGCCTTTCTTCAGAACAGAGAGCAGTTTGGACTTGTTGAGGTTTTGAAGGCCTTAACTTTACTCGACTCAGGGCGGAGAGTGCGTGTTCTCGAGAAAAAGCTCAAAAGGTTGCAACTCACAGGGTCAAAGATCAGCAAGAAGAAATTTGGAAAGCTGAAGTCAGACATTGACAACCTTCAGGCTATTAAACCACCAGTGAGTACTGCAGGAGTTGTCTCCCTTGATGTGCTGAAAGACAATCAGAAAATGGTAGCAATGTCTCAACACTGTAAACTATAAGGTTACAATGTTGTAACAATGTGAAATTGTTAGCTGGATAGAATCTCTAGATATTTATAAAGATATATATATAAAAAGTCAAAAATAAATTTATACACGATAAAATGTATTACATAACCAACCAGAACATTCAATGTGACTTGAGTCCAGCAGAAAAAATAACAGCATGGAAATTTGTTTCCTAGTTATGTAAGAGTTGCTTCCCTTGCATCAATACTGAGGAGCAACACCTAAGATATATTGCAAGATTTTGAGTTGCAAATCTATACATTATTTATTGATAAGGAACTCACAATATGGCTAATATTTGAAATAAATGCAATCTCATTAAAATCAGAGCTCTAAGATCTGATGAGATTGAAATAGATGAAATCGTTCCATGATTGAAATAGATGAAATCCTACCATGAAACTCATACTTACGATGACTGTTTCCAGCAAGGGTCTGCCAGCGGGGCGGTGTGCAAACATGTGCAGGCGTGGGTGAGGACGTTCACGAAGGAGGACCTGGAGTTCTACGCTCTCCACTACCCAAAGGATCCCTGGAAGAAACTGGCAGACATCTGCCACTTCAGCCCCAAAACAGTAAGTCTGACAAGTAATTATCCAGGTCAACTAAAGTGACATGGAAATATGGGGGGCTATGCTGTTGTAACGTTGCGCGAGTCCTGAACGACCTCAACGCTCGTACATAAATAGAAATAGGTTCTTGAATTAAACCCTAATTACGGGCTGTCCGAATCCATTGCTCAAAGCAGCTTGACTCAGGGAACTAAAGTACATCATCGGAGCAGATTTACATATAGTTTATTGAAATAACATATCATACAAAAACAAGCTATGATATAACAAACACTGCTCTGACTGTAGTGAGAGTATTAGCTTTTTCCGAGATGTATTTTCTTAAATCTTTATCATTTTAATTTAATCTGTCCACATGAAAACAAAGTGTGCTACACGGCAAATTCACACTTTACTTTTTAGGCATATGGTGACATCATTCACAGTGCTCAGTTTTGCATTGAAGTGTTCCAAAACGTTTTCAACAACACATGCAAAAATTGTGACTGTATAGAAAATCTGCCTATGCTCATGCAGTCGACCACTTGTTTGTCTGGCCCAGACAGTTTGGTGACATATGTGTAGTAGTTTAGTGTATGTCTTTTTTACAGTTAAGAAACACATGCTACAGGGTTGAGGTCTTTATTGTGATGCCAAAGATCTAAGATATCAGACACCCTGAAACACATAATTACATAATATACTAGTATAATAGGTAAACCATTATCATCAATGCTAGATATATTGTATAGGCTTCCTACAAGTAAGTATAACATGGACCGGTGAAGATCCGGGGTAGAATAGGTCTTCAGCAACCCATGCTTGCCATAAAAGGCGACTATGCTTGCCGTAAGAGGTAACTAACGGGATCGGGTGGTCAGGCTGGCTGACTTGGTTGAAGCATGTCATTGATCCCAATTGCGTGGATCGATGCTCATGATGTCAATCACTGGATTGTCTGGTCCAGACTCGATTACTTACAGACCGCTGTCATATAGCTGGAATATTATGGAGTGCGGCGTTTTACAACAAACAAACAAATACATCAGTCATCCATTTAATCACTAGATAGACTGTACGCTAAACGATTATACTAAAACACATACAGTAATATACATGTTACGCAAGACCACCATCCAAGGGAGATAACTCCTTGACTTTCATTTGACTGTATAATATACACAATATAAATACATAATGCTTACACATTCTGTAGAAACATATACAATACTTTAAGACAGAAATTTATGATATGATATTACATTAAATGTGGTCATAACATTTAGATTACATCTTATGTCTTAAACAATTATAAACAAAACTATGCATACCCTGTAGGCGATACAAGGGTGCAGATCCCAACTGCCACACTTATGGCAACACCATAGTTAATCTGAATAAATAATACATAGACTAAAACACTATTTAATATTTAATATTGAACAAGGTAATACACACATTTAATTAACAATGATTCGCATGTATAACCTTTGAATCTTTACATTACAAAGCTTTTTAAAACATTCTTGAAGTAAAACTCTTTCACACATATTTCACTGAAGTGATGGGGGCACGGGTGGCCCAGTCGTCTAAGGCGCCGCGATTCACTGTGCACAGATGCGTCCCTTGGGCACCCCAGAAACCTATGATTGTGGGTTCGAATCCCGGTTTGCCCCGATTATGTTTCTAGGTTTGTCAGCACCATACCCGTGCTTGTGGGTTTTACCAAAGTGGTAAACGTCTGAGACCTGCATCACTTCGGGCTTTCCTCCCACATTAAGCTGACACGCCGCGATATAACTGGAATAATGTTAAAAGCGGCGTTAAATCCAACTCACTCACTCACTCACTCACTGAAGTGATAAATTATGGCAGTTTAGCTTACCTTATGCAGATTCAAATAATTAGACATAACCAACATTTATATTAGATTACATACATTTAGTTTACTTAATATAACACTTTAAACATACTGTATTATTTCAATACAACACAAGATAGAGATTATAACCATTTAACTCACCTGATTTAAGATATCTGTATGCTTTGCTGGTCTGAGCAGTTCTCTCAGTTCATGTGCTGAGAGAGTATGCAGTGTAATCAAAGCATGCAGTTTAACAATAGGTGTTAGCTTGGCCAATCAGCGTATGAAGCTTCTGGCCATGGGGCAGTTAGTAGGTAAGACAGGTCAGATACACTTTGTTATAGAGCTGACTGAAACTAACAACTAGTTATATATAATAAATATATGTGAAAAACTACAATGAAATTAAAACAGATATTACCAAAATCTACATCGGCCATGTAAAGCAACATTCACTCACTCACACATGTCAGATATGGTTCTGTGTGTAAATCATTTCCTTATTTTGTACTGCAGGATTTTGCAGTGTTGCCATGGTTCCTGCCCTTCTGTTTTGGTGCCAATTCCCCTGAGGGATCGATGGTGGAGAGGTGTCGTGACGTCACAGAGGCCAACGTCAATGACCTCATCAAGGAGTACGATGTCCCGTACACTCATGTGAAGGAACATCAGGCCAAGTTGACGGAAGACTCGAAAGCCAGATTAGCTGCATATGAGACGAAACTAGATACAGTGTTATGGTAAAACACTTTAAAGCAGTCATGTTTGGGTTTCAATAACTACGGGGCGGTAGGGTAGCCTAGTGGTTTAAGCGTTCGCTCGTCACACCGAAGACCCGGGCTCAATTCCCGACATGGGAACAATGTGTGAAGCCCATTTGTGGTGTCCCCCGCCGTGATATTGCTGGAATATTGCTAAAAGCGGCGTAAAACCATACTCACTCACTTCAATAACTACCTTCATTATTCCATTGTATCTTTTACCAGATTTTCCTGTGTATAATACAAATAACCCTTTTTGGGGGTGTTGGGGTTCGGTGGGTGGACCAACCTTTTTTTATTGGGTGGGGGTGGGGTGGAGGTGGGGTGGGTGGGGGGGAACGGAGTGAGTCGGTAGGAAGAAATACTGTCTCTTCGCCTCACCTGTTTCTTTATAAGAGCAGTGTGAGAGAGAAAACCATAAAAAAATTGATGTTACTGATGAAAGGTTGTGAGGCACAATCAGTTCCTGTTGCCAAATTTTGTTTTGTTTTAGATGTCTAAAAATTTGCAAAGTAGGAAATATGCATCATTAAAGCCCATTTTTTTCCCTGCCAACTTGAAACTTTGTTCATCACGAAATAATTGAGCTGCAGATGCAAGACAACAGGCTACAATAGATTAAGTGATGAGACAAGCTTAACTCAAACTGCAGTCTATATATTCAGAGAAAATATTGAAGGACAAAATAACCTGAAATGTCTTTTTTATATTTTATATTTTTTTCTTACTCACCAAGATTTTTCTTCAAAATATCTGAAACCATGAAATTACTTCTTTTTAAACAACATTCTTTCACCATTTCACTCATACAGTGACCATTCTTGAGATCTTATGTAGATATGTAACGGTTTTCTGAATTCTTGTAAAATATTGGAGTAAAATGAAAAATTCTCCTTTCTGTGTTGACTCCATGTTTAACCAAAGCAATGTGAATACTGTACTTATCTACTGTTTATCTCCCTTTAGGTGGTATGAAGATCTTCAGTGCTTGGAGGTAGACAAAATAATAACAGAACGACTTGAAGCAGGCGAGAATGTGAACCTGGCCAATGGGAAACTGTTGGAAAGATTATTAACCCTGAAGATAATCCGCGAGAACATCCAGTCCACGTCATATTACGGCTCTGGGGCCCCAACCAGGGAGGCAAACCCAACAAAAGTTTGTTTTCTCCCGAAGCTGATCCCCTTGGCTGAAACAAGACTGACATCAATCAAGTAAGTATTACATGTATATAGGACTGATATATGCTCAACTCCGGCTATAAGCCCAACACTCAACTCCTGATGTAAGTCCAACACTCAACTCCGGCTATAAGTCCAACACTCAACTCCTGATGTAAGCCCAACACTCAACTCCTGATATAAGTCCAACACTCAACTACTGATGTAAGTCCAACACTCAACTCCTGATATAAGTCCAACATTCAACTTCTGATACAAGTCCAACACTCAACTCCTGATGTAAGTCCAACACTCAACTCCTGCTTTAAGTCCAACACTCAACTCCTGATACAAGTCCAACACTCAACTCCTGATGTAAGTCCAACACTCAACTCCTGATATAAGTCCAACACTCAACTCCTGATATAAGTCCAACACTCATCTCCTGCAATAAGTCCAATTTAAGCAAGAACAGAACATTACCACTAGGCTCCCACTGTATAATGTTATCACTTATTTCTTGTTTGCACTTTTCTTTAGACTACCCCTCGAGTCCCCAATTGTTGTGATCGGCGATGCATCCGGGTCCATGCAGGTTGCCATTCGAACCAGCACCATCATCGCTAGTCTGCTCACCGCGATCTGCTCAGCCAGACTTGTCTTCTTCAACACCGAGAATCGTGAAGCACCATACTTGCCCAAGACCATCGATGAAGTGCTGGAACTGGCGGTGACAACCACGGCAGGTGGAGGGACAACTCCTGCCGCTAGCTTGTGGCCGTTCTATGAGAAGAAGGAGGTTGTGAAGACATTCATCATGGTGACTGACGAAGAGGAGAATGGAAAAGTTCAGGATATGAAGTGAGTTGAACATTCAGGATTGCCTGTTTTAGACATATGGACTCACTACTGACTTCATATCTGTTGTGTAAATTCTTTTCAAGGAAATTTGATTTAGAGTAAATGATGGTCCTGTTTCTACACACAGGGAGTTTGGGTGCAGCTTTATGTAGAGTCTTGTTTTGGACAAAGGATAAAAATTGCAGACAAAAGTTTACCATATCTAATGATAATATTCAGCATTGACAATTCAACTTGTTATTTGTTATCATGACAATTTGATGAGTTTCACAATGATTTTATTTCAGTTTTGCTAATTTGTACAAGAAATATCATGACGAAGTATTTCCTGCAAAGCTGGTCTTCGTGTCCTTCCTGCGTTCCCAGCATGCAAAGGGGCAAATGGTGACTAACCTTCAAGAACTTGGATTCCACCCACTCCAGTTCCAACTGGAAGGAAGCCGCCCTGACCTGACTAAACTGGACAATCTGTTCGGGCTGCTGTCGTCTGATTCCGCCTCCTTCAAGGATGAAATCACCGAGATGCAGGAGAGCATCACGAAGTTGGGGCTGGCCGAGGTCTTCAAGGGGCTCAAGACAGAGTAAGATGAGTTAGGAGGTCAATACCCGAACTCAAGACTGTAGGGGGGCACAGGTGGTCCAGTTGTCTGAGGCGCTGTGAGTTGTGTCCGTTGGGCACGCCAGAAACTTATAATTATGGGTTCGAATCACGATACACACTAATTATGTTGCTAGGTTTGTCAGCACCATACCTGTGGGTTTCAACGAAGTGGTAAACGTCTGAGACCTGCATCACAGTGGCTTTCCTCCCACATTAAGCTGACACGCCACGATATAACTGGAATAATGTTAAGAGCAGGGTTAAAACCAACTCACTCACTCACTCACTCAAGGGCTGTACTCCACAGAATAATACCACTACAGGGCTAGAACTGTCATAAGTAAAGGAGTAAGACAATCATAGTGCAACTCTTGTCCTAAGACTGCAGGAACATATTGGAGTTACGACTAAGCTACGATAAGTCTGTGTTCAGGTATCTGACTTCATTATGTTGCTTTTAATTACAGATACACACATAGTTTGCACACAGGTTAATAGTTGACACACATGTTCAATAGTTGACACACAGTTTCAATAGTTGACACAAATGTTCAATAGTTGACACACAGTTTCAATAGTTGACACAAATGTTCAATAGTTGACACACAGGTTCAATAGTTGACACACATGTTCAATAGTTGACACACATGTTCAATAGTTGACACACATGTTCAATAGTTGACACACATGTTCAATAGTTGACACACATGTTCAATAGTGTGCACACATATTCCGGTCTTTATGCACATAACAGAGTTATGCATGATGACTGAAACATTACATGATCATTGGGATATAATTATTTAAAATTGATTGTGTGACTGTATTTCTCCCTGTATTTTGTGTAAATATCATCTGGATAATCCATTTATTTGCTCACTTTTGTGTTGAAAAGTATTTTTTTACTGAGAATGATAATAAGACTAAGAGGGTCATTATCTTAAGTTTGAAACCCTAGAATGGTCAAGTTGTAACCTTCATGTATGCTTTATCGAGAAACCATTTTAAAAAAGTACAACTAGAAAACAATCATTACCAGTCTTTTCCATATGTTTCTATATAAAATACATGGCATGTTGTATATGTAGCGGCCATAAAATTTCCGAGTCCCGTGATGGGATTCAGACCACGGACCTTCTGATCCAAGGTCGGACACCTTGTCCACATGACCAAAGAGGTTAACCCCGTCAGCATGCTGACAAGGTAAGGATGTCATCTGTGGGATGACTCCACGCCCTGCTACATACTCCCCCGTCAACAGAAGGCACGTCCTGGGCCGCATAGTAGGGTACTGAGGCTTATTTTGCTCAAATTTAATATGAACGTGCTCAGCCCCACGTTGGGCGCCAATGTAGCGGCCATAAAATTTCCGAGTCCCGTGATGGGATACGAACCACGGACTTTCTGATACGAGGTCGGACGCCTTGTCCACATGACCTAAGAAGTTAACCCCGTCAGCAAGCTGACAAGGTAAGGATGTCATCTGTGGGATGACTCCACGCCCTACTACATATAGATTATTTCTGAAAAACTTGGGCCATTATTTTCTGTAATTAGCAAACATCCTTCAATTGATAAGTCATGTTCTTGATTCCTTGAGGAGACCCTTGGGCACTATCTTGTGTTCAAGGGAGATAACTTTTGCTATGATTTAGTTGCATATCATGAATAAATCTTTGTTCGTTGTTATGTGTAATACATCAACATCAGCAAGATTATATAGCTTTATTCTTTTTGTTGGTTGACAAAGTTTGTGAATAATAAGGGCATTTGATATTAGGATGTTGTTAAGTTGAGTGTTATGGATGGTGTAGGGAAGCAAGGTGTTCAGTTATTTTTTTATTTTGATCATGTGTTAGGTTTTAATTGTGTATATGAGCTGTATTTTTATTGACAAAAAATAATAATCGGAATGTTTTACATATTGCAGCGCCATCTGGCGTTCTTTATTGTCAACGTCTTTTCGTGCTCACTGACATTCTTTATTGAAAATGTCCTTTCATGCTCACTGACATTCTTTCGTACACATTGTTCTTTCTTTTCTTATGACGTCTTTTCGTAACATTTGACTATTAATATTGTATTTTGACCTTTAGTAGTAACATTTAGTTCTTTATTCGTAATATTTGACCTAAATTGCGTACTTTTGTCCTTTTTTTTCAACTTTGTATTTTTTGACCGAATGGCCGCTCATATAGTTGTCATTACCATGCAATTAGGTGTAACAAGCAGGTAACTACCAGCTACTTTGTTTATAGAGAAATAATAGCTATTTTATACAAGACATACTTTATACTATATGGTTAACATGCGTATGGTAGATATAACAAACCTTTGACATAGATACGTTTTAATAAGAACAGCTAAATTAAGGCATTTTCATTTTTCTTCATTAATCTGACGCAAGTGCTTTGTGATTGGTTCTGTTGAGTTATTTTATGTGCAATACTATACTGTCTTCTTGGTGGCACAATCAGGTTCTCAGGATCTAATATATGATTATTTGTTTATTTAATGTTACAAAGATGTATTGTGTTGAGTCAGCAGTACTGACATTACTGTATATTTGTACTAGAACAGTTACTACATGTCACAAAACATATGTTGGTTTGAGTCTGTGATACTTTTTACCTTTTTTGTACATGATCAATGTATGTTTTTATCTCAGGGCAACCTTTCATAATAAATATATGTTCAAATGTATGATATTACTTTGTTTTCATTATACGTTTAGCAAACACAAACAAATCAATCTGTCAGTAAAGAAGACAAGGTTGGTATTTAAGCCTGGATCAAATCAATGATATCATTGTGGCTTATGTCAGTGATATAATTGCGGCTTATATATGTCTGTGATATAATTGTGGCTTATATAGGTCAGTGATATTGTGGCTTATATATGTCAGTGATATCATTGTGGCTTATATATGTCAGTGATATCATTGTGGCTTATATACTAGTATATCAGTGATACCATTGTGGCATATATGCCTGTGATATCATTGTGGCTTATATATGTCAGTGATATCATTGTGGCTTATATATGTCAAGGATATCATAGTGTCATATATGTCAAGGATATCATTGTGGGTTATATGTCAGTGATATCATTGTGGCTTATATATGTCAAGGGTATCATTCTGTAATATATGTCAAGGATATCATTGTGGCTTATATATATGTCAGTGATATCATTGTGGCTTATATATGTCAGTGATATCATTCTGCCATATATGTCAAGGATATCATTGTGTCATATATGTCAAGGATATCATTGTCATACATGCCTGTGATATCACTGTGGCTTATATATGTCAGTTATGTCATTGTGGCTTATATATGTCAAGGATATCATTGTGGGTTATATGTCAGTGATATCATTGTGGCTTATATTTGTCAAGGGTATCATTCTTTAATATATGTCAAGAATATCATTGTGGCTTATATGTCTGTGATGTCATTGTGGCTTATATATATATGTCAGTGATATCATTGTGGCTTATATATGTCAGTGATATCATTCTGTCATATATGTCAAGGATATCATTGTGTCATATGTCAAGGATATCATTGTCATACATGCCTGTGATATCATTGTGGCTTATATATGTCAGTGATATCATTGTGGCTTATATATGTCAAGGATATCATTTTGTCATATATGTCAAGGATATCATTGTGGCTTATATATCTGTGATGTCATTGTGGCATGTACAATGTCTGTGCTTTCACTGTGGAATTGGCTATTCAGTAATTCATGAAGATATCGTGAACTATTTCAATGATATCACTGATGCATGGGCTATTTCTGTATACCACGACAATGTGGAACATTTCTCAGAATATTAATCACTGGATTGCCTGGTCAAATTCTCAATTATTAACAGGCTGTCGGCAAGAAAGTTGGAATATTGCTGAGTGGGGAGTAAAATCCCCCACAAAAGGAAGGTGGCATTATTTATGTTACTTGTGAGCCCTTTATCAGTAATGGCTGCACTTTACAGGTGATAAATAGAGGTTATCACGCGAGTTATCGCCAAGGCTCGCTAAATACAATGTTTATTCCTAATGCAGGATATATACCATCCCCAAACACACAAGCGTGATAACCTCTTTATCATATAATGTCATTCTTTAATTCTGTGCTTCATAATCGCTTTCCCTCTCTCACAAACATTACCGAAACATTGCGAGTTGTCCTGGAATGCGCGCATTAATATTTATTACGTCATAGGGTAAGTGATGTGTCAGTCAGACAGTGACAGTAGCCAATATAGTTCCAACTGAAATCTGTATCTTATCAAGTGGCGAAGCAACACATACGCAAAACAACAATCATTTTTTTTTAATTGCATTCGCGGCAATCCATCGGTCTGTCCGCTAGAGTAACTGCCCTTTGTCAAAGGGAAGCTACTCTAACCCTAGTCTATGAGACGGTCAGACGTTGTTGACGGTTGGTCTGTCCTGTCATAACGTTAAGAAGTGTAGTCAGATGAACACACTGCGAGAAAACGAAACAAGATAGCAAGTCAAGTATATTTCGGCCAAATCCAACTATTTTAATTTGTGGAGAAGGTTTCAAGCCGCAGAGGTCTACAAGCACAGATATGGCTACTGATCCCGCGTGGCTAGGCCTCGTGCCCTCGCAAAATTGTTTCGAAATTGATATATCCAAAGTTGCCCAAACCTATAAAATGCCTTAGCTACGTCACAGTTAGACACTGATTTTCAGTATATTAGACTGTTCTTTTGATAATGATAGCAATTATCCCTGTTGTTTATCCAGATTCCCGATGGTTAATTCTGACTCGATCGCCTAATAACGATGGCGACGCCATGTTTGTTTTATAAACATTGAAAGTAGTCCCTACTCGACCTATGATATTTGCATCTCTATCCGCATATGACCCCAGCGGATATCGTTTTTATCCGTTGGCTTTATCCTGCCGAGAAACCTACCCATTATATGATAAATCGTTTTATTATCACTTGGGGTGTCACGATACGATATTTATCTCGATTTTGAGGTCACGATACGATACCTATCTTGATACAGCAGTACCAACCTTTTATGCGTAAATTTAGAAGCAAACATATTTAACTACATATCACATTCACAATTGTGTTCTAATCACTATCAGTGGATTATTTTGTAAAATAATCAATCTTGGCAAAGTTTGATTTTGTTTATTCAAACAAGTGGCAGACACTTGAAATGTATTTTCATGAAATAAATGCTGAAAAGTGAATAATTGCATTGTTTGTTGTCATTTAAATGAATGGAAGTGTTCAATTTATTCATGTCACTTGTGACCAACTCTTGGTAAAACAATAATAACCATACATCATTATTGACTCAATATCAAGCTGCGCTTCACCAAAATCATGTATCAATCAGCTATTGTCATACTCGCATCAGATACTTTTATGTGTTACTGTTAATTTGCAACACTGGTCTGAACCAGCTCCACCAGTAAAATACTAAGAGGAAGAATAAATATTAAAATGTTTCACCCTAAATAGCATAAACGCAAATAATGTCAAATGTTCTTATATCTTATTTTCAAACAGCAAACAATATAAACACTGCATGCTTAACCCAATCAGCAAATACTAACACTTAACACTTGACCAGTAAACAGTCTGATCAGACAATAACATTTAAACTTCTCTTTAATTCACTTATAATCTTCATTACAAGTTTACAACTTCTGAATTCGGTCTAGGTTTCGAAAATGAATCGAAAATTGAACCTTGACCGGATGCTGGTCTCTTTAATACATTGTCATACATTGCATTCTTCCCACTACTGCTAGAGCTTGGAGTTGGAGCTGATCGACGCAGATGGATGTGATTTCAGGTAAGTGTAAGTGAAAGTTCATGTTGGTTGTGCTACCTGTGTAGGAAATGTGCGTTTTAGAGAGTTGACAAACAGTCCTTTCGCGGCAAACTTTCCTTACACCGGCTTCATCGATAGAACACCGGAAATGTCTCCAGACATTTGAATTAAACTTCCCCAATCTCATTAAAATCAGATCTTAGTTCTCGCTATCGCGAAACAAAGATCTGAGGACATCCCATTACGGGTTACGTCAGCATGACCTTTCATCCAACCAATCAGAGCGTCGCTTACCAGATCCTGAAAGTGACGGTCGGAATGTGTTTTCTAATCATGCAACCTCGAAATATTTAACACAGGGTATTCTGAACGACAGTTACGGGTTTTATGATAAATCAATACAATCTAGTCCATCTTTAAGCCATTCCAGAATGTTGTTTTTGTCAGTTTTAAATTTTTAAATCGAAAATACGTCAAAATATGTTTCGGAGCGTAGTCGCCAGTTTGAAACTTATGTCGTAAAGCTCGAGATAGCTGCCTTCTGCAGAGGTAGAAACTAACATTTTTGGTCCACTAGTCCTTATAATGATAATATATAGCAAAACCCCTAAAAATGGCAAATATCTACTAGTCCTTATGATACCTTAACTATTGGGCAGATTGGCAAGGACTATAGGACTAGTGCAAATTTCTAACTCTGCTTCTGATTGGCAAATGTCGATTTCTTGTCATTCTTTTCATTGGTCGGTCAATGTTCGCGAAAGGTCATTCTGACGTGACCCGTAATGGGATGTCCTCAGATCCTTGGTTAGCGATAGTGAGAACTAAGATCTGATTTTAATGAGATTGAAAATTCCCCAGCGGGTCTTCCAATTCTGTGACCGAGAACTCCATGATGTCGTCTGCACGCGCTGTGACAGACGCTATTATGAACCGCTGTCTCTGATTGGTCAATAACACTCCAGTAACCAATAAAAACAAGCGTATCGAGTAAAGTTAGCTATGTTTGTTATTTATTCGTGTATAATACGCACTCGTGTGTTATATGCACCCTTAATTATGGGCAATTAAATACTGAAAAATATATCTGTCGTGTATGATACGCACATACTTTTCTTTTGTATCATTTTAAACTGTCATCATAAACTACGAAATTTACAATCTTTCAACTCTGTTTTTTTCTCACCCAAATCATATTAAAATAAAAGTCCATTATTTCTAATTTTGAGAGCGCCCCGGGCGCTTATTACGTCGAACACGGCAGGAGGAATCTCGTATTCAAACCAACAACTATAGGATCCTGGTAGGGCTGAAGCGCACGTAAACACATTCCAAGGTATGTACCTGATCTTTTCACTATAAATAGCCACAGCTTTAACAATATCGAACTGATTGACTGCCATATTTTAAAAATATCTTGTTTACATTTAAAATTGAACAATTGTTCGTAAATATTTGTTTCTAAACAATCAATAATTCTTACATACAAACATTACATTGTATTATTCATCATGGATTTCACCAAGATCGCAAGTTATATAGACAGATTCGCTTCTGACGTGTATCTTGGAGTTACAGCAAAAGTGTCCCGAACTTGTCCATGGAGCATTCATTAACGATTTATATTATCTCTCGAATGTTAAAAGCACATTTCTTGGTGTACATTTGATTTTAATTCGGCATAACTACATAGGGATCTTTATGTAGGCATTGAAACTGGACGAAACTAATTTTTTAAATGATACTTTCATTATCCTGGAACACATTAAAGATTAATATCTGTACATAAAAACGTGAAGTTTAATCAAAATACTATTGTGCGAACACATTGCTACCAAAAATATATTAACACATTTCATTTCTTATTTTGTAGGCTTTTATGCAAGAAAATGTATTGGTATTTGTAAATAAAACCCATTTCCTTTAGAACAATTCTCTGAAAGGATGGGGATTGCATACGAACAGCTCTACAAACAACATACCATAATTCTTTGCAATAACATAACATATTCCGCTACAACGCGTGATATACTTTGCATGTAAATCACGACGCGGAAAATAAATGCTTGCTTCAGATTGCTTGCTCTTTTACAGAAAGCTTGTAAATTTTGTTTTACCAGAAGGTGTGTAGTATTTTAATAGGGGAAATTATGTTTTGATTTTAATGGGTTCAACAAAACTTAACTATAAATATTCTGGTTCGTAAAACTAGTATCTCATTTGGTAAAGTATGTTTACTCAAAATATTTATGATCTCTATGTTCACAACATGTCTGAACGACTGCAAAACTTTTAACTAACTGTGATACCTGTGTTTATATCTTCACAGATGTTTAAGAATTTTTATTATCTTTGATATATCATTTTAGAAATGATGCCCGCACTATGGTGTAGAGTTAACATTTTGGGGAGTAATAAACAATGTAGCGTACCGCAACTGAGACCGGGAACCAGGTTTGTTGTGTAGGAAATTAATAGACCAATCAGCGTTCGCGTCTCACGGCGGAGAAGGGAGTTTTCCAGTTGTGTATATTGCACGGCATTGGTCCACTATTTGCACTGTGATGTGTGTGTGCACAATTAAATGAATGAGTGAGTGTGAGAGTAAGCGCGTGAGTGAGTGAGTGAGCGAGTGAGCACACGTTGGTTTCAGTTCGGCTCTTGCTATGGCCGATTACATACAAACTATCAGTCAGCATCCTGTACACCCATGCGGGTCGACTCTAGGACTACAGCAAACCATTAATGAACGTCATGATTGTCTAATGTCTACATCCCAATTCCTCCAAACAACCGACGACGCGATTATTTCAACTCGCCCACTCTAGCTTGCTGCTGCTGTCTAACACGTCATGCCGAATATCCGGGTGCGATCCTACACGCGAGACATGCTAAACGCGGACCTTAATTCACATTTATTGACTGATTCATCACACGTGAGCTAAAACATTCGACTCGTCGCTGAAATAATGCCAAAGCACGTTAGCTTTTCACTCATTCAATACGACGAACGCCGCAGTCCAGGGGTACGATTGTCAAACGAGGCAACTATATGGAACAGATGGGGACTTGGTTGGTTGCCCCGACGACGCTCGACGGTGCTTATAATATCAATCACTGGTTTATCTGGTCCAGACTCCAAGCACAGACACAGCTTTCAGGTAAAGAGGTATGCACCCACCGACCCCTCGATCCGTGCATGGAGTTGAACATTTACAGTGCGGCACAACCAACTGCCTCAAACGAACACCAGTCATTGTTTTGTGCTGAATCATCATCTATTATTTTCTTAAGCAACTATATTTATGTCTATGTGTAACTGTATAAACTATCCAACTTCAGATCATACCCGTGCTCATGAGTTTCACCGAAGTGGTAAACGTCTAAGACCTGCATCACTTGGCGCTTTCCTCCCACATTAAGCTGTGAACCGAAACAACCGAAATTGTTTCAGATTTGGTAAAAAACATGACTTTGCATTAAATCTTTATTCAATGTCACAGGAACTTTTGTTGTTCAGTATATATCTGGGCTGGGAACTCCGCGCACCTCATGTATTTCTGGGCTGGAAACTCCGCGCACCCCAAGTATGTCTGGGCTGGAATCTCCGCGCACCTCATGTATTTCTGATCGGAAACTCCGCGCACCTCGTGTATGCCTCGGCTGGAATCTCCGCTCACCTCGTGTATGTCTGGGCTGGAAACTCTGCGCACCCCATGTATGTCTGGACACTTCATTCATATCAACACATCATCTAAATGCCATTTAAATATAGATAAATAAATTTATTGTTCATAAGTTTGACCGATTTCCACAAAAAGTGATGTACATGTAGTCAGTATAGGACGTGTGAGGTTAACCGCGATTACTATAGTAAATGCAATCATCCACAAGCACAAAAGTTTGGATTTTACTAAATAATTACTTGTAGGAAACATTGCTGCCTTAGTTCGTTACACAATGGTAGCCAATGTTTTAAAAACAATTCATAATGAGATGGATATTTTATGAATCAATCATCATGAATTTCCAGTTTATTAACAATTACATATGATTTTTTTAGTGAATCAATAAAAGATCACCGTAGCCGTGTTGCGTGATTATCTGTAGCTTAATTTGTAACAGGAAAAAAATCAGGAATGTCAAATATTATCTGAAATATTTGTTCCCGAAGCAGTGATGTTATAGATGGTTCTCTTCGTCTTTTTTTGACACGTCAGGAGAAACTTCGAAGAGATTCACGCTGAAGGAAATTCTCAAGTTCCTTAATCCAGCGCGTGACACCTTCGTTACACTCTCGAGAGCTCCGCGAACGGGTTATCGCTGTGAGGAGCTTTGGAAATTCTATGAATGAACCCGCACGTGTATATTCCTACGCATCGGAACGAGCACGTTGAAACGTAAACTATGCATTAGAATATATGACAGCTTATAATTGTGCTATTATTGCTAAGGATATATACATACGTGAACGTACATTTGATTAATATGTCTGCAAGGGATTAAACTCATACCTATATCAGCGGCCTATATTTCTGTGCGGAGTTTCGAGTGTTGCTAGGTACGCGAGTTGTTGACATGCTGAGCAAGTTGCTCGACATATAAATACGGAAATGCGGTACTAGCCCACGGTTCGCAGACATCAAGAACGTGGGCACCTTTACATGTTTTCAACACTTTTCATATCTGATAATGTCGAGAGGACGACGAGGCCGCGGTCGTAGGGGTGCCAGAGGTGGGCGTGGTCGTGGAAGAGGCAGGGGAAGATCTGGAGGCCGTGGAAGATCCGCATCGGCGTCAAACCCAGGTAACGACGAGGAAGGCAGTGCCCCAGAACAGTTGGACATCGAGACTAGGCCTAAGGACTTCTTCACTGGCACCGCCTCGGTCGCCCAGCACATCAAGGGGCAGACAGACAACCTGGACAGGTACGCGGCCACCATGGCAGTCCTCCGGAAGAGTGGGGTGGCTGTGGCTCAAAGTGAGTTCATATTGCTGACGTCAATAGTTTTGATGAATCGGCAACTATCTGTGTGCATACTTTTTTGTGAAACATTTTTGTGAAAGATCAGAGCTTGATATTTTACTATCAAATAAAGTTAAGAAGTATACATATATAGTTTCGACCCGTGAAGATCTGGGGTAGAATAGGTTTTCAGCAATCACTGCTTGCCGTAAAGGTGACTGTAAGAGGTGTCTAACGGGATTTGGTTGTCAGCCTGACTTGGCTGATGCATGTCATTGTATCCCAATTGTGTGGATCGATGCTTGTGATGTCAATCACTTGATTGTCTGGTCCCAACAACGAATAAAGTAAACTGTATTGTAAATTTGCAGATGCTTGTGTGCGAGCTTTGACTGCTGCATGGGCCCGGCATGACTACAAGCTTGCTGATGCCTTTCTTCAGAACAGAGAGCAGTTTGGATTTGTTGAGGTTTTGAAGGCCTTAACTTTACTCGACTCAGGGCGGAGAGTGCGTGTTCTCGAGAAAAAGCTCAAAAGGTTGCAACTCACAGGGTCAAAGATCAGCAAGAAGAAATTTGGAAAGCTGAAGTCAGACATTGACAACCTTCATGCTATTAAACCACCAGTGAGTACTGCAGGGGTTGTCTCCCTTGATGTGCTGAAAAGACAATCAGAAAATGCTAGCAATGTCTCAACACTGTAAACTATAAGGTTACAATGTTGTAACAATGTGAAATTGTTAGCTGGATAGAATCTAAGATCTTAATAAAATATTAAATAAAAATTAAAAATACATTTATACATGATAAAATGTATTACACAACCATACATAAACATTCAATGTGACTTGAGTCTAGCAAAGAAAATAACAGCATGGAGATTTGTTTTTCTAGTTATGTAAGAGTTGCCTCCCTTCCATTTATACTTAGCCGCAACACTTAAGATATATTGCAAGAGTTTGCGTGGCAAATCTATATGTTATTTACTGATAAGCAAATCACAATATGGCTAATATTTGAAATAAATGCAATCTCATTAAAACAAATCTTTGTGCTCCCTTTGTACACAATCATAGTGGTACTGAGCACTAAGATCTGATTTAATGAGAGTGAAATAGATGAAGTCCTACCATGAAACTGCCGTATTCAACATAATAAGCGCCCAGGGCGCTCTCAAAGTTAGAAATAGGGGGCTCTTATTAGAATATTATTTTGGTGAAAAACAACAGAGTTGAAAGATCGTAAATTTAGTGGTTTATGCTGACAGCCTGAAATGTTTATATTTTATACGACAGATATATTTTTTCCAGAATTTAAATTCCCATAATTAAGAATGCATATAACATACGTATTATACACGAATAAATAAGTCATGTATACATTGATCAATCGGAACAGGGGCTAATTGGGATTGTTCACTAGCCAATATATTAGAAAATTTCGCCGTGGGCGCTTATTAGAGTGGGGCGCTCATTACGTCGAATACGGTAATACTTACGATGACTGTTTCCAGCAAGGGTCTGCCAGTGGGGCCGTGTGCAAACATGTGCAGGCGTGGGTGAGGACGTTCACGAAGGAGGACCTGGAGTTCTACGCTCTCCACTACCCAAAGGATCCCTGGAAGAAACTGGCAGACATCTGCCACTTCAGCCCCAAAACAGTAAGTCTGACAAGTAATTATCCAGGTCAACTAAAGTGACATGGAAATATGGGGGGCTATGCTGTCAGCTGGTCTGTAGTGAGAGTATTAGCTTTTTCCGAGATGTATTTTCTTAAATCTTTATCATTTTAATTTAATCTGTCCACATGAAAAGAAAGTGTGCTACACGGCAAATTCACACTTTACTTTTTAGGCATATGGTGACATCATTCACAGTGTTCAGTTTTGCATTGAAGCGTTCCAAAACGTTTTCAACAACACATGTAAAAAATGTGACCGTATAGAAAATCTGCCTATGCTCATGCAGTCAACCACTTGTTTGCTGACAAGTGGTTGAGTTTAGATTAAAACAACATTCACTCACTCACACATGTCAGATATGGTTCTGTGTGTAATTCATTTCCTTATTTTGTACCTCAGGATTTTGCAGTGTTGCCATGGTTCCTGCCCTTCTGTCCTGGGGACAGTCCCCCTGAGGGATCGATGGTGGACAGGTGTTGCGACATCACAGAGGCTAACGTCAACGACCTCATCAAGGAGTATGACGTCCCGTACACTCATGTGAAGAAACACCAATCCAAGTTGACGAAAAGCTCGAAAGCCAGATTAGCTGCATATGAGCCGAAACTAGATACAGTGTTATGGTAAAACACTTTAAAGCAGTCATGTTTGTTTTTCAATAACTATCTTCATTATTCCATTGTATCTTTTACCAGATTTTCCTGTGTATGATACACGTACCCCTTTTGGGGGGAGTTGGGGAGTTGTGATTCAGTGGAGAGAAATACTGGCCCTTTCACCTCACCTGTTTCTTTATTAGAGCAGCGCGCGAGAGAAGACAGTCAAAATATCGATATAACTGATGAAAGGTTGTGAGGCACAATCAGTTCCTGTTGCCAAATTTTATTTTGTTTTATATGTCTAAAAATTTGCAAAGTAGGAAATATGCATCAGTAAAGCTCTCATTTTTTATTATTGAAACTTTGTTCATCACGAAACAATTGAGCTGCAGATGCAAGACAACAGGTTACAATAAATTAGGTTACAATAGATTAAGTGATGAGACAAGCTTAACTCAAACTGCAGTCTATATATTCAGAGAATATATTGAAGGACAAAATAACCTAAAATGTCTTTTTTATATTTTTTATTTTTTTCTTACTCACCAAGATTTTTCTTCAAAATATCTTAAACTATGATATTATTTCTTTTTAAACGACATTCTTTCACCATTTCACTCATACACTGACCATTCTTGAGATCTTAAGTAGATATATGTAATGGTTCTCTGAATTCTGGTAAAAATTGGAGTAAAATGAAAAATTCTCCTTTCTGTGTTGACTCCATGTTTAACCAAAGCAATGTGAATACTGTACTTATCTACTGTTTATCTCCCTTTAGGTGGTATGAAGATCTTCAGTGCTTGGAGGTAGACAAAATAATAACAGAACGACTTGAAGCAGGCGAGAATGTGAACCTGGCCAATGGGAAACTGTTGGAAAGATTATTAACCCTGAAGATACTTAGCAAGAATAACCCCACGTCATATTTCTGCACTATGGCCCGGACCTGGGTGTCAAATTACACAAAAGTTTCTTTTCTCCCCAAGCTGATCCCCTTGGCTGAAACAAGACTGACATCAATCAAGTAAGTATTACATGTATATAGGACTGATATATGCTCAACTCCGGCTATAAGTCCAACACTCAACTCCTGCTATAAGTCCAACACTCAACTCCGGCTATAAGTCCAACACTCAACTCCTGCTATAAGTCCAACACTCAACTCCTGCTATAAGTCCAACACTCAACTCCTGCTATAAGTCCAACACTCAACTCCTGCTATAAGTCTAACACTCAACTCCTGATATAAGTCCAACACTCAATTCCTGCTATAAGTCTAACACTCAACTCCTGATACAAGTCCAACACTCAACTCCTGCTATAAGTCCAACACTCAACTCCTGCTATAAGTCCAACATTCAACTCCTGCTATAAGTCCAACACTCAACTCCTGCTATAAGTCCAACACTCAACTCCTGATACAAGTCCAACACTCAACTCCTGATACAAGTCCAACACTCAACTCCTGATATAAGTCCAACACTCAATTCCTGCTATAAGTCTAACACTCAACTCCTGATACAAGTCCAACACTCAACTCCTGCTATAAGTCCAACACTCAACTCCTGCTATAAGTCCAACATTCAACTCCTGCTATAAGTCCAACACTCAACTCCTGCTATAAGTCCAACACTCAACTCCTGATACAAGTCCAACACTCAACTCCTGATACAAGTCCAACACTCAACTCCTGATACAAGTCCAACACTCAACTCCTGCTATAAGTCCAACACTCAACTCCTGCTATAAGTCCAACACTCAACTCCTGCTATAAGTCCAACACTCAACTCCTGCTATAAGTCCAACACTCAACTCCTGATGTAAGCCCAACACTCAACTCCTGATGTAAGCCCAACACTCAACTCCTGATGTAAGCCCAACACTCAACTCCTGCTATAAGTCCAACACTCAACTCCTGCTATAAGTCCAACACTCAACTCCTGCTATAAGTCCAACACTCAACTCCTGCTATAAGTCCAACACTCAACTCCTGATGTAAGCCCAACACTCAACTCCTGATGTAAGCCCAACACTCAACTCCTGATGTAAGCCCAACACTCAACTCCTGATGTAAGCCCAACACTCAACTCCTTATACAAGTCCAACACTCAACTCCTTATACAAGTCCAACACTCAACTCCTGCTATAAGTCCAACACTCAACTCCTGCTATAAGTCCAACACTCATCTCCTGCTATAAGTCCAACACTCAACTCCTGCTATAAGTCCAACACTCATCTCCTGCTATAAGTCGAACACTCATCTCCTGCTATAAGTCCAACACTCATCTCCTGCTATAAGTCCAACACTCAACTCCTGCTATAAGTCCAACACTCAACTCCTGATACAAGTCCAACACTCAACTCCTGCTATAAGTCAAACACTTAACTTCTGATATAAGTCCAACACTCAACTCCTGCTATAAGTCCAACACTCATCTCCTGCTATAAGTCGAACACTTAACTCCTGATTTAAGTCCAACACTCAATTCCTGATGTAAGTCCAACACGCAACTCCTGATGTAAGCCCAACACTCAACTCCTGATGTAAGCCCAACACTCAACTCCTGATGTAAGCCCAACACGCAACTCCTGATGTAAGCCCAACACTCAACTCCTGATGTAAGCCCAACACTCAACTCCTGATGTAAGCCCAACACTCAACTCCTGATGTAAGCCCAACACTCAACTCCTGATGTAAGTCCAACACTCATCTCCTGCTATAAGCCCAACACTCAACTCCTGATGTAAGCCCAACACTCAACTCCTGATGTAAGCCCAACACTCAACTCCTGATGTAAGTCCAACACTCAACTCCTGCTATAAATCCAACACTCAACTCCTGCTATAAGTCCAACACTCAACTCCTGATGTAAGTCCAACACGCAACTCCTGATCTAAGTCCAACATTCAACTCTTGATACAAGTAAAACATTCAACTTCTGATTTATGTCGAACACTTAACACTCTGATATAAGTCCACCACTTAACTTCTGACAGACACTCAACTTCTGATATAAGTCCAACACTAAACCCCTGCTATAAGTCCAACACTCAACTTCTGATGTAAGTCCAACACTCAACTCCTGATATAAGTCCAACACTAAACCCCTGATATAAGTCAGACACTCGCCTTCTGATATAAGTCCAACACTCAACTCCTGACAGACACTCAACTCCTGATATAAGTCCAACAGTCAACTCCTGATGTAAGCCCATCAATCAACTTCTGATATAAGTCCAACACTAAACTTCTGAAACCCCCGATATAAGTCCAACACTCGCCTTCTGATATAAGTCCAACACTAAACCCCCGATATAAGTCCAACACTCGCCTTCTGATATAAGTCCAACACTAAACCCCCGATATAAGTCCAACACTCGCCTTCTGATATAAGTCCAACACTAAACCCCTGATATAAGTCCAACACTAAACCCCCGATATAAGTCCAACACTCGCCTTCTGATATAAGTCCAACACACAACTTCTGATCAATCTCATTAAAATCAGATCCTAGTTCTCGCTATCGCTAAACAAAGATGTGTGGACATCACATTAGGGGTCACATCAGAACGACCTTTCATTCAACCAATCAGAGCATCGCTTACCAGATCATAAAAGTGACCGTCGGAATGTGTTTTCTAATCATGCAACCATGATATATTTAACACGGGGTATTCTGAACGACAGTTACAGGTTTTATGATCATATCCATACAATCTATGCCATCTATAAGCCATTCCAGAATGTTCTTCTTATCAGTTTTACCATTTTTAATCGAGAATACGTCAAAATATGTTTCGAAGTGTAGTCGCCAGTTTGAAACATATGTCATAAAGCTCAAGAAATCTACCTTCTGATTGTCCAATGTCGATTTCTTGTCAATCATTTCATTGGTCGGTCAAAATTCACGAAAGGTCGTTCTGATGTGACCTGTAATGGCATTTCAACAGATCTTTGTTTAGAGACTGATTTTAATGAGATTGAATTTCTGATATAAGTCCAACACTCAACTCCTGACAGACACTCAACTTCTGATGTCAGTCCAACATTCAATTCCTGATACAAGTCCAACACTCAACTTCTGATGTAAGCCCAAAATTCAACTTCTGATATAAGTCCAACATTCAGCTCTTGACATAAGTCCACTACTTAACTTCTGACAGACACTCAACTCCTGCAATAAGTCCAATTTAAGTAAGAACAGAACATTACCACTAGGCTCCCACTGTATAATGTTATCACTTATTTCTTATTTGCACTTTTCTTTAGACTTCCCCTCGAGTCCCCAATTGTTGTGATGGGCGATGCATCCGGGTCCATGGAGGTTGCCATCCAAACCAGCACCATTATCGCCAGTCTGCTCACCGCGATCTGCTCAGCCAGACTTGTCTTCTTCGATCACGAGAATCGTGAAGCTCCATACTTGCCCAAGACCATCGATGAAGTGCTGGAACTGGCTATAGAAACCAAGGCAGGAGGGATGACAACTCCTGCCGCTAGCTTGTGGCCGTTCTATGAGAAGAAGGAGGTTGTGAAGACATTCATCATGGTGACTGACGAAGAGGAGAATGAAAAAGTTCAGGATATGTTGTGAGTTGAAAATTGAGGATTGGCTGTTTTAGACATATGGTCTACTGACTTCATATCTGTTGTGTAAATTCTTTTCAAGGAAATTTGATTTGGAGTAAATGTTGGTCCTGTTTCTACACAATGGGATTTTGGGTGCAACTTTATGTAGAGACTTGTTTTGGACAAAGGATAAAAATTGCAGACAAAGGTTTACCTTATCTAATGATAATATTCAGCAATTCAAACAATTCAACTTGTTATTGGTTTTAATATCATGACAATTTGATGTGTTTCGCAATAATTTCATTTCAGTTTTGCTGAGTTGTACAAGAAATATCATGACGAAGTATTTCCTGCCAAGCTGGTCTTCATGTCCTTCCTCGAATCCCAGCATGCAAAGGGGAAAATGGTGACTGAACTTCAAGAAGCTGGATTCCATCCACTCCAGTTCAAACTGGAAGAAGACCGCCCTGACCTGACTAAACTGGACAATCTGTTCGGGCTGCTGTCGTCTGATTCCGCCTCCTTCAAAGATGAAATCACTGAGATGCAGAAGAACATCACAAAGTTGGGGCTGGGCAAGTTCTTCAAGGGTTGAGCCTCAAGACAGAGTAAAATGGGTAAGGTCAGTACCTGAACTAAAGGGGTGTTTTCACAGAAAAATACCAGGGCTAGAACTGTCGTAAGGCTGTACGAACAAATTGGAGTTACGACTAAGCTACGCATTTAATTACAGTTACACACATAGTTTACACACAGGTTCAATAGTTAACACAATTGGGAGATCACGTAATTTAGCATAATAACCTAGGGTAAGGGACATCATGTGGCCATTTTCAGAACCGATTAGAAACATCTTATAAATTTGATATGAGTACGTCTGGAAGTTGTATGTATCTTGTAGTCTCTCTTATTACTCACGTTTTGGCCGTGAATCGCTCCTATTGGTCATTTGGGGGGTGGGTGTTTTCCTACTTGAGTGCTCCTGCCTCTTGTTGTATGTTCCACCACGACCTATGATGTGCCCAGCACAATATGGTAGGAACGCCCTGATTGGTTGTGACCTGGTACTGCAGCATTCAGTGTCTTATGAGCTCAGGATTCCCGACAAGTAAGTCCTCTCAAGTTCGCGGATATTTTGGCACAGACTCTTGTTTAACAAGACGCCTCTATAGTTAGTTGTAGAATAGGTCTGAAACTGAAATTGGTTCTCTCCGTCCGTCTGTGTGTCCGTGTGTGTGCGTGCGTCCCGAAATCATTTCCGGAGCATAACTCAGAAACCGTTAAATGTTTTTCTACGAAACTTTGCATGTCTATCAGACTCATGCTGAACTGGTGCTTTTCGCTATGTAGGAATTTTAGAAAAATATTTTTGGACTTAGGTTCTATAAGGATGGTGTTCATTTCCGGAGTGTAACTCAAAAAACGTTAAATACTTTCTTACAAAACTTTGTCTACCAGGCACATACTGAACTGGTGCCTTTTGCTATATAGGAATTTTATGAGCTTTTATTTTTTATGTTTCCATGGCAACAAATTGGACTTAGGTTCTATAGCGTAGAGTTTGTTTCCAGAGCACAACTCAAAACCCATTCAATACTTTCTTACAAAACTTTGCATGTCTACCGGGCACATACTGAACCGGTGTCTTTTGATATTTAGCACTTTTAGAAACTTTTTTTTTTACATTTCCATGGCAACAAGTTGGACTTAGAAAACAATAAGGGTATGGTTTGATTCCGGAGGAAAGTTTCGACATCTATCAGACACATCCTGAATTTTTGCCTTTTGCTATTTATTAATTTTAGAAATGTATATTACCTGGCATCATTTCCCGAAATTTTTCCTTGCCAAACATTGCATGTCTATATATAAAGCATATACTGAACTGGTGCCTTTTGATATTAAGGAGTTTTAGAAATGTTTATTTTGTAATATCCATTGCAGCTACTTTGACATGGGCTAAGAGAAATGTTGGGTCAGTTACCTGGTTTGGGACAATAATGTGTTAAAATGGGCGGGGGATATAGATGACTTCGTGGACTATACGCTTGTTTTATATTCTGTTAAACATTTTACTTTTGTTATATTAAAAATTCATTGTATTTGCAACAAGCCTTTTTGTCCTTATTCACCTGCCTAATGCGTGAGCCATACTACAGAGTCTCACAGGAGTGTCCCCAGCTAGCTGAGTCACGGTTAAACCACACATTTACCATCAAATAAAACACAACGCAAAGGGCCATGAGTCAGCAGTGGGATTCGATCTATGTATGGCTCTGATTTGGAACTCCGCCCACCTCTTGTATGTCTGAGCTGGAGCTCCGCCCACCTCTTGTATGTCTGAGTTGGAGCTCCGCCCACCTCTTGTATGTCTGAGTTGGAACTCCGCCCACCTCTTGTATGTCTGAGTTGGAACTCCGCCCACCTCTTGTATGTGTGAGACTGAAACTCCGCTCACCTCTTGTATGTGTGAGACTGAAACTCAGCTCACCTCTTGTATGTCTGAGTTGGAGCTCCGCCCACCTCTTGTATGTCTGAGCTGGAGCTCCGCCCACCTCTTGTATGTGTGAAACAGAATCTCAGCTCACCTCTTGTATGTGTGAGACAGAATCTCAGCTCACCTCTTGTATGTCTGAGTTGGAGCTCCGCTCACCTCATGTATGTCTGAGTTTGAGCTCCGCTCACCTCATGTATGTCTGAGTTGGAGCTCCACCCACCTCTTGTATGTGTGAGACAGAATCTCAGCTCACCTCTTGTATGTGTGAGACAGAATCTCAGCTCACCTCTTGTATGTGTGAGACAGAATCTCAGCTCACCTCTTGTATGTGTGAGACTGAAACTCCGCTCACCTCTTGTATGTGTAAGACTGAAACTCCGCCCACCTCTTGTATGTCTGAGCTGGAGCTCCACCCACCTCTTGTATGTCTGAGCTGGAGCTCCGCCCACCTCTTGTATGTCTGAGTTGGAGCTCCGCCCACCTCTTGTATGTCTGAGCTGGAGCTCCACCCACCTCTTGTATGTGTGAGACAGAATCTCAGCTCACCTCTTGTATGTGTGAGACTGAAACTCCGCTCACCTCTTGTATGTCTGAGTTGGAGCTCCGCTCACCTCATGTATGTCTGAGTTTGAGCTCCGCTCACCTCATGTATGTCTGAGTTGGAGCTCCACCCACCTCTTGTATGTGTGAGACAGAATCTCAGCTCACCTCTTGTATGTGTGAGACTGAAACTCCGCTCACCTCTTGTATGTCTGAGTTGGAGCTCCACCCACCTCTTGTATGTGTGAGACAGAATCTCAGCTCACCTCTTGTATGTGTGAGACTGAAACTCCGCTCACCTCTTGTATGTCTGAGCTGGAGCTCCACCCACCTCTTGTATGTCTGAGCTGGAGCTCTGCTCACCTCTTGTATGTGTGAGACTGAAACTCCGCTCACCTCTTGTATGTGTGAGACTGAAACTCCGCTCACCTCATGTATGTCTGAGTTGGAGCTCCGCCCACCTCATGTATGTCTGAGTTGGAGCTCCGCCCACCTCATGTATGTCTGAGTTAGAGCTCCGCCCACCTCTTGTATGTCTGAGCTGGAGCTCCACCCACCTCTTGTATGTGTGAGACAGAATCTCAGCTCACCTCTTGTATGTGTGAGACAGAATCTCCGCTCACCTCTTGTATGTGTAAGACTGAAACTCCGCCCACCTCTTGTATGTCTGAGCTGGAGCTCCACCCACCTCTTGTATGTCTGAGCTGGAGCTCCACCCACCTCTTGTATGTCTGAGCTGGAGCTCTGCTCACCTCTTGTATGTGTGAGACTGAAACTCCGCCCACCTCTTGTATGTCTGAGACTGAAACTCCGCCCACCTCTTGTATGTCTGAGCTGGAGCTCCACCCACCTCTTGTATGTCTGAGCTGGAGCTCTGCTCACCTCTTGTATGTGTGAGACTGAAACTCCGCTCACCTCTTGTATGTGTGAGACAGAATCTTAGCTCACCTCTTGTATGTGTAAGACTGAAACTCCGCTCACCTCTTGTATGTCTGAGTTGGAGCTCCGCCCACCTCTTGTGTGTGTGTGACTGAAACTCCGCTCACCTCATGTATGTCTGAGATGCACTTTCTTCTCATCTCGCACCAGATGCTACACAGCCATATTCAACACATTAACACCTAAAGACCCGTGAAGATCCAGGTAGAATAGGTCTTCAGCAACCCATGCTTGTCGTAAAAGGCGACTATGCTTGTCGTAAGAGGCAAATCGGGATCGGGTGGTCAGGCTCGCTGACCTGGTTGATGTATGTCATCGTATCTCAATTGCGTGGATCGATGCTCATGATATCAAACACTGGATTGTCTGGTCCAGACTCGATTATTTACAGATCGCCGTCATATAGCTAGCATATTGTTGAGTGCGGCGTTGAAGAACAAACCAATCAACCAGCCAACCGAAAGTCCAAACTATACAACTACCATAGGCTACAGTTGGTGACAAAATATTTTCACCTTCAACAAGTCGACTTCGTGTTCAAAACTTACAAAAGTTGACTCAACGGCAACAATGAAGGATCAATTTGGCAGAATTTGTGTATGCCGATGTAAATCGCTCATCGAAGACCTTACAGACACTAGTCAAGACAATAACAGTGGTAAGTTTGAGAGTTTATTGACGACATTAAAGAGACACATACTGAGCCATACACAGTTTTACACACATATTAGGACGACTCGTGGTTTGAACCAGTCATATATGTCGTCATACGCTGTGACTGTTTCCGGAAGCAGACAACATAATCACAAGGTCAAGCTTTATGCCGCAGTAAATACAGCGAAACTCCACAAGCCCGGAAAAACACCCTCTGGCCGATCCGGGAGTGAACGTTTGGAAGGTCTACACAAACCAAGGATACATGACTTCACAACTATTTTCATTATTCCGGACATTCGCTGGTCCGGACAATTTCACATGGAAAAGTACTGTCTGGATTAACGGGGTCTCAAATTTTTTTTTCCGTTTTTATTTTTGTGAGTGAACCCCACCCTCTTCGTTAACCCATGCCACCATACCCTCATACCCACACTGTGATATGAAAATAGTCTTGTCTCTGTTATAGGATATCAGTTTTTAAAACGCGTCAACCGTTTTGAAGTCAAAATTACAACATGCCTACGGTGTGACTTGATCTGATGCATTGGTTTCCAACGGGAAACTGGCTTTACAGGCGTTTTGGTAAACATTTTTTGCAATTCATTTGACATTTAGACCCACCGAAAAAACTCAAATTCTTAATAGTCCGGTTAACTTCCGTTTATCTATAATAGTGAGACCCCGTTAATCAAGATTAATCATTATTGCGGACGATTTCTGTTCGCAACGTCTTATGACAATGAAAATGAAATTAATGCATATTTGATTTAATCCGGACAATTCAGTAACCTTCTGGTTAAACGAGGTTTCGCTGTACTTAGACGACGCGAATAAAGTCGGCCGCAGTGATTGATCAGTGTCAAGTGCTTGTTAGATATCCATTATCAGGGCTGATATATGACGCAGTATTAATCTATAATTCTGGTTAATCATGGACAGACGAAGACTGTTTTAAATCACCAGTTGAACAGATGTGGATTAAAGAATGGTGAGTCATAATTAGACTGTAGTCACACATGCCAGTATACTGAGGGAACACGGTATAACGAGGTTCAGTGTAACAGAGAACAGGTGCAAACATTAACGTAATAAAAAAATTGAAAAGTAGAAAAGTGTTTTTGTCTATTTAAGGGACAATGTCGAATAAGGGCATGGTTCCCACTGCCACTGGAAAACCTGGAAAACCTGGAAATGTGTTGGAAAAATTTCCAGTCAGGGAAATATCAGGGAATTCACTAAAAACTTCAAAATCAGGGATATATCAGGGATTTTTTGCTCTTGGAACTCATACTCTCTATTATTTAATGGTTGTGGCAGCCACTCAAATTTAAGCAATGGAGTTTATTCGTTTGAAAAAGAGGTATTTGTCAAATTTTACTATATCAAGGTCAAGGTCAATGTGGCTGATAGGGATTTGCGCCCCTTACCTCCAGAGCTAACTAAATTCTAAATTTAAAATATTTTGAGTAAAATATTACATTGCCTTGGTATTATTTTACCATTTGAATTTCAGAAATCAATTTGAATGTAAAATTTCAAATCTCATAAAGTTCTACTGTTCAAGAACAAACAAAATAATGCAATTAGGATTCTATAAAGCTCTTTGTTAATGAAAAGTGTATCAGTGTTAGATAAATCATTGGAAAAACTTAGGGTGACTTCAGTTGTGGTTATAATTATCTATTCCCTGGTGACCTTTTGAAAGTGCAGATGTATATTTGAATGGTTAGTTTGTGAAATGCTGTGCATGAATGTTGCACTGAAAGTAGTGATGGTATTTACTTTATTATAATGTTACTAATTAGTTCATGTTCATGTTTCTAAAGTTGTGAGATCCTAGTCCTGAAGTCCATTTTCAAAAATTGTGATACTTGTTTTGATTAGGCAATGATTGATGGAGTTAATTTGTAGTTTGCACTCTTTAAATGGTGGCAGATGGATGGCCTTAAGGGGAGGATAATTACTTGGTGACTTAGTTTTCCTTAAACCAAACATAACACACTTTTGTACAGAAATATCTAAAAAAAGACGTTTCCATTGGTCTATTTTAAAGCTGTTTATATAATAAAGTTAAAACACCACTCCCAGTTGTTATAATGGAGGCCGTGTAATGCAGTCTGGAAAAGTTCTAAGTTCTCTGGAAATATCAGGGAAATGTCAGGGAATTTTTCGGAAGAAAAAACGTGGGAACCATGAAGGGTCTTTATGACCCAAAGGATTTGCTCATTTCAAGGAAACATGTTTAGACAATGTTGTGGTAGTTGCCACATGCGTTCATATGAATGGAATGTGCTTTGTCCATGCCAATAATTTTGGAATTATAACAATCCTAAATGTATAGGTTAGGCGAAGATATGTCAAACAATTAGTTAAAACATGTTCAGGAAACGTTTTTCTAATATTTGGCCACAAGCAATATTTGTACCCAAAATATTTGTCAACGCCAGAGAACAATCAATCTGGACCATCTGCCCCAGCAGCTTCCAAACAGTGATGAGACCCATATGAATGGGTCCCTGAAAACCGATCATTTTCATATTTTATAAAAAGATTTTCCATAAATCTAAAATTTGACTTATTCAGTATTCCAGAAAGGCCCTCATCCCACCTCGTCCTTTAAACGATGCTTGAAAAGTTAAGGCAATATATGAATATTATTTATGCCCAACTATGCATTTTAGCGTACTGTGACGAAGACACGAAGAAAAACTGTATGTTGATCATTCAACTTCGATACGGCATTTGGTTTGTTATATACTGGTATGTAGTTTCCGTTTAACTGGGTAGGCTTTGTTTAAGCCCACACCACACAGAGAAGCACATGCCCTGTCCTCCGCATTCCCCCATCCACGCTCTCAGATCATCTTGTCAAGGCCCAGCCACACAGCAAGCATCATCATCAGGACTAACACCAACTGCGGGGATAGCACCGTTCCGCCATTGTCGTTTTGTGACGTAGTTGTCGTCGTTGAGAGCGTTGAAGACATTGTGGAGAAACAAGAATTGTCTCCCGATAACGTTGCGTTCTCACTGGAAGAAAATTACAGAGAAAACTGTTTAATTAAGTATTCTGGAATTCTTGGTTGAAATCAAGCTTCATACTTGTGCGTTGGACAATTTGTCATTTGAATATTTTACCGTGAAGCGGGGTTCTGGTTGTGATCCAATTCCCTGCGTGTTAAACCTGATAAATCTAATACCTACTTACATCGCAGCATGACCTGTGGAGGTCCAAACCGTTAGGGCATGGTAATGTGAAGGTTCATACACTCAGGGCATGGTGCTATGACGGTTCATACACTCAGGGCATGGTGCTATGACGGTTCATACACTCAGGGCATGGTGCTATGAATGTTCATACAATCAGGGCATGGTGCTATGAATGTTCATACAATCAGGGCATGGTAATGTGAAGGTTCATACATTCAGGGCATGGCGCTATGGAGGTCCATACACTCAGGGCATGGTGCTATGACGGTTCATACACTCAGGGCATGGTGCTATGAAGTTTCATACAATCAGGGCATGGTGCTATGAAGGTTCATGCACTCAGGGCATGGTGCTATGAATGTTCATACAATCAGGGCATGGTGATATGAAGGTTCATACACTCAGGGCATGGCGCTGTGAAGGTTCATACACTCAGGGCATGGTGCTATGACGGTTCATACACTCAGGGCATGGTGCTATGAATGTTCATACAATCAGGGCATGGTGCTATGAAGGTTCATGCACTCAGGGCATGGTGCTATGAATGTTCATACAATCAGGGCATGGTGATATGAAGGTTCATACACTCAGGGCATGGCGCTGTGAAGGTTCATACACTCAGGGCATGGTGCTATGACGGTTCATACACTCAGGGCATGGTGCTATGAATGTTCATACAATCAGGGCATGGCGCTATGAAGGTTCATGCACTCAGGGCATGGTGCTATGAATGTTCATACAATCAGGGCATGGTGATATGAAGGTTCATACACTCAGGGCATGGCGCCGTGAAGGTTCATACACTCAGGGCATGGCGCTATGGGGGTTCATACACTCAGGGCATGGCGCTATGAAGGTTCATACACTCAGGGCATGGTGCTATGAAGGTTCATGCACTCAGGGCATGACGCAATGAAGGTTCATGCACTCAGGGCATGGTGCTATGAAGGTTCATGCACTCAGGGCATGGCGCTATGGAGGTTCATACGCTCAGGGTATGGCGCTATGAAGGTTCATACACTCAGGGCATGGCGCTATGAAGGTTCATACACTCAGGGCATGGCGCTATGGAGGTTCATACACTCAGGGCATGGCGCTATGGAGGTTCATACACTCAGGGCATGGCGCTATGAAGGTTCATACACTCAGGGCATGGTGCTATGAAGGTTCATACACTCAGGGCATGGCGCTATGGAGGTTCATACACTCAGGACATGGTGCTATGAAGGTTCATGCACTCAGGGCATGGTGCTATGAATGTTCATACAATCAGGGCATGGTGCTATGAAGGTTCATGCACTCAGGGCATGGTGCTATGAATGTTCATACAATCAGGGCATGGTGATATGAAGGTTCATACACTCAGGGCATGGCGCTGTGAAGGTTCATACACTCAGGGCATGGTGCTATGACGGTTCATACACTCAGGGCATGGTGCTATGAATGTTCATACAATCAGGGCATGGCGCTATGAAGGTTCATGCACTCAGGGCATGGTGCTATGAATGTTCATACAATCAGGGCATGGTGATATGAAGGTTCATACACTCAGGGCATGGCGCCGTGAAGGTTCATACACTCAGGGCATGGCGCTATGGGGGTTCATACACTCAGGGCATGGCGCTATGAAGGTTCATACACTCAGGGCATGGTGCTATGAAGGTTCATGCACTCAGGGCATGACGCAATGAAGGTTCATGCACTCAGGGCTTGGTGCTATGAAGGTTCATGCACTCAGGGCATGGCGCTATGGAGGTTCATACGCTCAGGGTATGGCGCTATGAAGGTTCATACACTCAGGGCATGGCGCTATGAAGGTTCATACACTCAGGGCATGGCGCTATGGAGGTTCATACACTCAGGGCATGGCGCTATGGAGGTTCATACACTCAGGGCATGGCGCTATGAAGGTTCATACACTCAGGGCATGGCGCTATGAAGGTTCATACACTCAGGGCATGGCGCTATGGAGGTTCATACACTCAGGACATGGTGCTATGAAGGTTCATACACTCAGGGCATGGCGCTATGAAGGTTCATACACTCAGGGCATGGTGCTATGGAGGTTCATACACTCAGGGCATGGCGCTATGGAGGTTCATACACTCAGGACATGGTGCTATGAAGGTTCAAGCCGCCTCCGTGGTCTTGTAGTAGAGCGTCCGCCCGGAGAGCGGAAGGTCCGGGGTTCGATCCCCGGCCGCGTCATACCAAAAGACGTTAAAAGGTGGTACTTGTTGTAACCCTGTCTGGCGCTCGTCATTAGGGAGCTAAAACAAGGACTGGTCGGCTCGGAGTCAGTATACTGTGTCTGAGTGGGGTATTCATGTTAAACTGCTGCATGGTATCTCAGTGAGCTAGCACTATAAATCGGCATCAGTCCGGACTAGTACAAGCAGCAACAAACACACACACACACGTGCATGCACGTCGCTATATAAGTGCAATAATCTTGGACGCGACGTTAAACACAATTTCACCTCAACTATGAAGGTTCATACACTCAAGGCATGGTGCTGTGAAGGTTCATACATTCAGGGCATGGCGCTATGAAGGTTCATACACTCAGGGCATGGCGCTATGAAGGTTTATACACTCAGGGCATGGTGCTGTGAAGGTTAATACAATCAGGGCATGGCGCTATGAAGGTTCATACACTCAGGGCATGGCGCTATGAAGGTTCATACACTCAGGGCATGGTGCTGTGAAGGTTAATACACTCAGGGCATGGTGCTATGAAGTTCATACACTCAGGGCATGGTGCTATGAAGGTTCATACTCTTTTCACATGACTCTACGAAGGTTCATATAAGCTCTGACCCCGTAGTGTTTCGGTAAACATAAATGAATTTCCATACAGTATTTCTGTTGCAATATTCAGTAAAGGTTCGTACAGTTAGGAAATAATTCTGAGAATGTCCGTCCCTCACAGTTAGGGGGCTAATAGGTGAAGGTTTCTCCATTTCAGTCTAAACACTATGGAGGTCCCCCAACTTCGCTATTTGTAGTCTTGAGTGATGATTATGAATGTCAATTGATTAATTATATATACGATTTTACAGCGAATTGCTGCGCCTCAGACGACTGTGCCACCCGTGCCCCCTATAAGTACAGTGATGAAGGTTGCAGAGGTTAATACCAATTTGGTGAAGCCGCGGACACAGGTATAGTGCTGACAAAGCAATGATTGCGCATCCTCTTGGCTCATTTGATGAAGGAACATGGGCAAAGTGAGTGAGTGAGTATTGTTTGACGCCGTTTTTATTCCAGCAATATCACGAATAAATTGTTTGATAGGCATTACTTAGAAGTTGACGGATGACAAGGTAGACACAATTTTTATGGATAACAACTTCTTTAATACTGTAAAAAGCGACGTTTCGGTATAGATCCATATACCGTTGTCAAGCAAGACTGAATGAGGGACTTTGTACAGAATATATATAGTAGGTGGAAGATTAAAAGTAGAGGATTAACAGTAAGAACAATTGCATATGTGAGTGGGATAACATAGGTAAACGGTTGACAACAAGGGGACAATACTGTCACAACACGATGGACAGATAACACATAGGTGGAAGCCAATGGGAAATGAAGCCCACCCACACCGATGGGCTTCACACATTGTACCCATGTCGGGAATCGACGTGACGAGCGTGACGAGCGTGACGAGCGAACGCTTTAACCACTAGGCTACCCGACCGCCTCTCATGGGCAAAGCAAACTGCCACCTGGTATTGAATGATATGACAATACTTAAAGCGTTCTAGTTTTATCAGCAGCAAATGCGTTTGCTTAAACATGAAATCCATCTGAGCTCGCGTTAAATAAAGGATATATCTCACAAGCATATTCTGTCGTTGGCCTCACATGACCCCTGTGCTGTGGTACCGTCGGTGAAGCAGTAGACGATGAGGTCGGGTTGACATACGGCGGGGTTGAAGTCGGTGCAGTTGGTGACGAGAGAACAGCGGGCAACGCCTGTAACATGACACGTGTTTCTTATTATTTTGTTAAACAACATCAAACTTTACAATATAAAACCTAAAGAACTCCTTCTTCATGCCCTAGGACATCCTCGTTTATGCAGGGTATTTTATTTAAATTATATTACAATTAATCCCTGGGCCTATTCGCTACCATTGGCTTTATTTTAGCCCGATTCGAATGACAATAGCTGTCCAATCAATTACACTCTTGAGCAATGTAGCCAATTTATGCAAGTTAGTGATAAGATAGGTGAAGCTGGTGACGTCACTTCCGGAACGAAGATTTGATGGTGGACAGGTCCAGGGTACTTAGCATAATATATTTGAGACCTCATACACTGGGTAATCAAGGATGAATGTAGGGTTAAGACGGATGAAACGGTATCGAACTGTACCTTGATACAATTTTGAGATTCAGAAATCACTCAGTGTAGAGACTGACTTGGCGTGAACGCAGTTTTGAACGGTATGTCAGATATTTGACGGTATTTTCACTGGCACGGCTTAATTTGGAAAGAAAGTGACGCAAGTCGCTATTTACTACAGTACGGTACAGACAACCCACGTCTAATAGCGTCTGTCTGACAGTCGACCACCGACCATCTTTGACAAGGCAAAGGGACGTAACTCACATTGTGTTGAGGGGCATTCACAGAGGGTCACCAGTAGAAAATCTAGTGACACTATAGCGCATTTACTGAATTTATTGAAACAGAAAACGATTCATTAATAATTTATTACATCTGCTATATACATATACATATCATAGTTACGAGACCGCCTCCGTGGTCTAGTGGTAGAGCGTCCGCCCGGAGAGCGGAAGGTCCGGGGTATGATCCACGGCCGCGTCATACCAAAAGACGTTAAAAGATGGTACTTGTTGTTACCCTGTCTGGCGCTCGGCATTAAGTGGCTAAAACAAGGACTGGTCGGCTCGGAGTCAGTATACTGTGTCTGAGTGGGGTATTCATGTTAAACTGCGGCATGGTATCTCAGTAAGCTAGCACTATAAATCGGCATCAGTCCGGACTAGTACAAGCAGCCACACAAACACACACACGTACATGCACGTCGCTATAAAAGTGCAATAGTCTTGGACGCGACGTTAAACCCCATTTCACCTCGCCTCATAGTTACGAGAAGCGCATCTTGACTATGAATTGAAAGGCTGAAGCACTGAAGATATATATATATATGGATGCCTCAGTGAAACTCTGTTATCACGAAACACCTGTTTTCCGGACGACTATTAGGGGCGACGTCGATCTAAAGCGGCAAGCAAATGAGCCCCGTCGAAATTCCTGGCTAGAACGGGTCCCGAAGACCCTATGCTGGTCTAAAGAGGCGATCAAGAGGATCGGATGGTCCGACTGGGTGACTTGGCTGATTGGTGTCATCGGATCCCGACGTAGATCGTTGCTCACAATATCAATCACTAAACTTTCTGGTCCAGACTTGATTATTTACATGCCGCCATCACATAGCTGAATTATTGTTGGGTCCGGCGTCAAATAACAAACAAACAAACAAACAAACTTCTTATGCATGATTCCTTAGTCAGAAATTTGTTCACCTTGACGAGTTAACTGAGAACGATACTGTCTGGAATGACAGGGTTTTGTTGTACTGGGGTGCCCTTAACCCTTTCTACTCACCCATCACCAAGGCCAGCAATATCAACATCATCATGATCGGGGTTGCGTCAGGTGCCTGCAGATTCACACCAACATCAATCAAGAACCAGGTGTTGGCTGGCTTTTTATATAACAACCTCCCCATGTTTATGCGGGTTATAAACGTGTTTCGAGGGTGTCGTGAAGTTTTAGTGGAGTACAAGGCTTCTCACATTCACCTGTGCAAAGTCATAAATATTAATGTATGGTCATTTATTCTTTCACATTATGATATCGGTGCGGAATGTTTGTACAGGATTGTAACTAGTGTTAAGGTGGATGTGAAACTGTCTCACTCGCTCAAAGAGAGATACATGTAGAGGGCAAGCAAATGTACCACCAAAGCAAAGTATCCACATGAGCACCAATTGTGCCCCCCCCCTCTTTACTGATTTGTTTCTTTAGGCATATGCATCGGAATTGGCAAATTCAAAACACGGAAACTTGACCACGGTTAACTTAAGCTTCAGATATATCCATGATCTGATATCGTTCAATAATAGTCAAATAGTCAATTCCTTCCAGAGACTTGCCCACCAGGGCCCACTTGCACAAAGCGATCTTAGCGCTAAGACTATGGTAAGCCTATGTTGAAGTATGGGAGTTACGATCATCTCAGCGCTAAGATCGCTTTGTGCAAGTGGGCCCTGAACTAGAAAAGAGAAAACGCCTGATTTATATTCTATTCATAAAGATTCAGAGCGACAAGAAAAATCGCCACAATATTGTATGACAAGAGGGATGACTTCAACTTTCCAGTAATCAACTTTCCCTTCATGTCAAGCAATATTTTTGAGCATGTTCTTTTCACGACGATATTATTGAGCGTCATACGACTCTTGCTCAAACGTTGTTTTATCCAGGTTATGACATTGAAGGCCTCAGTAAAGCTTTCAAAAGGTTTTATGGTAGACATGTGGAGGACATTTCCAAATTTGACTCATCAGTGACAAAATTATCCCTGATGCAAGTCCCTATTTTGACTTGTACCATATGTCCCCATGTGTTCTCAGGTGAAGACATGCCTTGTCTTTGCATGTGTTTGTGATAGGTGCCACCGATGGGACTGGAGATCGTCACCTTGACTATTTGATGTTTCAAAAACACATGAATCGTACAATGGAGATTTCTTATGATTTTGTGAATGTCTTTTATTGTTTTCATCATCGGGGTGAGTGAGTTAAAATTTAACATCGCATCGGCATTGTTTCAGCCATAGAGCGACTATTATCACCATCACCATCATCATGATCATGTTTTTAAAATTGAAAATAACAAAATTTAGCTTCAGGAATGACAATGGCATGACCACCAACATAAGTATTGATAAAATGATATAAAAAAATGTTTCATGAATTTTATGAACTTTTTTCTGAATGTTAACCCTTTTATAACCAAAAATATATTTTTCATGGCACGCGTGTTCTGTCTGTTAACTACACGTCCTTGGTCAACGATTTGCTCAAATCTCCTTATATATATAATCGCCCATGAAAATCCCACTTTTGACATATACTTCTTTTTAACCTTTGCTCTGCCTTTGGATTATAGAATATGTATATATATGAAGTGCGTATGGTTGTAGAGAAAAAACCGCTAGCTCTGTCAAATTAACACTTTATCAATAATAATGGAAAAACAAAAGAAGCATAACTTCTTTAATTCGCGGGGCGGTCAGGTAGCCTAGTGGTTAAAGCGTTCGCTCGTCACGCCGAAGACCCGGGTTCGATTCCCAACATGGGTAAAATGTGTGAAGCCCATTTCTGGTGCCCCCCCCCCCCCCCCCCCCCCCCCGTGATGTTGCTGGAATATTGCTAAAAGCGGCGTTAAATCATACTCACTCACTCACTCTTTAATTCGGTGGAGAGAAAGGGTTATATACAACCATGCCTTAGTTTATTCTTCACCACAAAATAATCGGGGATTAATAGAAGTTTTTCAAATTCATATGAAAAAGGGATAACTCAATATTATAAAACTTGAGACGACATAGTAAATGTGGCCTGACGCCGTTTAGGTACCCGTGCCTTGGACTGTTGGGGTAAATGTAGCTTGACGCCGTTTAGGTACCCGTGCCTTGGACTGTTGGGGTAAATGTAGCTTGACCCCGTTTAGGTACCCGTGCCTTGGACTGTTGGGGTAAATGTAGCTTGACCCCGTTTAGGTATCCGTGCCTTGGACTGTTGGGGTAAATGTAGCTTGACGCCGTTTAGGTACCCGTGCCTTGGACTGTTGGGGTAAATGTAGCTTGACCCCGTTTAGGTACCCGTGCCTTGGACTGTTGTGGTAAATGTAGCTTGACGCCGTTTAGGTACCCGTGCCTTGGACTGTTGGGGTAAATGTAGCTTGACCCCGTTTAGGTACCCGTGCCTTGGACTGTTGTGGTAAATGTAGCTTGACGCCGTTTAGCTACCCGTGCCTTGGACTGTTGGGGTAAATGTAGCTTGACCCCGTTTAGGTACCCGTGCCTTGGACTGTTGTGGTAAATGTAGCTTGACGCCGTTTAGGTACCCGTGCCTTGGACTGTTGTGGTAAATGTGGCCTGACACCGTTTAGGTACCCGTGCCTTGGACTGTTGGGGTAAATGTGGCCTGACACCGTTTAGGTACCCGTGCCTTGGAATGTTGTGGTTAATGTAGCTTGACGCCGTTTAGCTACCCGTGCCTTGGACTGTTGTGATAAATATGGCCTGACACCGTTTAGGTACCCGTGCCTTGTACTGTTGTGGTACATGTAGCTTGAAGCCGTTTAGGTACCCGTGCCTTGGACTGTTGTGGTAAATGTAGCTTGACGCCGTTTAGGTACCCGTGCCTTGGAATGTTGTGGTAAATGTAGCTTGACGCCGTTTAGGTACCCGTGCCTTGGAATGTTGTGGTAAATGTAGCTTGACGCCGTTTAAGTACCTGTGGCTTGGACTGTTGTGGTAAATGTGGCCTGACACCGTTTAGGTACCCGTGCCTTGGACTGTTGTGATAAATGTGACCTGACGCCGTTTAGGTACCCGTGCCTTGGACTGTTGTGATAAATGTGGCTTGACGCCGTTTAGGTACCCGTGCCTTGGAATGTTGTGGTAAATGTAGCTTGACGCCGTTTAAGTACCTGTGGCTTGGACTGTTGTGGTAAATGTGGCCTGACACCGTTTAGGTACCCGTGCCTTGGACTGTTGTGATAAATGTGGCCTGACGCCGTTTAGGTACCCGTGCCTTGGACTGTTGTGATAAATGTGGCCTGACACCGTTAAGGTACCCGTGGCTTTGGACTGTTGTGGTAAATGTGGCCTGACGTCGTTTAGGTACCCGTGCCTTGGACTGTTGTGGTAGGTTACTCTGAATAAGAGAATGTCGTAATTGTTCATCTTTACTTGTAAACAGCAGAATCTCTGCGTTTGTACACATGAGATGCAATTCAAACTTGACACATCGATTTTAGTTCAACAAAACCAGTAAATGCACTACCGTTTCACCGGATTGTCTGGTCAAGACTCGATTGGCAGGAGAAGTCCCGTGTGGCATTAGGCAACAGACTCTTATATCATCCGATTAGTGTGAGTGGCGGTGCTACCGTTAGAGAAGGACATGTCATCCTTTTCGCCAACACCTGGTGTCAGCACTGGTTTTCAGTGATCCATTCATAGGATTTTCACCTCTATTTAGCCTTTGACGCCCAATGGAATCTGTTTCGATGGGTTATAGAGGTTTATTGACGTTATATATTTACCTCGTTTAAGTAGTCAGTACAAGATAGTACGGGGTAGTATTAACAAGCTAGTCATTACAAGGTAATGAGTACAAGATAGTCAGACTGATATAGTCAGTTTAAGATAGTCAGTACAAGATAGTCAGTGCAAGATAGTCAGTACAACATAGTAGGTACAAGATAGTACAAGATAGTCGGTACAAGACAGTCAGTATAAGATAGTCAGTGTAAGATAGTCAGTATAAGATAGTCAGTACAAGATAGTCGATACAAGATAATCAGTACAAGATGGTCGGTATAAGATAGTCAATACAAGATAGTCAGTATAAGATAGTCAATACAAGATAGTCAGTATAAGATAGTCAGTACAAGATAGTCGATACAAGATAATCAGTACAAGATAGTCAGTATAAGATAGTCAAACCAAGGTAGTCGGTACAAGATAGTACAAGGTAATCAGTACAAGATGGTCGGTATAAGATAGTCAATACAAGATAGTCAGTATAAGATAGTCAATACAAGATATTCAGTATAAGATAGTCAATACAAGATAGTCAGTATAAGATAGTCAGTACCATACGGTTCAAGAATGTGTTGTTCTTACAGTGAAAGTATTTTATCGTCACCCTGCTCGGCCTGGCTGAAGATTTAATAGCATTTAAGAAGGACGAGAAATATATTTGATCTATAATTCAGGTGAAGGTCTGACTTTTGTTAGACTTTGATGACTGTCATCTGCCTATGAAACCTTGCGTTACAATTGTGATTTACAGGTAAACAAGTAAATGTATGAATAAAACAGTTCATAAAATATATGTATAAATTGTGACACCCATTAAAACGGACGACACTGCTTCCAGTGGAATCCATGGGGCTAACAATGTCCGTATTAACGAGCCATGGGTAAGCACTCACTTCTATCTCAATTCTTTATATAGTCAATGAAATCCCGTTGGTCCGCATCCCCTTTTATCCGGAAACTCCATATTCCGGCCGATTACTATACACATAAGCAAACTCCGTAACCGTGGCTCTTTTGTAGCGTTACCTGTTAATATGGACGATTACTGTACAAGTAGACATACTCCGCACACATTATCCGTTTATACGGACACATGTGTATACTCATTTCTACCGCAAAGTAACTATCCGGATTAATGGGTTATTACTGTATTCCAGGTAATGCTACCTTCAATAGAAGACAGTCACTGTGCCAGTTTCACATCTGGCAGTAAGTCCACTGGATGTAATAATTCATTCCACAAAAGAATTGAAATGGTATGAACTCTTCACAGCGAGAGAGAGAGAGAGATGGAGAGAGAGAGAGAGAGAGAGAGAGAGAGCGAGAGAGAGAGAGAGAGAGAGAGAGAGAGAGACGCACACAGACACACAGACACAGACAC